CGGAATGAAGGAAGGACACCACTCTCGACTCCCGAAGCCACCGAGAGGCGGAGGTGACATGAGGCGGGAGAGTGAACGCCGAGACATCAAGCGTACGTTGCTCGGAGTTAACAATCACCCGAATGACATCACCGTGGCGAAGTCTGTGTGCCAGGCCTTTCAAGATTTGGATGTCACTGCTAGAGGCTGCTTCCTGCGCGGCAGTAATAACCTGATTCGGACTATAGTCGAACGGAAGTTCGCTGCAGACAACCTCCCTGCCTAGATCAAAAAGGACCGTAATTGCTTCCGGGTGCGATGGCAGGGACACAAGGTGAACAGCTTCAAGCGTAAGCCCTACCGACGCCGCAACAATCTGAGATCTTCCAAGTCGAATGGCTTGGCGGTACAGCTCCGCAGACACATCACGGGCCCGATCGGTGCTAGAAAACTCAAGTCGCACATCGGAGCCCGGCAGCCAAAGACGGCAAGTTATAAGGAAGACCGAGTCAGGTGACGGAAGCGACAACCAGAGAGGGCCATCCCCGAAGTCACCAGTCAGGAGCCACTTGGACTGCAGGTGAGAGTGGGCTCCAGCAGGAGCAGCAATCTGGCGGTCTGGAGCTCTGGCAGCAGAAAGAACAGCATCGCGTGGCGATGCAGGTTCACTGTGGATTTGAACCGCTGCAACAAGAGAAAGGTGCAGCAGGAAGCAAGCAACACTCCACGTGCCAAGTCCAGGTTGCCTTCCGGCGCGCCCACCTAAGACACCCAAGATATGAGGGATTACCCAAGGCCTTCGCAAAATGCGGGCAGCAGCAGACGTGTCCGAAGCCGGCTCCTCAATGTGCTCAGCAGCGCGAGGGACTGAAGAATTAAGGAAAGCAGAGGGTGTAACTCCGGTGCAGGCAGGTATACTGGCGGGAGCGGAAGCTCTCGCGGGTGAAGGCAGCAAGGTGTGCTGAAGGGCGGAAATGGTATCCGAAGTACCTGGAGTGTCCCACCCTCCAACCTGGTCCTCCGAGGAAGACGAGGAGTCCTGTCGAAAAACATGCGGGAAGAACATGATAACCAACGGAAAGCTCCCTGAAATGACCTGATCCGGAAGCACAGAGAATTCCCTGTGAAGAAGACCGAAGCCACCCCTGGCACACTGATCGACCCATTCGTGGGGAAGACTGTTGCGATCCCGACGTGAAGCTGCGGTGACAGCGGCGAGCGCAGTGACAGGGGGCGAGATGCAGACCGTAGTCAGTCTCCAGCCCACAGGACGGAAATCCAAAATGCACGGCACCTCCCCCTCAGCACAGTGAACCTCAAGAAACTGGACAAGAGGGAGCGAGGGAAGTGGGTGCCAGATCCGCAAAACGCCACCAGTAGCGGCAGGGGAAGCCCGCGTAGACACGATGCGTCGGAAGGTCGCGGCGTCAGCATAAACCGGGGCTTCAACGTATACTAACCCATTGGGTGTGATTAGAACGGCCTGGTTATGCGAGTGACCCGGAAAGGCGTCGTAGGCGGCCGGAGCAGTTGGGAGGCTCACCTGCATCGCAGAAAAGAGAGACAGGGGAGGATCCAGGGACGATCCGACAGGACCCTGAAGAGCCTCAACAGCCGGACCAATCTGAAACTGCAGCGTGTCAACATCTTGCAAGAAGAGAGGTTGGGAGGCAAGGGTCAACCAGCCCCACGTGCAACGAGCAAGAAGAAGGTCAACCTCCGCCGTCAGGGATTGAGCAGCAAGGGCGAGTTGGGCGATCGCCCTGCAAGTGGAGTCACGAGGACACTGTATCATACACACTCGGCCACCAAGCTGTCGCAAATCGACGGGCAGCCACACTTGCCGCCATGAACAAGCAGCTGGCGTGAGGAGAAGCTGTTCACTCGGCAACCCAGGAAGAACTCCTCGGACCCCAGATACAGCGAAGACCCCAGTAGGGAAACCAAGAGCAGCGGCTAACCTAGCATGAAGCAGCGGCCCATGCAGCCATTCATCAACCAGAAAGGGAATGGGACATGGGTCGAGGACAGGCGCTCCAGGAGGTGTCCCCACAAACACCGCGAGATGCCTGCGGCTGCGGTCAGTGCGTGGTAACAGCAAGTTACCAGTCCGGCCAACTGGATAGACGTCACACATCTCATCAGCACTGGGAGTGGGAAGGACTGGACCCGTGCTGAGAACAGGGAGGCCTTCATGGAACCCATGCGCATGCAACTGCACTGCTTCGGGGGGCTGCACAAGGTAAGAGGAAAGGACAGCAGCACCCAGACGGAGAGTAGCTCCGTCAGCAACCGAGAGGTAGAGCAGGAGCAAAGTCACATGGAAGTTAGGGCCACAGGACCTCCGTGGTCGCACTTTCGCACAGTACCGCACCCCACTTACCTTGCGACCGGCAGATCGGGCCCCAACCGGCATAACACATCCACACAGGGCGAAAGGGGAATGCCAGAAAGAGAGGGAAGGCCATGTCCGCTCACCGTCGCCATCAGAGTGCCCGTTGCCGCGGAGCCAAGTCCAGCAACGGTCCCACACGCCAGCAAGTCCAGAAACGATGGCAGGGAGGACCCGAACACAGTGCTGAGCGGCCGAACTTAGGGCAGAGCCAAAGTCCAAGGCAAGTCCAGGAAGGCCAGCAAGGAGCTCGCTGATAATGGCACACATCATCATGGAGGCAGGCGGTCCGATTGCTGCAGCAACCCACCAAGCGGTTGCAGAGAGAACACAGCCAAGCTGCCATGCTCGGCGCCAAGAAAGGCGGGGACCATATGCCGAAATAAACCTCCCTGAAACCGCTACAACTCTGCACAAAGCTATGTACAGAATCAGACATCGCCCGAGGAAAAGGCTAGCCGCGATCCATGGGAGATACGAACAAACGTAGCCCCCAAGATCGCGACTAGCAGGGCCGATGTCAACAGAGACTCCATCGCTCAAGAGCTGGGCTGAGTTGTTGTGGCCAAGGGAAACGGACAAGGCATTCTGCACAGGATCTGGGCATGGGCATTGGAGGACATCTCGGTCGCCAGATATCCTTGTCTGATCAAGCCCTGCTCCACCACAAGGGATGGGTGTAACCATTCCTGCAGAGTGCCAGGCGCGTAGCTGAACGGGTCGAGCAGACTGCCGAGTGCCGCATGGATGGCGACCAACAGTCCCTGGCGGATGCGAGGAAGGGCACCGGAACAGCTTCGAAGGTCGCAGAGCAAGGTTAGCAGACGTGCATGTAGAGCTGCCAGCTGTTCCAGGGAGGGGGCAGCCACCACCTGCACCAGAAACTTCCACAGATCGTCTGCCGCAGCAACCACCTTGTCCATGGGTTGGTCGTCCTCGTGCCGTGGTAGCGCTGTCTCCTGCTCGTCGCACACAGAGAGCTCTCCGACAACATCGTCGCCACTTTCCGCTACCATCGCTAGGATAGCCATCCAAGCGCGGCACCATGCCTCCTGTAGCGCGCCCTTGTCCGGGATCAGCTCGGGGTCCTCCTCCACTGTTGTTTGGCGTGGGCGGGAAACTCCCTGAGGGGTAAGGCCAGTTGTAGTCCTCACCCACGGCTCGCCGACTTCGGTGTCCGGTGCAGGTCCACGACGGGGGCTTTTGGAGGGGCGTTCCACAGCTCCGCTGCCTCTCTTCCTCCAACGAGTGGCCGGTCGATCCCCGGCAAGGAACAAGGCTGAACTTGCCGGGGGGGGAGGAGCACCACCCGTGATGCTGGCCGAACTTGCGCCGGAGTCCTGCCCTGAGGGTGGCACCAGCTCTGGGATCCATCCACCAAAACTGATCTCGGAGTCCTCGACGCTGGCCGGGAATGGAGCATGACTGGTGGCAGGTCCTGTTAGCAGCCCGCCAGCCATTCCATCGGCCGTCACACTGCCGAAGGCACGTAGACCAGCCGCAAGCCGAAGCACCTCGGCTTCTTGTATGACATTCCAAGCAGGCCCGAGCGATGCCTTGGCAGCCGCGATCCTGTCGTCCGTAGAGGAGGAAGCCACATCCCTGGTCTGGGCTTCGAGCTCCCCGCACGCTTCGACGAGGTCCTCGTCGAGTTTGTGGCTGAGAGCACGGACGCGAGTGAGGAGCTGCTCGAGATGGTTGCCGAGCGAAATACTCCAAGCCGCTAGCGCTTCCTTGAGCGCTTGCTTGGCACGAGCATCGCCCTCCACACGCTTGGCCAGCTTGGACACCAGGTTGGCCCGCCTCTGGGCGAGTTGCTCGGCGGTTGCATCCCCATCGCCAAGCTGGGGCCCACGCCAAAGGTCTTGGGTTGCTCTGGCCCCAATAGCTTGAAGCGCCGTGTTCAGTGCCGCAGGATATCCAAACTCCAACTTGGAAGAGGGGAATTCCTGACCTTTGCCGGAGCCCTTGGCCGGCTGCTTGCCCGATTTTGGGGCAGTCTTCGGCGCCATAGGAGCGCGACTGCCGTGATGATTGTTCAACAAGGCCTTGTCCCGAGGCCGACCTCGTCCAGATCGAAGACGGGCGCGTGCAGCACTCCTTTGTCGGCGGAGTCTGCGATGCCAGGGCGGACTGCGCGTCCGCGGTATGTTGGCTCGTTACAGAGCCCCACCAAATCAAGGATATGCCCAGAAGGCCCAGAAAAGCGATAACCCAGATCGGAGACCTCGAGGGCATAAGGTCCGGAGACCGAAATAAAAGAGGGAGGGCGCCCTCCCAATGTCGGCTAAGTTAATAGCAGCGACCAAAAGCCAAGGGACCAGCCCAAACCAGGTCCAAATAGGCCAGCAGATGCACCGCTTATCGAAAAGCAGGGTGCAGGAGTTTCCCTCCACGGGAAGATCTCAGCGCGGCGTCCACAGAAACCGCTAGGGTTGGGAATGCCGGTACGGACCCTACTCCTAAGGGAGACAGGGGCCGAAACGGGCTCGAGCCACAACGCCTTAAACCCTACACCCTAATTCCTAAACCCTGCACCCTAATTCCTAAACCCTAATTCCTACACCCTATAAACCCGGCCCACGTATCTCACTGCACAAATCTTAGTCCTCTGATCTGGAGTCCCGACCGGCTGAGAGCGGGCTTCGAGAGAGGTCCCTGCAGAAGTATCAGCCACCTTGCGTTTCAGTAGACGCCAGAAAGTTGGAATATCATTATCCTAACCCCTTTAAGGTAAGTTATACGTAAGGTATCCTACCCTGAAACCATATTCCAACTTACTACTGTTGGGGAATAGGATTCGGGGGTTCCGAGAGCAATGGATTCGTTACAGACATCGAACCAAAGCACACAGCAATGAAACGTCCGATTATCGTGCATCATAGTCCTGTAGCTCTTCCTCGCAATCTTCGCGCTCATCCTTACCCTAATTCTGCCAATGCCGAGAGAAGAGGTCTGATCTCAACCGGCAGGTTACTATTCCCTAAGGGTCCATGTGCATGTGCGCAAATGGTACTATACTTTGGCCCAAATGTGCCCATACAGGGATTACTTTGAGGCCAAAGCATATACTATTTGGGCACATGGACGCTTAGGGCTTAGGGATTTGAAGCTTCCGGGATCCATAAGATCACCAAGAAGGCCCCCCCCCCTCCCGCGCGCGCCCCCCCACACAAGACCCCATAGAGTTTGTCTTTTCGACGTGCCGATTCCCCCTTTGCTAAAAGGGGGGGGGGGGGGGCGGGGGCGGGGTCTTCATGATTGGAACTTAAAAGTAGCAAGGGTTAAATATTCATTGAAGCTTTTGGGCGGGGGGGTCTTCACCAACACAGCAAGTTTGGGAGGTACAGCAGAGTTAACAGAGTTGTAGGATGTGGGAAGCTGGGGTCTTTATGATGGGACGAGTTTGGGGGGCATATTCCTGTAGTTGTAGCATAGTAAGGAACCGTGAGGCAATTAACTATTCTGGCTTCTATGGCAGCCTTTCGAAAGTAGTCCCTCCGCGAGAAACCTCCACGGCCAAAACCTGGAATGAACCCTTAAATTCCTTCGAACAACTCTGGGAAGTGGGTCAGGGTTCGGGCCCCCGAGACTTAAAGCGCCTAAACCAAAACCGGTTTATGGCCCAGAGAAGTATATACCTTTAACTTTAAGGGGGCCCCATAAAGGAACATAAACCTTTAACCTTAATGAGAGCCCTTCAAGGAATTTTAAACCTTTAGACCGAATCTGAGACTTGTCCGGGAGGCCTTGGCGGTCCATCGCAACCCGCGTCCTGCTTGCAAGCGGTGATACTCGGGGTTAAGATCGGCGATGAGATTTAATGCAGGGGCCTACTCCTAAACGCTGAACCCTAAACCCTAAACCCCAAACTAATAATTAGAATAGGGTTTTGGGGGTTCCTGATTACACATATAGTATAATATCCCCCAAAACCCTATTCCAATGATTAAGGTCCCTACATTAAAACAGGGTTCAGGGCTTCTTTTGTTGAGTGCCCGTTTTCTTGGTTCAGGATTTCGGGCATGCAGGTTTAGGATTGAGGGTTTAGGAATATGCGGCCCCTTCTAGAAGATGGCGTTTAGCATTCTTTAGCTATAGGAGTTTGCAGCCTGAGGCGTCGAGGTGCGAAATACCCACTACCCAGACCTTCCAAAATCCCTTAATTAAGGAATATACCTTAATTCATATTTGGGATCGTATTTTTATTTAAGGTATATTCCTTAATTAAGGGATTTTGGAAGGTCTGGGTATTTGGCAAATTGGGTTTAAGCTTAGTTGTAACTATAGAGTTCGTTGTTCCTGAAACCCCATGGAGGGAGCACGAATGCTTTTCAGAACAACTAGTAGTAAGACAATGGTGATAGTAACACAGGCACTAAGACTGGAACAATAACAATATTAATGCTTGCAAAATACACTAAACCCAAAACCGTTAAGCCTGAACCAGAAGTTGATGAAGATGCCTTTAAAGAGATCTATCAGCGTTCTGTAGCCTTCCCTCGCAAAGATCCTTAAGGGCTCTACGACAATGGGGTTCCCTTGAAGGGTTTTATTGGCTTTTGGTTTTTAGGGTTTGGGGTTTAAGGCTTGGAGTTCATGGTGTACCGGAGACCCAATTCTGAGCTGTGACCCTAAACCCGAACCCGTGTGCAAGGGCTTGGGCCCTGTTGCCTCGGTAATGACAGAGTATTTCCGATGACAATCAACATGCGATTTGCAAGCAATTTTTATATTTGTTCGCGGGTGCATGCGTTTTGCTCAGCCTATTGTTGTTTTGTGCGACTCCTCCTGTTCAATTGTCTCGCATCGGTTTGGAGTGCCCCCGCAACATGAGGCTTGACGTAAAAGGGTCATGGGACGAAGTAGTATGAAGCCTCACAAGTAGTGACTATAGGTAACCACCCCGCTGGGGTTTGAGTTGTTGCACTCCGCAACATATCCCTCGTTCGAAGCGACAAATGGTACAGTTTATAGAAGTATAGGGGTACGAGAACGGATCGTAGTAGCAAGTATTCCGACCGCTATATCGCTCTCACAACGGTACCGACGACCACAAGAGCAAGCACCACCGCTCCATCACCAAACCAACCTCTTCATCTTGCCTCCATCACCATGATCATAAACAGAAGCAGCACTAATAACCCTAAACCCCAAACCCTAAACCCTAAACCCTAAACCCTCAACCCTTAACCCTTAAACCCTAAACCGGCCTAAAGTCGAGACTCCAGGCTCACACTCCTGAGACCCCTTACGGATCCAGTTATTCTTCGGTTCGGTTCAGGGTTTAGGGTTTAGGGTTAGGGTTTAGGGTTTAGGGTTTAGGGTTTAGGGTTTAGGGTTTAGGGTTTAGTAGTGGGATGTTTACATATGACGAAAGCTGCCTGCTTCTTTCGCAACTGGAGACCTGCAGAAGAACAGCAGCAAGAAGCCCTAAACTAAACCCTAAACCCTAAATCCTGAATCCCAAATCCTAACCCTAAGTCCCCAAGCCTTAAAATCCTTAACCCTACATCCCTAGTCCTATGCCCCAAATAACCGACTTTTTTAGGGACGTATATAAATAAACCATATTAGGGGGCCCTAAAAAGGTAGGTTCCTTAGGGTCCAGGTAGCCCTGAATCTTAAACCCTAGCCCTAGATGTGATTAGGGTTTAGGGTTTAGGGTTTAGGGTTTCGGGTTTAAGCTTTAGGGTTTAGGATTTAGGGTTTAGGGTTTAGGGTTAAGGGTTAAGGGTTAAGGGATCTCGCCGGATCCCAGCCTTTGGCTCTGTACGCAGCGCTGAGCAAGGTTTTGGGTCGGTCTGACCTGTGAAGCTTGGAGGTGGAGAGCAGTATAGTAGAAGCCAGAAAGTTGGAACATCACTTTAGGAGGATTAGTGCTAGGATCCCTTACACTTTACCTTAAGGGCATGAGGGTAATGATGTTCCAACTTTCTGGCTTCTGCTATAGGGTTTCGGGGATTTAGGATTCAGACATTTAGGGTTTGTAGGGCCTTCAGGGTTTCAGGGATTTAGGGTTTGTATAGGGGCCCAAAAAGGCACATAAGTATAAGCATTTTGTGGGGATATCCCTACCTTATGGGCTTCCTGTTAAAGGGGGTTTATATGGGACATCCCTATCCTAATTTTTGCTTATGTGCTTTTTTGGGGCCCTATTGTAGGGATTTAGGGTTCAGAGTTTACGGGCAGGCTCAGAAGGATGTCTCCATTGTAGTGCCTTTTTTGGGTTAACCATTTTTATGGTTAGGATCCTATAATAGGGTTTTTGGTTGACAAAAAGAAGGAACTACGATGGAGACTATAGGTAGGGCAGGCAGGAGAGGGCTCGGGATTTACGGTTGAGGGTTTAGGGGGTTTAGGGTTTAGAGACCTTACGTGTTTAGTGTGCATTTGTAATTCGGGGTTCGCCTGAGGTAGTGCTTGGGGCGTGTAGAGTACCGAAGATTTAGGATAAAAGAGTCGTTCATGTGGCTTGGGAATTCGCGGTTCGGGGTTTGCGGCTGTCAGACATGGAGAAGAGCCGTTCCTGGGGTGTAATCAAAAACCTAAACCCTGAACCCTGAAACCTGAAACCTTAACCGAGAACCGCCAGTTTTGGGGCCTCGGAATGGAACCATGAGATATAAACGGCTCTGGCACCAGCAGTACACCGAGGGGCTTCATTTCGTCAAGCAAGTGACGTCTATTGCGGGATCCGATATCCAAACCACTTGAAATCCTGCCCGCATATTCGCCCAACACTTTGAATCCTTAGATCCCCAAACCCAAAACCCAGAAACTCTGATATCCGAGACGATCATAAACAAAAAGGCCGAAACCCCAACACCTTGAGGCTAAGGGGCTCTTTAACCTATGATGGCGGACTTTTCGACGACCCATAGAGCTAAAGAAGTTTAGGGATTAGGGTTTAAATCAAGATCTCAGCTTGGCGCTTGCTGCACTGCGAGTCCTGTGCCACCCTGAGTGTCGACAGGGATGCACAGCTTTTGCCTGTAGACTCTCTAGGCCAACAAGTGTGGTCTTATAGACGTTGTCGTTATCAGAACAGTCGCGACTACGTACCAAACCATGTACCAGTCTATGAAAGTCCGGTGGACCAATTCTGGAACATAGCAAGGCCTACAATCGTTCGGCCGTAATTTCACATCGTGCAAACGCACATATGTATATATATATATATATATATATATATATATATACATATGCACCTAACACAGAGTGCGCTACTTCGTGGGGATATCACGGCTCTGCCCAACAAGTACGGACCAATTAGTAAAATGGAGAACTTCATGATCGGACAGAATATGGGAGCTTCCGAAAATTATATTAGGGGACCCGAATACAGTATTTACGTAGGATGCCTCATTATAGGGACCCCCAAATAAGGTACCCCCAATCTTCGGAAACTCCCATATGGTTTCGGGCCACACTGTCGAAGTCAGTTACTACGGAGCCCGAAGGAACTATCTTGAGGCTTCTATCTGTAAATCCATTATGCTGTATTATGTCATGTTAGGTTCCAATAGAGTGTCTTACATTTAAAATATTGGAATATAGCATATCTTGTTAGATTATGAGTTGTACTATGCTAAACTGTCTTGTGCTATCTTGTATGTCCTTGTATTATCTTGTAAATCTTCTTATATGTATATACACATACATATAGCTATACACATGTATATATCTTATTCGTTTTCATGGTATCTCATAATATATTAGGCCGCTGCTAGGAAGGATGGAGCTCGGCCCCCCGGCGAGGGGGTGGCGGCCTCCGACACGTCTTGCTGCTGACGAACCTTCATGGCATCAGTGATCCGAGACCCCACGGTTCAGGGTTTAGGGGTTTATGGTTTGGGGGTTTGGGGTTTAGGGTTCAGGGTCTAGGGTTTAGGGGTTTAGGGTTTAGGGTTCAGGGTCTAGGGTTTAGGGGTTTAGGGTTTAGGGGTCAAGCTTAGGTCCTGAAGCCCGCACAGTTCCTAAGCTACAATGAAAGCCCCTGAACCAGGGCTCAAAATCTATCCTTCGAAGACTCAAGTAAGGAAGATACCTTCCAATCGTAGGACCGCATAGTTTAAAGAGGGGTTGAGGGTTTGAGGTTTAGGGTCTGCAGTGCAGAGTGTATGACGCATATTCTTGCGCGGGGGTATCGGATCACTGATGCTCTGCGACCTCTAAACCCTAATCCCTGAACCCCTACACCCTAAACCCCTAAACCCCTAAACTCTAGACCCTAAACCCCTAACCCTAAACCCCTAAACCCTAGACCCTAAACCCTATGCCTCCAGGGACCTTATCATGGGGTCCTTAAGGGTCTAGGGCCCTAGCTATGAGGTCCTTGGAGGGATAGGGTATATACTTCGGGCGCCTATATCCCAAAGAGAAGCTTACACCCAGAAAACTGTCTCCGTTTCTCCGACTCTTGTGGGTTTAAGGTTTCCCGTTCTTTGTCTTTTTGGTGTTTAGGGTTTAGGGTGTCGTGTAACCCTACTTGGCGGATCAGAAACTTCGTAGATAAAGCTGAAATGTGTAGTTGCTTTATTGAGTTTAGAACCTCTGCCTGCCTCGCGATTCTCTTATCTATGCTACAGTCCCAGTTACCGCCAAGTAGGTTGTTGGCTTGGTGCGGTTGACGGTTTGGGGCTTAAGGATGAGGGTAGTTATCTGTTTTACGGGTGCCGTACTTTTTTGGGGACCCCAATTAACTCAGGGGTGCGATGAGGGCTCTTTCGAGGGCTCCGATAAAGGTATTCCTTTAAGGGTTCCTCTCTGGGTTTCTATAAGGGTTTCTGTAACTTAGAGAACTGCCCATGAGACGGACGCCACAACAACCCTCCGATCCCACCTCCAACACCCTAAACCCTCAACCCAAACCCTCTTGGTCCTGCCAGCATCGCTCTCGAGGGTGCAGTGTGGTTTAGGGGTTTGGGGTTTAGGGTCTTAGGGTTCAGGCCTCCCGATAGCCAGCATGTGTACACTCACTCGGAATACCATGCGCCTCGAGTGTTGTGGCCGGAGCGGCCGCCCTGAAAAAATAGAACAGTCTTGATAGTAGATCAAAAGATCTACAGGGGGACCAAAACCCTAACTCATGAATCCTATACCCTGGAAGGGGATGCTACATTTCTTAGTCTTCAATTTTCCAACCCGAGCCTGTTCTTTGCTCATTAACTCAGAATCCCGAAGCAAAAACTCGCTAATGTAGGGGCCTTAATGATTAGAATAGAGTTTTGGGGGGTCATTTATTATCAGTATGGTATAATGTCCCCCAAAGCCTTATTGCGACTATTAAGGGCTGCTACACTTTTCCTCCCGAAAGCCCCTTAACACAAATCCGAGGCTCGAAGAACAAGCTCCCACACCGTAATGTAGGGGCCTTACCAGGACCCCCCCAAGGGCCCTTTAAATAGACTCCTGATGGCCCTTAATGCTGTAGTGGGTATTTGGGCCGTTTTAGGGGGTAGACTGAGGTTTTGCGGTATATTATACAGCAAGTATACTGGGACTACAAAGGGTTTAGGGTTTAGGGTTATATCATAGGGATAAGCAATTACTCAGAGCTCTGCATTAGGCTTGTCATTCCCTGGTCATGAACGTGCCTGGCTCGAACTGTCAAAGCTGTCTACGCTTTGGGAGTCCGTGGCCGGATTCATCGCATCTTCCTCTGCCTGCACGACAGGCGGGGCAATGATATTCAACATATAAGGAACCCGGAGCAATAGTATTACGAAATATTGCCTAAACCCGAAAGCCTTAGCCTAATCCTGCTCTCCGGACCTAAACCCCACTCTAATCCCACAGTTTGGGGTTTGGGTTTCAGGATTTAGGATTTACCGACAACCTCGAATGGCCCAACACCTATGAAAGGCTATACTTCTGACTCCTTGTGGGGTCCAGGCAGGGTTGACCTTAGAAGTTTCGGCTTAGGCCCTAAACTCTAAACCCTAAACCCTAGGGCGACGAGCCTGACATGCGGTGCCCTTCAGCTCGTCACAGCCACGCTCTGGCCAGCTTTCCTCTTCCACCTCACAGGCAAACAGCACGCCCCAAAATCTTAGGGTTTAGGGTTTAGGGGCTTAGGGTTTAGGTTTTTTTTTTTTTTGAACTCCTTTTTGCACCTGCCTGTTCGTCCAAGCGAGCACAAGGCACATATGCGCCAAGAGAGGTACCCACACGAATGCAGGCCCGTACGAAGTAGAAAAACCCTTGCCCTCAGTCAGTCATCAACGGCGAAAGTCTGGCCCTTTTCAATCATCACAATCTTCACTTCGTTCACCCTGTCGATCCCTCATCTTTGCTTCTTGTTCCGCCCGATAGAAGGCTTCACCATCCATGTACGTCATAAACTCAACATGGAGGGCCTCGAGGATGCTCGGACCGTACTGCGTGACAACAGCCTGGTTCGAAATTTCACCCGCTTTCCATCGTGCAAAGAGCCCTTGTAGTCGTTCTGGTCCCATAGCTGCAACCTGATTCCACGTGGAGGCCTTCGCATGCTCCTGTTGGTGTGCTTCTTCTTCATCATTTCAAGGGGAGTGTAGCCGGAGTCTCCATGAAGGTCTCTGCCGCTGTCTGCTCCTGGACCGTAGCCACCTGGAAGCCCATCTCGATAGAGGAGACTTGCCCATCTTCCAGGGGGATCACCAGGTCAGTGGAGCTGCCAGGCAACCCTGGCCCACCAGTTCGTATATTCACCTTGAGGATGCGCCTGGTCTTCTGTTGTGGTTTCTGCATCTCGTCGTACATGGCCCAATCCTCCCACTCCCTGTAGAGGATGCTCTGGTGCGCCTGGTAGAGTTCCTGCATATATTTGTCGTGCTTCTCCTGCTCTTCCTCGTTTTCTTGTTCCATGCGCTCTCGTGCCTGCTGAAGCCGGTGCTCCATTTCCAACTGCGAGGCGATCGCAGCGAGTTCCTCATCATCCACCGTGTCGTTCATCACTGCTGTAGGACGGTTGACCGGCTGCGGGGGCGGTGGCCCACGAGGACGACCATCGGCAGGTAGTTCGCAACCAGGTTCTTCCGAGGGTGAGTCCGGCAGAGGCCTATGGACCAGTACTGGCATTGGATCTTCGTCTGGTACAAGTCGTCCCATTTCTGCCAAACTTCCCGGCACCATAGGCAGGAATGGAACAAGTCCGTCCCACCACTCCCAACACCACTCCCCACATTCCTCCGCCAGCAATCCTTGGAGGTCTCGGGTTTCCCACTCCGCTGCGGCCAGGAGTGCCACAAGGTCACCCGGTCGTCCTCGAAGGTGTCCCAGCGGCTTGCCTTCACGGACGTTAACACACTTATGGTGGAGGTAGCGCTTCAGCCATAGCACATTTGCCCGCAAAGCGTTCTTGGTCTGCTGTTCGAAGGCCTGACGAAGTCCCTGGAGGATCCCCAGCCATGCTTCCTCCCTGTTCTTCTCACGTTCGTCCTGCATCTGCATGAGCGAGTTGTGGTCTTTCTCATCGTCCTTGTGGTCGTGGTCGGTGAAGTCGTTCATGTCTATACGTCGTCCTGGGAGAGTCTCCGGCCATACTTCGTCATTCTTCCCCTCACGTTGCTTCAGCACCTGCATGAGCGAGTGGTGGTCCGACTCACCGTTGTCATGGCCGTTGTCGTCTCGATCGTTCTGTGGTGGGTCGGGCCCACGTGCCGAACCGCTTTCTTCGGCCATGGATTGTTCAAGGAGGGCCCCCACTGCAGCCATGAGGTTCTGGAGCATTTGTGTGAACCCCAAGGCCAAGGTGAGCCTGTCTAGGGCCATGGTCCATGAAGCTGGTGCTGACGACGTTCTCGACGAAGTCCGGTAGAAGTCGGCCCGGTGGACTTTCACTGTCGACATCTGTAATGCCAAGCCACAACAGCCAATGTTGAACTGCATCGTCAAGTGTGAGTGGTCGCCCGCCTGGAGGGTCGGCATCAGTGGGAGTCCTCGGAGCCGGGACCTCAGATGGAGCCGGTCTTCTTGGGGCCGGCTCGCTGTGGCCAGAGGAGCGCGGAGCCGATCCGGTCGAATTGTGGCCTCGTGACAAAGGTCGCCGCTTAGCCTCCGGCTTCGCGGGTCGTCCAGCATCACGGGAGTCACATTCGCGGGTAGAGGGTCTCGAGGAGTGCAGCCGGTCAGGTAGGCGAACTGTCTCCCGTGTCTCCGTAACTCTTGGTCGGCGGTGGTGTCGATTGTCCTCTTTTGCCGGGTAAACTCGACGACGTCTGGCTGGGTTCGGCTTGGGTTTGAGCCATTTCTTGTTCACCCGGCCCTTGTCCATGAGGCTGTGCATGTCCGTCTCCTCGTCATCCAGGTTGGGATCATCAGCAGGCTGTGGGGGCAGGGGTGCCACATCAGTACTCGACGAGGCAGCTGCCGAAGAGCCCGATCGCACATGACCTCCGTGGTGGGAAATGAACAAAGTAAAAAGCTTGGCTTCAGCAGTCACTGCCCACGAAGAGGGAGGAGAAAAGGAAGCGCTCGGCACCTCAATTCCCAAGGCAAAGCAGATGCGGTGCACGGTTTCAGTGGCAATGTTCTCGTAGTCACGATTGCCCCTATTGGCTGCCAACTGCAAGATACCTTGGATGCCCGCAATGCACTCCTGCCCGTTGTGAATCAGGTAGCCAAGGTCACCCTCCACCTCACGTTGCCATTGTTCAAGCATTAGAGGCCAGCGAGGTTCACAAGGTCGAGCGGCATTAGCATAAGGCAGAAATTCCGCCAAAACCGGGTTCCACTGCCGGATCATGTTGAAGTCATAGACGCCCTCCGGCACCATGGTGTCGTTGACGGGGAGGTGGTCCGCGAAGAGCCCACCTCTGGACATGTGGTTCCATAGCTGTCGCATGCAAGCGGGAAAGCGGCCTTCAAGAAACTCCAAAACCATCCCCTCTTCTGTGTAGAGGATCCATTCGTTGATTTCTTCGGTCATTGCCGTTGGGTTGGACTCCACACCAGTCTGTACTGCAGCGGCTTCCATGTCCAGCAGGACTCCCGTAGCAAAGCGGGTGTAGGGGTCGTTGCCTCTCGAGGAGGCGGCGCGACGGAGGAGTTGCAAAGTCGAACGACATGAGGCTCCACGTAGTAGAAGTCGGTGAAGACGTTCCTCCGATTGCACCATCCAGTGGGGCTTCCAGTCCTGAAAGGTGTCCGGAGGGACTGCACCCACCAAATGCCCGACGAGGGCGAGTTCCCAGAGGGTCCATCCGGGTCGTACATGTAGTCCGTAATCAGGTAAAACAAGGTGATCCGCAGCTGCATATTCACAAAGGAGTAGCAGTAGGGCTCTGGAGACCATTGCGAATGTCGCAAAGGCCAACTTCGAGTTGCTAGAGCCAGGAGGGATCTCAGGCGGTCACGCCTTCACTCAACCCTAGCCCTTGCCCTTCAACCCTCAGCCGGCTCATCCATGACACTGAGTTGCAATCCCGAACACCATGGCAGATCTTGATTGGCGATCCATGTTGTGCACAAGCGACTCCAACTTGACCGATCATGAGCCCTAACCCTCCAGGCACCTCCGCAAACTGCATCCATCTTGGCTTCCATGGCCATGAGCCTGGCGTAGAAGCGAGTTGGGTGCGACATTTTATCCTTGGTCTTTTTCCGTTTCTCCTGGTTCCACCATTCCAGCGTTCTAAAGGAGTCGAGGATTGTACTGATCGGTGGAAAAGCCCGCAGCACTGCCCTTGTGCGGTGTCCCGCGTAACCCCACCAACGTTGGAGCCAGAGTGCTCCAACGAGGCACCTTGGCATTGCAGAGGGCCGCCCTTGCCGAGCGAACCATTCTCCTGCGGAAGTCAATCCAAGCTTCTGTGCTTCGTTTCCCCAACCCTAAGAGCCAGCCCATGAGGACGAACTGGAAGGAGTTCACGGGCTTCAGCCCTAGCTGTTCTGGTGGAAAGGCTGAGATGCACCACAAGGCTGTATTGGTGATAACTTTGTGCATAAGGATGGTGCGGGATTTCACAGAGCTGCGAGCTCGAAGGAGGTGGGAGATGCTCCAAAACTTACTTCTAGCCCGTGCCAAGAGGGGTTGTAGTAGTTGAGTAACCGGAGTGTTCACTGCAAACTTGATGCCCATGACCTCGAGGTGGCTGGGTGATCATGTTGGGCGCATTGCGGAACAGAAACATCTGCAAACTCCTGTTGTGCTCCGTCCGAGTCCGATTCACGCTGTGCCCAGTGTTTCGGGCATCCACTGAGGCTGCACAAGCTGCACCGATGAACCAGGACCGCAATGTTTCCAGTCTGTCTGCATCGATCAGTGCGTCACGGAGCTCATGAGCCTGCCTCTTTGGCAATATGCCCATGGCCGACAATCCTTTGCGCACCGCTGCATTGGTGCTGTGCTCCAAGGCCTCCTCCGTGGTGCCGGCAATGATCCTGAACTCCCGCATCGCAGGGCAGTCGAGCCCAAACTCTGCAGCCAGCACACCAGGCAGTGCGTTTGGCTTAAGTTAAGATATAGATGTTACTAGGGGGTTAGGTAAGTTAGCATAAGTTAAAGAAAGTTAACATAAGTTAGCAAAAGTGAACTTGTGGGTTAAAAGAAACAACGATGGGGTGGCGGGGTCGTGGGTGGTGGTAGCGGGTGGTGAGGCGGTGGCCATCGCCAGCCACCACCAACCACCCACCAACCACCAGCCACCACCCACACCAAAATGCGGCAAATCCATTCCCAGCAAAACTTTGCGCGCAGCTGATTAGTGCATCCATAGAAATTTTCGGCGCTGCACCAGCCACCACCCACGCCACCTACGCCACCCACACCACCCACGCCACCCACGCCACCCACGCCACCCACGCCACCCACGCCACCCACGCCACCCACGCCACCCACGCCACCCACGCCACCCACGCCACCCACCACCCACCACCCACCGCCCACCACCCACCACCCGCCACCCACCCACCACCCACCACCCACCACCCACCACCCACCACCCACCACCCACCCATCCACACCATCCACCACCCACCACCCGCATCACCAACCACCACCCCACGCACCGGGTAGTGGGGTGGCGGGGCGGTAGGGTGTGGTGGGTTGGGGTGGGGGGTGTAAGGGCGGGCTGGGGTGGGGTGGTGGTGTGGGAGTGGTGGGGTGGTGGGGGGTGGTGGGGTGGTGGGGGTGTGTGGGGTGGTGGGGTGGTGGTGAGGTGGTGGGGTGGTGTGGTGAATCAGGGGGTGGAGTGCTAGCCGGCTCCAATTCCGAGGCCTGGAAATATGAACTCTTTATGAACTTTTCAGGCCTGGAAATATGAACTCTTTATGAACTTTTCAGGCCTGGAAATATGAACTTTTTATGAACTTTTCAGGCCTGGAAATATGAACTTTTTATGAACTTTTCAGGCCTGGAAATGTGAACTTTTTATGAACTTTTCAAGCCTCGATATATGAACTTTTTATGAATTTTTCAGGCCTCGAAATATGAACTTTTCAGGCTTGGGTTCATTGTAAATACCAATAAAACACTAAAAATATGAACTTTTTCCGGCCTGGAAATATGAACTTTTTATGAACTTTTCCGGCCTGGAAATATGAACTTTTTATGAACTTTTCGGGCCTCGAAATATGAACTTTTTATGAACTTTTCAGGCCACGAAATATGAACTTTTTATGAACTTTTCAGCCCTGGAAATATGAACTTTTTCTGAACTTATCCGGCCTGGTTCCTGGCTCTATGAACTCGGGGGTGGTGCTGGCGGTGGTGGCACGGGCGGTGGGGGTTGCTGAGTGGTGCTGGTGCTGCTGGTGCTGGTGGTGCTGCTGTGGTGGTGGTGCTGGTGGTGGGGGCGGCGGCGGCGGCGGTGGTGCTGGTGCTGGTGCTGGTGCTAGGTGCTGGTGCTGGTGCTAGTGCTGGTGGGTGCTGGTGCTGGTGCTGGCACTTCCGCTAGCGCTGGGGCTGGTGCTGGTGCTGGCGGTGGTGCTGGCGGAGGTTTCCCAAGCCCTACACCCCAAACCCAAGCCCCTAAACCCTGAACTCTAAACATGCGCTAGTGGTGTTCCTAACGTCCTAGACATGCTGTTGTTGTTGCTGTTGGTGGTGGTGCTGTTGTTGTCGTGGTGGTTGCTGTTGTTGCTGCTGTTGTTGCTGTGGTGGTCGCTGCGGCGGTGGTGTTGGTGTTGGTGAATGCTGTGGTGATAGTGTTTCTACACTCCACACCGTACCCTATACCCCCTAAGCCCTATAACCCTGATGCTGGTGCTGGTGCTGGTGATGGTGGTGGTCCTAAACACCTGAACCCCCTAAGCCCATAGCATCTGCTCTTATCTTTGTGGAGCACAGAAAAGAACAGCATCAGTGACAAACAACGAAAACCATTTAACACAAAACCGACATAAAACAAAAAAGTTAGAATAAGTTAACATAAGTTAACATAAGTTAGAATAAGTTAGCTAAAAAGTTAACTTAAGTTAGTAACTTCTATTTCTTCCAACCAACCTTCTACTAACTTCCCCCAAGTTAGTAGGGACTTACTACATGGATGGGTTATAAGGGGGTTGCTAACATCTATATCCTAACTTAGGCCACACGCACAATCTTAGTAGTGCATCCGACGTCCGCGATTGTGTCAACCACTCTCGATGTGAAGAGCGCTCCGCTCACAGCCCATGAGAAGCCATTGCTTCGCAATTCCATCACTTTCATCGTCTCTCCGCTCTCGTCGGTCAGTGTGCCGACAGTGGAGAGCGCCCGTGTGCCTGCTACCAGCGTGGCTCCAGCAGCAGCCACCTCTGCGTGTGAGAACACTCGCATGGCTGTGATGGACAGACCGTCACATTGCGGTGAAGTCTTCCGGGCCTCGTACACATTACCCCGGATCAAGACGCCACCCGAAAATGGATCGGTCATGGGGCCGGACGCTTGGCCCTCAATTATCACGGAGGCTATGTGCAGCACGTGCGAGGGCTTGGCAGCTGGCACTGAAGGAGACAGCTGCACGTTTGCGTTGACCAGCTGTCTGCGCAATTCGGCGACCGCATCATTGTCTTCACGGGTGGCCGTTGGAGTGACCGACAAGCCCAGTGCGTCGCAGAACGGTTGTACTGAGCAGCAAACGTAGCCTGCCGCAGGCGCTGAGGAGAACATGGGGATCGACAGTGTGGGCACACATGGTGCTCCCCCCACAGCAGCAGCTACTCTGTCGCCGCACGAGAAGAAGTGCATTACACACTCCGACGTGAACTCTGGACGCCAGAGCGTGTCCGAAGCCGGGTACGTCTGGATCTGTTCCCCCGAGTTCAGAACCACTGCGCGTGAGCGAGCTGGCCCCAACGGCTCCGACAGAAGAACAGCAGCAGGCAAAGCGTCAGCCATCAACGGCGGCTTGTCGGTCGTTGTCAGCCCGGCGCCGGAAGTCGCGACCCAGCCTGCTGGTGACAGACGGGCGTTGTCGTACAAACCAGCGAGCCTCTCCGGTGCTTCCCTCACTGCAGCCGGGGGCGTGTAAGCAGCCGGTGCTTCGGACGCAGCACCTGCACCAGATTCGGCTGTGGCCCTTGCTTCTTGCAGTCTCCTGGCCATGTCGCGACCACGAGTCGATGATGAGAGCGTGCCAGCCGCGGGGGCTGTGGCGGGCACCCTCACACCCGCCATCAATGGCACTGCGGCCGCCAGCGGCTCTCCGAACGTCCTGACCCTCGAGGACTCGTAGGGCCCTGCGATGCCAAGTGTGAGTGCGCCCAAGACAATCTGAGCAGCATGAGCAACCACCCGCCAGCGTGATGCGCGTCTGGCACCGTTGGTCTTGATGTGCCGGAATGTCAGCCACACTTTGCGCAGGAACACAAGAAAAACCAGGACGAGGTAGATTCCAGCCAGCACTTTGTTGCCCACTCGTTCGTCAATCAAGACGGCAGCCCGGCCGATGTCCTCTGCGACCACCTCAGCATCTCCCAGCGCAGCTCGCGGCCAAGCCACAGGCTCATGGGTGCTGGTGTGTGTGCTGGTTCGTGTGCTGAAATGCGTGCTGGTGTGTGTGCTGACGTGTGTGCTTGTGACTGTGGTGGAGTCCCACGACCAGGCGATTGCTCCTTCAGCAGGCACTGCAGGCTCCTGGGTCAACTTGGAGAAGACAGGAGCCATGGCGAATGAGGCAGCGGATTAGATGAGAACACAGTTCTTGTCTTGTTTGAGGTTTGCTGGGTTTAGGGGTTTAGGGTTTAGGGTTTAGGGCCTAAAGCCCTAAACCCTACACCTTAAACCCCAAAAGTCTGGGGAAACTGTAAGGTCAAAGTGAGAAGGATGATCACACACACACACACACCCAAAGCAACCCGTAGTGCAAATCCTACTAGAAACGAACTGGGCACCTTGACCGCGCCGTACACCCTGAACCCAAGACTAAATTAGACCCTATTACACCCTGCATCCTGAACCCTAAACCCTAACTTGTTGAGGCATCAGTGTTGCTGGTAGCAGGCTTCCTTGCGGATGCAGCATTGCTTCTAGCAGAAGCAATGCAAGCAGCAAGTGGTAGTCGTGGCAGCAGCAGCAGCAGCAGGGGGAGGAGGAGAATCAGGAGGATAGGAGTAGCAGCAGCGGTGGTAGCAGCCGGAGTAGATTATTAGAAGTTTTTGCTATTGGTTTAACATGGTTGAAGTTTGTGGTGAAGAGTACTGGGCCGACTTAGAGTCGGATGCTGGTTTGAGGTTTTGGGGTAGAGTTGAAGCCGCCGTCTTTAGCCCCGAACCCTTATTCAGTAACATGCTTCGGGTTTCGGCCCTAAGACATACCAGCTCTCTGTGCAAATTATGGCGGGCAAGAGCAAGTAGCATACCCAAACCTTGCGCGACAAAATGTCGGTCTTTCTCAACAACGCTGAAAACACTGTGGACGCCTCGTCGCTGAGATCAGCCCACCTTGCCTCACATTTAGCTTTCGATGCTGCTGCAGCTTACGAACTAAAGCTGCTAAATTTCTTTCGGCTTTGACGGGCGGCCTGTATTTATTTGCTTGCAGTTTTGGGATAGGCTGCAGAGTCTCGCGAGGCTTCAGGATTTCATGGCCAGAAGCCTGAGGGGGAGTGCGGGCCTGCATCGAGAGATCTATGCGACGAGCGAGTCATGGGCCCACAATGGTTAAAACCCTCAATCGCGCACTCTGGCTTCGCTGTTCTCAAAGCTCTAGGACGCATCGATGAAGGCATTTTGAGCCGAACATGTGATGCATGCATAAGGTCTTTGGGGCTCTGCCTGCATGGACACCCAAATTCCTGAGGTCCCTGGCTAACAAAAACTGACCCTGCAACTACAATACCTACAGTCTCCACTGCAGTACCGATGGGCTTTGGGAAGCTCCACTATAAAACGAGGCCGGCAGAAAAGGGGACTGTAATGGACACGCTAGATGGCTTATTACAAGTCCAACAGATCAAAGTGTCCTTTGACCGAATCGGGCGGTTCTGGTCTCATGGTCCCTGCAGGAAACCAATGCTCCAGCCCCACCACAATGAGCTCTCAAGCTCAAAATCTTAAGCTTTTCCTACGCAGGCCCTAAACCCCAAACCCGAGGCTCTGCACCCGAAGCTGAAACCCTACTTGGAGGGTCGGGGGACTTAGTAAGTGGGTAGGAAGTAGACTTCTAAGTATCCTAAGAGGGACCCTAATTGGGGTTATGGTTGTAAAGTCCTTAAAATATCCAGTTACCAAGTCCCCCGACCCTCCAAGTAACCCCTAAACTGCCACCACCGGAGCTTCGAGCCTTGGATGGAGCTCCCGCTGGCGGAGAGCTACTGCAGGCCTGGTTTGCAGTACACTACCTATAGTCTCCATTGTAGTTCCTTCTTGGGGTTAGATTTTTGAAATCCTTAATATATAATTGGTTAAACCAAAAAAAGAACTACAGTGGAGACTGTAGGTACATTTCGGCATCACACTCATGCATACATGAGTAGTTGATAAACACAGAGTCATACAGATGTAAATGCACAGCAAAACACATATGTATACACCCACGTGTACACATAATATATATATATATATATATACATATACATATACATATACATATACATATACATATATATGCAAAATCATGCGATATGCCTACGACATGCACACACGTTCCTGTGTCTGCCATGCTGCACTACCCGACTGGATGTCAGTAGCCCTCTTTCTGCAGGCTGTATCATGTCTAGAATCTAGATGCTCCCTTCCATTCTGCCCTAACTTCACTTGATGCACTCCTTTGTGTTTATGCCATCGTGTATTCACCTGAAGCCCAAGCAACAACAACAGCAGCAACAACAACAACAACAACAGCAGCAGCAACGTCACCAACACCAACACCAGTGCCGACAGCAGCCACAGCTGCAGCAGCAGCAGAAGCGGCCAGCAGCAGAAACACCGAATCCGACAACATGTCATGAGCCACCCAGACCTTCCAAAATCCCTTAATTAAGGAATATACCTTAATTAATTCATATTTGGGATCCTATTATATGTTAAGGTATATTCCTTAATTAATGGATTTTGGAAGGTCCCTTCTGTCACAATCCAGGCTTCAGGTTGCAGACAGCAATGCTTGCTTCAGGATTTGTGCCACTACCCAGAGGCTCCATAGTAGTTCCTTTTTGGTAGTACCCTATAGGATTCCATATATGAACCCCCAAAAGGAACTACTATGGAGCCTCTGGGTATGCACATAATCTGCTGGGAAGCCAACATGCCAAAACATGCAGAAACTTGATTGCTGGGCCGTAGGTTTAGGGTTTAAGGTTTAGGGTTTAGGGTTTAGGGTTTAGGGTTTAGGGTTTAGGACTTCAATCCCAAATCCGAATGAACCCAGGAGCCCAGCTGCTGAAAAACTAGGCTACCGTTCGTACAACCTAGACAGGAAGCTGGGGTAAGTTGAAGTTCGGGACTCTTCCTAATTTAATGCAAGACTACAGAACTGTTCCTACACCCTGAATCCCAAACCCTGAGCCCTAAACTCTTAACCCCAAATCCTCAACCCTAAACCCTAAAGCCTGTAGAACCCTAAAGCTTCCTTAAAGGATCCCTCAAAAGCAGCCCCCCCTAAGGGCGCCTTTTTCAGGGTCTTAGGCTCCCGGCTGCTGTGGAACTGCTCTCCAACGAGATGCCCATCGCGTGGATACCTCTGAGCTATCAGAACGGGGGCCGATTTCTTCGGGTTCTTTTGGGATTCCTTAGGGTTTAGGGGGGTTTTAGGGTTTAGGGGTTTAAGGTGTAGTGGTTAGGGGTTTAGGGGTTTAGGGTATAAGGGCCGATTCCTTACAGTTCCATTGAAGGGCTCCTTTTAAAGGGGTCCGTTAAAGGGGTCTAAGGGATCTATAGTAGGGTTCTATGGACACCTCTAAGCTGTCAGAGTGAATACTTTAGGGATTCCTTAGGATTTGGGGGGGGGGGGGGGGTTTAGGGTTTAGGGGTTTAGGGTTTAGGGGCCTTAACAATTAGAATAGGGTTCCTTTAAAGGGGAAAGGGGTCTATAAGGCTACAATATTTATTTATACTTGTGGGATCTTATTATAAGTATGGTATAATGTCAGAACGAGAGTCAAGATGTAGGGCTCGTGGGACTTAAGGCTGAGAGTTTAGGGCTTTAGGTGTGAGGCTTTGGGTTTTGGGTTGAGGGCTGAAGGTTTAGGGGCTCAGAGAATGATTTGGGGTTTGGTGGAGCTTGGCGTAAACCTTAACCCCTATATCCCTACAAAGCCTAAACCTTAAACCCTATAAGCCCTATATCCCCACAAAGCCTAAGCCCTAAACCCTATAAGCCCCAAAACCCTCATAACGCGAAAGATGTAGCAAATCTTGCCCCTGAGCTCGAAGCCCCAAATCCGAAATCCAAAGAGCCCTTAACCTTCAGTGGAAGCCAGAAAGTTGGAACATCATTAGCCTCATGCCCTTAAAGCAAAGTAAAGGGAATCGTAGCACTAATCCTCCTAAATCCATGTTCCAACTTTCTGGGAGTCACTATTGAGCTCTCTGACCACATTCTTAAACTCTAGCTCAAAACCCTAAAACACGAAGCCATAAACTCTACCTGTGGCCCAAAAGACATACCAATGTAGGAGCTATCTATCTATCTTTATATTACTTTATATATAAGTATATATATATACATATATATATATATATGTATGCATATAGAAACCAAAATAAGGAGCCCTAAAAGGTAGGTCTTTTCGGCTACAGGTAGTACTAGTTCAACCTCAGGCTCCAAACTGCTCACGCCATGGAGCCGTGCATGCCAAGTCGGCGAACGGTTTAGGGTTTTGGATCCCATTACCTTAAACTACCAAAACCTACTTTTTCGCAGGTTCTTATTATAAACCCTAATAAGGGATTTATAGGGACCCTACAAAAAAGTAGGTTTTGGTCGGTTAAGGTAATTATAGCATATAGTTATAACCGGGAACCCCCAAAGCAGGATTCAACCCTATAAACCCTACACAGCTTAGGGTTAGCGGTTTAAAGATTAGGGTTTAGGGTCGACACTAGAGTCTACACAACTTAGGTTCTAGAAGCTCTCGAACCCCAGAAGACGTAGCTTGGGAAACTTCTCGAGACTTTCGTTGCCCGAATAATGCACACCCAAGCCTATTCTAATTATTAATTCTTAAGGACCCTACATCAAGCGCAACATTGCTGTGAACCCCATCAAAACCTGCAGACGCCCATGAAATCACTAAACTCCCTAAACCCTAAGCTCCCTTCAGAACTGCGATGCACGCTACCTGTGGGATGGAGCCTCGCAACGTAAGGCAGCTAAACAGACCCCTCTTGAGCCCACATGCATACACAGACACACACAGAGTCAAGGTGGTGAAGACCGTTAGGGCGTTGGGGCTTTAGGCTACAGTTGTGGGGTTTAGGGCTTCAGGCTAAATTGCTGGACTTCGGGTAAGCCGTTAGGCTAAGAATGATCGGGGATAGGTCCTCAGGCTAGGGCTTTAGGACAAAGGTTTCGGGTTAAGGTCCCAAAGCTCTGAGGACTCATATGTTATACGCAGACCTTCCAAAATCCTTGAATTAAGGAATATACCTTAAATTATGATAGGATCCCAAATATGAATTAAGGTATATTCCTAAATTAGGGCATTTTCAAAGGTCTGGGTACCTAGGCTCTGGTCCCACAGACCCCACCCAACGAGGCGGCTACATTGAGCCTTGGGGTGACGGCTCCGGGGGTTTCGCGGGAAGGCGCGGTCCCGGTACCGAACGCCTACATGGCCGTATTAACGTGTCTACTAAGCGTATATCAGCAAACTGGGGTTTAGGGTTTAGGGTTTAGGGGTTTAGGGTTTAGGGTTCTGAATGACCCTAAACCCTAAAACCCTAAAACCCTGAACCCTTTCACCCTAAGCCCATCACTTTACCTGAGCCTTACCGGCTCCTGCAGTCCCTTGCGGTACACCTATAGTCTCCATTGTAGTTCCTTTATTTGGTTAGCCAGTTTTATGGTTAGGATCCCATAATAGAGTTTTTGGTTAACCAAAAAGAGGAACTACAATGGAGACTACAGGGAACTCCAGAAAGTTGGAATATGGTTTCAGGGTAGGATACCTTGTAATCTACCATTCAGCGTTTAGGATAATCATATTCCAAGTTTCTGGCTTTTACTCTATAGGCATGATGCAGAAACCTTGAGGCAGCACCCTTCTTTCCGGCACCGTATCGCAAGGATGCACATGCCTAGGGTCTAGCGGAAGGTTCTCTTCAGTTTCTGATGCTCCCACATAGGCAGCCTAGGAAGCTGGGTATACATACCAGAAACAATGAATAAGGCTGAACATGTGTACTATAAATACATAAACAAATATATATATATATATATATATATATATATATGCTCACCCCCCCCCCGGTGACAGACCACGGGTCTAAAAACACCGTGCACAACGATATTCTGTGAAGCAAAACCGTTACATGAGGTATATAGTATAGCACCAGACGTGCGGCACATGAGTTACGTAATAGTCTTGTGGTAGTATCGGTATTAGGGTGAGTATTGTTATTAATATTAGTACTATTGCTTGCTGTAAGTATACGTATCAATATTGCCAACTATAAATTAGTGTTAGTGCTCATGTTCGTGTTAGAGTTAGCGCTAGTGCCAGTGTCAATGTCAGTAATACAGCACCACTGCTACGAGTAGTATCAGTATCAGTCTTAATGCTGGGTTTAACAGCAGCTTATATTCGCAGAAGTGCTAGTATTAGTATCAATATTAGAACTAGTTAGTTTTGATATGTTAGTATATTGATAGTCTCGTATATTAGCAGATTAGTATATCAATACATCAATGTATTCGGACAGCAAAATATTTGCATACTTGTATACTAGTATATTTTACATGTTAGTACAACTGGTGCATGACTACACTACTATACTGCTGTATTAGCTTACTAGTATATTGACATACCAGTATATTCGTACGTTAGCATATTAGTGTACGAATATGTGTACTATATTACTGTTTTATCTAATCATGTATAAGTATATCAGTATGTTGGCATATTAGTATACGAACTTGTCATGTCGGTATTCTTGCATAGTGCAGTAGCCGTATATGATTATAGTCACATATTCGTATAGTATATTCATACAACAACGAGAAGTATATTGATACATTGGTATATGGGTATATGCCTATGCCAAAGCATTAATACATGAATGCACTGATGTATATATCTGTATCTTAAGATAGTGGTACGTATTTTATGTACATGAGTATATGCAGGTGTCTATTAGTAATGGTATTAGTTTTCATATCAATATGAATATACTATTGGTATTCGTAGGAGTATTAATGTCAATACTAGTAGAAGTAGGACTATTTATACTCGTAATAGCCATAATATGAGTGTTCATGCTGGTAATACTAGTGGCATTCTTGAATATGCAGCAGATTATCAAAGTCCGTATTAGTGTTGGTGATAGCACTACTGTTAACGCACAAGGGTTTACGTATTCGTATTCGTAGGAGTATAAATAGCTATGTAAATATTGATGTTAGTATAGATTTTGTGTTAAGTATTAGCAGTAGTGTTAGCGTTAGTACTATCATATTATTGATGATATACATTCGAAAGAATGTTTGTATTGTTATTACTCTTGACCACGTGAAATTCTAACAGTTGAATTCATGAGTGAGTTAAAGGATTTGTATTTTAATATGGTGGTATGCATGTTTATGTACATTAGTACATACAGGTGTGTGTTAGTATTGGTATTATTATACATTATTATCAATATGAATATGGTTATTGATATGCGTAGGAGTACTAAGAGCAATACTAATCAATCTTAGTATTTGTGTTATGCATATTCGTACTAAGCTTTATAGAAGTGTAATATTAGTAGTAATGCTGGTATTAGCTTGAGCATTCAACAAATGATCAATGTCAGTATGTTCAATGGCAATACTATATGTAGGAGTATCAATACATATATGTATATATAGATATACAGATAGATAGAGAGATATTCGTGTAAATATGGGCATGAGTATTGACAGCCCTTGCCTTTGCAAGTAATCTGGTCCGATGCGGAGACTAGCACGACAAGGCGCGCGGGTGTCCTACCAAGAAAGGAATTACAGAGCACACGTGTATGGATGAGGGTTGTGCTGATACACTACATAGTAAGCACTACACAGTAATCTTACTTGAGTCATATATAGAACAGATTCCAGCATTTCCAAAATTTCCAAAATTTCCAAAATTCTCTCCCCTAACTTTCCGCATTTCCAAAATTTCCAAAATTTCCAAAATTTCCAAAATTTCCAAAATTTCCAAAATTTCCAAAATTTCCAAAATTTCCAAAATTTCCAAAATTTCCAAAATTTCCCGACCTAGTCGACAGGATTTTTCCAAAACATAAGGGCGGACTTTTTGGAAATTTTGGAAATTTTGGAAATTTGGAAATTTGGAAATTTTGGAAATTTTGGAAATTTTGGAAATTTTGGAAATCCGGAAAGTTAGGGGAGAGAATTTTGGAAATTTTGGAAATTTTGGAATTGAGGCTTTGAAAGCTGAGTGCCCCCTCCCCCCGATCAGACCATGCACTACGACTGAGTCGAAAGGGCATGGTCTGTCATGGGGGGGGGGGGTGACCATATATATATATATATATATATATACACACTATGTATACATCACATTGGCAGAGCGATCTAGTCTTGGGCTCCCTTTGAAGGCTTGACAGAAACTTCGCAAGGTTTAGGGTTGAGGGCTTTGTATGGCTTACAGCTTCATTGCTTTATACCAAAACCTGCATCCTAAGCTCTCAAGCCCAGGTCTTTGGGTTTCTGGATCCTTAAACTTGATTCTAATCAAAATCCAAGAGCCTTGATTTTTTGCAATCTGTGAGACTGACTGTGAGACCGCTCAATTCTCGGGTGAAACAACTCTCTGCAGTCATCTGCCGTTGGCACCTACACCCTAAATTGGGCCTCAATAGCCAAGAAAGCTTTGTAAGACTTGATTGATCGGGAGTGCCAAGCCCGCGAAACGTATCTCTAGCGCAAGTGGTCCATAAAGGTGGTCCATACGCTGCATCACGTCGTTGTCAGTCCATTCTGAAGCGAGCCGATGACCTGTCCAGGGCTTCGGGTGCGGGGTTCGGTGCTGCGTCTCACGGTTTCGGTTTGAGATTTTCTTCAACGACTTTGGGTTTTTTGCCCCGGATCAAGTGCTTGGACAGTGGAAACCTCCGAAACCCTAAACCCTGAACCCTGACTTATAGCCCTGCCTACCTTACACCAGGTTTCTCAGCCTTCATAATGTGGTATGTTCCTATCGTTGATTTTTACCAAGGAGACCCTACAGACTAGAGGGTGCTACCGGTCGCCCAATTCTGACGGTCTCTGAAGTTCTCCTGTTGCGGGCTCTGGTCGAGGCTGGCCGTGACATGTCGATTGCTTTTTTTGCGGTGCGGCCCCAAGCAACGTCGGATGTGACTCCCGTCCTAAGGGTGTAGATGGTGTAGGGACTCAGGGTGTTGAGAAGGGCGCGTTGGGTCGAAAAGTTTAGGATGTAGGAGATCGCATCAACCAGTCGAACTTCTGCCGCGTTCGGCAGAGGAATGTAAAGGCTTGCATTCCCACAGCTGTGAGATCTGGGGGCAATTCGGATATTGATAATCGTGCTGTTCAGGCCCCCTGTGCGCTTCTTGGGTTCCCTTCTTCTGAAACTTCACCCGTATCGTTGACCACGAAACCATAGGTTCACGCTTCAAGGAGGGTCCAGGCACAGTCCTAAATCCATCAGTTCAGGAAAGTTTCGAGTTTAATGCTTTGGGGTTTAGTATCTTCTGCTCTCCTCTGGCCCCGGCGAGATATGGCCTGCTGCTGCTCGCGAGAGACATGGGCTTGTTGGCGCTTCAAGTCGGAGAACCTCGAGAACACAAGTTTACATCGGGTACTGCCCCCATACAGTAACAGTCTATATTAGGGCTACTATTAAGGTCCTAATATATCTATATTATGAATATTATCCAACTGTTACTGAGTGGGGGCAGTACCCAAAGTTTACACGGAGTTTGAGAAGGGCCTTCTGAACCCAGACGCTTGAGTTGAGTTTCTGGGCCTTCTTTGCAGAGACCGGGCGTTTAAGGGGCGCGGAGTTCAAGGCTTGGGGAGCTGTAAGGTGGCCGAGAGTGATGTAGAGTCGAGCCTAAGAGCCATCACATGGCCCAGCCATATGTACACACATATGATGTATGTGTTACATGGAAGGGGTGCGTACGAGTGGGGGCCAAAGAGAGAGAGAGTGTGCGTCTGTGTGTGTGTGTGTGTGTCATGGCGATAATCTTGCCCATATTATCTTTCCGCCACCAAAGCAGAAAGAATCCGACCTGTCCCAAACGCCAACACCCACCTAGGATGCACATGTTGGAAGCAACCCTGGGCTCGGACATAAATCAACCTATGACAGCGGTCCGTTTTGCAAGGGTTTGCCGGACTTTTTTGGTACCGCAGTACACTGCAAAAAGCAGGTTAAGGTAGTAACACTCGGCCTCTCCTGAAAACCTTCCTGCCTCTAGCTTTTCTGGTTGAGGGATCTGTGAAGAGACACTCCTACTGTTAGCGTATGCTAGTCTTGTGAATCGGGAGAACCCTAAAACTTGCCCGAAACACAGGAAACCTGAGGAAACCCATCCAAAACCGACAGAGCCCAAATCCCCGTACCCTAAAGCGACTTTAAACACTCCCACCTCTTCAACATTCTTCAACCATATAAACCTGAAGGCTTTTGGGTTTGGGGTTGAGCCTTTGAACCTTAAAGCAAGTCCCTGGCCCTTTCTGCAGCTTCTTCAGCTTCTCCCCATTGTCCTCCATCGTCTTGGTGACGCCTGGCCCAACTCTTTAGGCTTCCCGAATCCTGAAAGTCTGAAAGGAACCTCTGAACCACAAGCCCTTAAAGGAATCCCGAGACCCTTTAATCTACAGGAGTAATGAAAGGAATCCTGCACCCTTGGGTTCGATGTCGGTTCCCTGAGGGCTGTACATTAAAGGGTCCTTCCAGGTTCTATATGGGTTCTACAAGGGTTTCGGCAGCATGCTATGTGAGTCTTTATGGTTTGACATGCCTATACGACCCCTGAAAACCTAAACGATCCTAAACCGACCAGCCGAAATCATGAGACGTACATCTCTGGCCACTACACCCCTGAAGGCTTGAGCCATAGCCGTACGGGTCCAGGTACCTAGTAATCATACACTCTCCTAAATAGGAACCTACATAGCTACTACCCGAAACCTAAGTACCTAAATATTGGGTCCTCTGGTCCACTAAAACTTCTGCAAACGACCCTACAAATCCCTGTAGATCCCGTCTGAAAGCCTCCTGGAATCCCTGATTACCGGGTCCTTGGGACACCTTAGCTAGGAGGTGCTTTTAAAGCCTTTGAAAAAGACTTTAGTATATAGGTAAGATCCTCTTAAGGTCAATAAGAGCAAATATAAAATTTCCCAAAGCCCTACCTAGTAGTTCAACGCTACACCCTAAACCCTAAGTTGGGGCCCATCATACTATAATTAAAATAAGGAAACATCAGAATGGTGGGTCCGCTTTAAAGGGTAAGGGCCATGAAACCGCGGCTATACTGAACTTAGAACCCTAGCAAAAGTTTCTTAGGGATTATAATAACCAAAAAATAAAAAAATCTAAGTACCCCTAAGGTTCCCTTTTTGGTTAGCTAACTTGATGGTTAGGATCCTATCATAGAGTTTTTGGTTAACCAAAAAAAGGAACTACAATGGAGACTATAGGTAGTTACATCTGAAGCCCTCGAATCCCAAAGCCGCTGAACCACCTGAGGTTTAGGGCTTTCGCAAGATGGGGGTTTCCGAAAGCAGGGGGTACCTTATTGTACGGGTCCTTATGATCAGGATCCTACAATTTAGGGTACTATGTTAGGGTCCCCTAATTTTCGGAAACTCCCATATACGGATCACAGAGGAGCACTCTGTCACAAGAAAGGGGCGGTCTAAAACACCTCACGCAACGCGCCCGTCAGCAGTAACCCCGAAAGCGAACTGAAAAACCCTCACAATGTTCCCAAGAATCTCCCTACGTGGTGACAATCACGTGATGGCCTCATGAATCAGAGTAGGGTTTTGAGGTCCATGGAACAAAACTTATATGTATAATAAGAACCTCCCGAAATAGTATAGGTAACTTTTAAGGCCCCTACATTACCTTCTCAAGCTCCAGCAAGAAAGCCCCAGGATCAAGATGCTATTGGGTGGAACCCAAAACCCGAAGTCCAAAATCACAAGAGGAAGACGAAGCCTGGGTCCAGATAGTAGGGCTTTAGGTGCAAAGATCGTTTTGAGTTCCGAGTATTGGTTTTTGGATACGATGAACCCTAAACCCTGCACCGTTAAACCCTAAACGCCTCAACGCCTAAACCCTCAAGCCTAAACCCTAAACCTCAAACCCTAAACCTAGGAAGGTCGTACTATGTGGACTCTAAGAAAGATTGCTCCCACCTTCGAGTCTCTGCCGAGCTTTCGTGATGAGAGCTTGGATCTGCCCCAGTGGGCTTAGAGTTTTAGGGTTTGGGGGTTTAGGGGTTTCGGGTTTTAGGGTTTTGGGGTTTCGGGAGTAATTTTAAAGTTTAGGGTTTAGGGTTTATAAGGTTTAGAGAGGGCAATGACTTGGAGCGTTGGGGTTTCAGGCTTCGGGGTTAAGGGCTTAAGCGGGGGGTTGGGGTCCGTTATGTAGAAAAGTAGGCACCATACAAAAAGGGCAGGGTATGGCCCGGTTGGTTTGCAGGCATCGGGGTTTCGGGTTTTCGGCTTCGCGGTTTAGGGCTGACTTAGGTACATTTAAGTAAACCGTAAACCCTAAACCCCCAAAACCCAAAAACCCTGAAGCCTGTAAATCGTAAACCTGGAGGGTGTAAGGTTTCAGACTTCTGGGCTAGGGCTCCAGATGATATCCATCGAGCTGCCTTTGCTTGAAGGCTTCGCTTAGAGGCTGGGTTCTTGCTACTTAAGGACCAAGCTGAATTTACGTTACCATATTAGGGATCCATTTTCACTAACAAGGTGTCCTTAGCGTCCTTATTACGGCAGCATAATTTATTATACTACTGATAAATGCAGATCAAAGGCCTGGAGTTTTTGGGCTCCCAGACTTTAGGGGCTACTGGCTTAACCACAAGTAGGCTTCGATGGAGCAACTAACTGACGAGTATTTCTGGGCTTCAGGTGAGTCAACGGATGTTCCGTGGCAACAGAATTGAGGCGCTGCATGGTTTCGGGCTCAGGGAGTGGGCCAGACCCAGACCTTCCAAAATCCCTTAATTAAGGAATATACCTTAATTCATATTTGGGATCCTATTATAAGGTATATTCCTTAATTAAGGGATTTTGGAAGGTCTGGGGAGCCTTTCAAGACTTTTTGGGGAACATGGGTTACCTGCCCGGACGACTGAGCGAATCCAGCGCTTCATGTCGTTAGACTCGCAGGTCTTTATGGCGGCTTGAATCGAAGCAGCTGTTGTGGAGATGCCAGCCCCGACATGCCATGCATCTTTCTCTTGGTCAGCGCAGAGGTGGAAGTGACAGGCTGCCTTCTTGTTCCCCTCTGATGCTGCTTCCCAAACTTGCTGCAATGACAAGGAGTCTAAGATGCTTTCGCCGTACGGCTCCAGGGGGACTTTCCGGAAATAGGGAACCCCAATGTAGTACCCTAAATAGCAGGATCCTTATTATAAGGACCCCCAAAATAAGGTACCCCCCCATTTGCGGAAACTCCCAGGAGCTGCGCGGCCGAAGAGTCCCACAGGTCGACACTTTCACTCGCTTCCGGGATGACTCGGCCGGAGCGACTGCCTCGGCCTTGGGCATGTCGAAGAGTCCACCAGACATGTCGACAACAGAAGCAAACCAGGACCCTCCTTGTACCCTCAAATAGGGGTAGATGGTCCCAAGTAATGGGTAATTACTTCGGATAGGGGGTAGATGGAGGGTCCAGGATGTTACCAGCTTTGATCGGGTTTGCTTGTCGGAGCCAACTGAACATGTAAGGATATACGAAGTCCAACTTCGAGAGACGCGCTTGGGATAAAGGATCGCAATGTTTTCGGGTCTAGGGGCAGCAGCCCAAGCTCTGCGTCCACGCCCTGACATGCTCAACAGACTTGACGAGAAAAGACCCGGACGAAATAGATGCATCTAATCCCTTCCCCCTCGAACTTCCCAGCAAACAGCACCGAGAAATCGTCCGCAACTTTCAAAACCTGCAGGCCGAAGCTTCAATGTCCTAGATCCTGCAACAGGAGACCCTCAAAGCCCGAAAATATTGGGGGGGGGGGGGGGGGTTCGTGTTTAGGGGTCGCATTCTCCCCGACCTAAACCTCTCAACTCCACAACCCTCTGAACCCCACGCTCCGCCAAAAGTCGCATCGCCTCATCATCGATGTCCCGAATGACCTAGGATATGGGGCCATATCCCTACAAGTCCACATACCCATGGAGTATACACCTTAGCCTTAAAGTGCTTCCTATTTGGGTATTTTGGGGCCCAAGTATCTACGACGAATCTACGATATGGGGCCTCGTTTCTTTTAATATGAGGTCTCCAGGTGGCACTATTCCCGAACACGCAGATCTTTATGAGCCATACCTATAGTCTTCATTTTAGTTCCTTTTTTGGTTAACCAATTTTAAGGTTAGGATCCTATAATAGGGTTTTGGGTTAGCCAAACAAAGGAACTACAATGGGGACTATAGGTATTGAGCTGTAATAAAGAAACGGTAAAGAATCATGATATGATTGCTAACTCTATTCAAACCTCTACATGACAAGACACAGTTAGTCAGGAGGCCTAACAACACCAGAAATCTGTCTACATACTTTGCAGGATCCAGGGGTCATGGCGTACGGTGTCGGGCCTTAGAGTATCGAGTTTAGCCAGCCTTCCTGGCCCTGTAGATGCTTGAGGGCCACCAAACTTGACAACGCCCCGTACCCTACCCAAAGGCCCCAAAGTAGTTCTTTTTAGGGGTTCATATATAGAATTATAGAATCCTGTAAGGTTATCCCAAAAAGGAACTACTATGGGGCCTCTGGGTAAGCCCTAAACTCCTAAAGCCCCTAGCCCTTCCATCGGTGAGCCCTAAACCTTGCTGTATAAACCCGAAACCGAACCCCAAACCCCAACTCCCTACTGTTGATGATATAAATCCTGCATTACCTTGAAATAAGGGGCATTTAGGGTCTCATGGAGGGTAGATGGAGGGTCTGGGTAGGGTGTAGGGTTAGCCTTGCACCTGAACCCCTAAGCCAATCCCAAACCCTAAATGGGCCACCGGCGGGAGATTTGCTGCCCGAGTCCTGACGTGAGTCGCTGCACGCCCAAAGCTTGAGACTTCGAGCTCGATTCCAAAAGGATTTAGGGTTTAGGGCCTAACTTAAGGGTTTAGGGTTTAGGGCCTGATTTAAGGGTTTAGGATTTAGGGGTTTAAGGGTTTAGGGCCATAATGGTCTAAATTTTTGGGCTTTTCAAGCTTAAAGTGTCGGAATACCAACATACTGAGAAGGAGATCAAGTATGATGCGCCTTTGCCCAAGTGGTGGGTGTTCCTTTGTGATCAAGATTGCCGAAATTATAGCACAATTCGACAACTGCGCCGACATCGGTAACTTGCAGAGTTTAGGGTTTTGCTGCTGAAAAGGTCAGAGACTAGGGCTTACCTAAACCCTCCTGAACCTTGATACGCCTAACCTCCGCAAGGACACATACAAAGAAATGACACTGCGGAACCCTCACAGTTTAGGCCAGTAGGGTTCAGGTGCGGCTGATGATTCTAGACCTGCCCTTCTGAAATCGAAGCGCCACACCCAATGCTGCGGTCCTCCAAGACAGTAGCACCCTTCATAGAATGTCAATTCTCAGGGTTGTGTTTCGGTACCCTCAGTGTCCAAGAATCTCGCATTATGAAAAACTATAGAAAAGGACTACCTGGACACTGTGCGGTATGCTTGAATCCTTACGTGCAACGTATTGCATTCTGTAAGACTGCAAGCAGCAGCACAGTCTTACGCGCATAGATAACTCAAAAGCCCCGGCCATACTGAACCCGAAGCGGAAATCCGAATCGCCCTAGTTTAATCTTAAGAATATACACTACAAATATTTTGCTTACTAAATATATCAATTTCTACAAACATCTGCAATTTTTTGTATAAGCCCCTAAACTCCAAACCGCTTCAGGGCTTGAGGAGGCCCGGGCTGACTTTGGATCTTAGCTAAGGCGGGGGCTTTAACAACCCCAAAGGGTCCAAAGTACCGATATAGTAGACTGTAGGGTTTTTTTAATTAATAATTTACTATTATGATTTAGGCTTTTCATTAGGAATTACTATTATGATTTAGGGCTTTTAATTAGGAATTACTACTGTGATTTGGGGAAGTATTCCCCATGACACTACCTAGGACCCTTTGGGAACAAGTGTAGGCTTTAGGGCCTTTAAGGGTTTAGGGCTTTTTCCTCTGGGGATGCTTTCGATATGGGGAGGTTTCCGAAAATAGGGGACCCTAATATAGTAGCCTACATAGTAGGATCCTGATTATAAGGACCCCAACATAAGGTGCCCCTCAATTTCGGAAACTCCATATTACGGTAAACCCTACTAAACCGGGAACATATGACCCAATCCCGGATTTGGGTCTTGCAAGGTTTGCATCAGTCCTCACCGCGTTCCTGTCTGGCCTGGCTCAAGGATTTCATCTGGCTTTCCCTAAGGGTCCGAGTAGCCAATAGTCATATGGGTGGTTGTCAACATTAGGGTCCCTTTTGGGGTACCCTAAATAGTAGGTGCCGCATTATACTAGGGACCCAGAAGGGGATCCTAATTTTGACAACCACCCATATAATCTGACAAACCGGAACCTGCATACCTACTATCCGAAACCTAAGTACCTAATGACGGGGTCTTTTGGCCCCTTAAAGCCTCTGTACAAACTCGACAAACCCCCCATAGATCCCTTATGGCGCCCTTACAGACCCCTAATGATTGGGTCCTTTGTACAAACCCCCTATAGATCCCTTATGGCGCCCGTTACAGAACCCTAACGATTGGGTCCTTTGGACCTTTTTGGGCTTCGTGTTGTTATTCACTGTGCTGGTGTGGGATACTGTTGATGATATAAATCCTGCCTTACCAAAAAGACCCAAGACTATGGGAATTATGGTATATTCCTTAATATGGGTAATGCAGGATTTATATCATCAACCGTAGGGTATCGGAGTTTAGGGTCGTTCAGGGACTGACAGTTCGGATTTCGGATTGCTGTAGAGGTTTATCTCCTTCTGCTGATGACTGCTCCGGTCATTGGCACGGCTATTTCTGCAGGCATCGACTTTGTTGAACTTGTTTAGGCCTTCGTGACAAATTGTTTGCTTCATGGAGGGAGCGTGAAGGGAACACTCCTCCTGGTGTGATAAGCGCATCTACGAACCAGGACCCTCCTCGTACCCTCAAATAGGGGTATATGGTCCCAAATAATGGATACTTAGGGTCTAATAGGGGGGTAGATGGAGGGTCTAGGAAGGTGCGAAGTATGTTGTGTCGCAGTGTCCCGCATGTGTGTGAAACAATGAGATCCAGAACGTGCCTCGTCTGCCAGATCCTAGATACAGCGAAGACTCGGCTTCTACAGTCTACAGTAGTATGGTCCAGTAGAGAAAGTCGAGCAGAGTGTGGTCTATATGAGTAATTGTCAAAATTAAGGTCCCTTTTTGGGTACCCTAAATAATAAGGTGCCGTAATATAATACGGACCCCAAAAAGAAACCATAATTTTGACAACCACCCATATGAAGAACCGAATGAAGAACCCTTCATTCGCCTCATCTTCTTCTGCCATGGCGCGGCCCCGATGTCTGGCGATGTTCGCCCGCCCGAGGTCACTCGCAAAAGGCAGCGGTCCACGAACGGTTTCGAGTTAGGGTTTAGGGTTTAGGGATTAGGGTTTACGGATTAGGGATTAGAGATTAGGGTTTTGAGTTTGGGGTGTTAGCCAGGGTCATGTAGGCATCGGGCACAGTACATGGCTCCAGACTGCCCTTTCCATTTGCGTAGCTGTAGGGTTTTGTTGCTGTTCCCCAAGCTACCCGCTACGCCCAAGTGGCTAAACAGACTGTCATACAATATGGAGGCCTTACTTAGATTGGATTTGGGGGTACACCATATAAAGAGCATAGGCACTTTGAAGGGGCAGCATGACTAACTATTCCAACCCCTTTCTTACTCTTTTGGGCTTCGAACACGCTTGGGGTGGCTTTCTCTCGCAGACTCAACAATCGAGGAAAGGGCTCGAGGGACAGTCTACAGTAAATGTATTTACAAGGCTTAACCCACCAACAAAACCCAATTTTCAACCAGCAATGAAGCTCTTAACAAAGAACAACTTGCATGTGGTTCAGGGTTTAGGGTTTAGGGCCCAGGGTTGCGATACAGGAGCCGGGGTGTAAATAATCAGAATGGGTGTTGGGTTGAGCGGTTTGTACAAAACTCCACTACCAAGGACATCCAAGGAAAAAAGAAGGAGCAATGCTCTTGTCTATTCGGGCACCTAAAACATGCCCCAAACGATACTACTGTATTCCGGAATGATATTCCTGATCTCTAAAGGAAAAAACCCTGAGCCAATATAGGAGCCCTAATAATTAGAATAGGTTTTTGGGGTGTATCATACTCTACTTACTATAATTAATAAGGAACCCTAGGAAAAGTGGTAAGATCTGACCTGCTCGGGGCCAATGCCGGGACTGTCAGGACGAACCGAAGAACCCTTGCAGTACAAACTAAAGTGTGGTAAGTACAGTTTAGTATAGCACCTATAGTCTCCATTGTAGTTCCTTTTCTGGGTTAACCAAATTCAGGGTTAGGATCCTATAATCGAGTTTTTTGGGCAACCAAAAAAAGGAACTACAATGGAGACTATAGGTAGACTCAAAACCCTAAACCCTAAACCCCTAAACCTTAAACCCCTAAACCTTAAACCCCTAAACCCTAAAGCCTAAATAGTAGAGTATCGTGCTTAGATGCGCTTAGCTTTCGGGGCTTCGGGTTCGGATCTTCAGGGCTTGGAGGTTGGGTTCAAGGCTTCGGGTTGGGGGCAGTTGTCAAAATTAAGGTCCCTCTTTGGGTACCCTAAATACCCAGACCTTCCAAAATCCCTTAAATAAGGAATATATCTTAAACCATATTGAGGATCCTACTATAATGTAAGGGATATTCCTTAATTAAGGGATTTTGAAAGGTCTGGGTAATAGGTGCCGTATTTATAACAGGGACCCCAAAAAGGAACCGGGGACCCAGGATGCCCCGTAGCCTAAGGAAAAAACAGGGCTCCCTTTTTGGTATTGGGTAACTTTTTAAGGAACCTAGGACTACAAAAAGGGAATAAGGGTACTACCTATAGTCTCCATTGTAGTTCCCTTTTTTAGTTACCCAAAAACTCTATTATAGGATCCTAACCATACATTTGGTTAACCCAAAAAAAGGAACTACAATGGAGACTATAGGTAGTGGGGATCCGAGGGCTTAATGCTCAGCTATTCGAGGTATAGGGTCACGGGCTCCAAGGCTTCGGGCTCAGCAATTCCCTCGGTTTAGGGCTTACCTTAACCCGGAATAGCCTACCTTTTAAGGACTTATATAAGGAAATTTAAGAAGGAGCCCTAAAAAGGTAGGTTATTCAGGGTCAAGGTAGGGTTTAGGGTTAAAGGCCAAGCCGGGAAGGGCAATGACTTTGGCGTACGTTACAACAGGGCTTTGGGCTCAAGGTCCTGGGTGATAGTCATGCACCCTATAGTCTCCATTTTAGTTCCTTTTTCTGGCTGAACTAATTGTATATTGAGGACCCTAAAAGGTAACCCCCAAAAGGAACTACAATGGAGACTATACGACGTCTTCTGAACCCTAGAAGCGGAGGCCCAAGGAATGCGTAAAACCCAACCGTGTGCATGGCGAAACTAGGCATACGAAGGGCTCTGCTACGTGCCATGAGATGCTTGGGCATGTTCTGGGTCTTCTCCTAGACCCAAGAGTAACCTAGGAATAAAAAGGGTGCCCTTTTTGGTTTAAAGGGGCTTATAAGGGAACCTGAACCCCCAAAAAGGGAATAAGGGCCTACTCTAGGTCCTAGTCTCAGGGCCCCCGAACACACACCTAGCTAAGAAGACCATGCCCCCCCCGGCAAGTTTAAGACGCAGAACGACTTGTGGTCATCAGCATATCTCGGTCACCTCAATCAGAGGTAGGCCATATTGTACAGGTCATGCTGCCACTGCGCCAGATTCGGTTGAGGTCTCGTGTAACCCTAGATCTTCATGCCACATCCTGAACTTGAATCCCGAAAACAAACACGCAAGACCACTATTGATGTCTCCCTCCCAGGGCAGTGGGTCAAATCATGGCCTCGTTGGCATCGGAGTTCTACTGCTGCGCTCGACGTTCCAAGATGTATGCGGGTTATGCAGGGTGCGGGGCTTTCGGGTTCATGGCTTGCGGTTTAAATATGCAGGTCATGCAGGGTTCAGAGGTTGTGAGAGGTCATGGTATCGGGATGCGAGACAATCATGCTGAAGCAGCATAGGTAAGGCAACTCGACCTGCATCCAATAATGCAACACTGGCATCACTGTCATTTACGTGCGGCCCTTGTCAAAAACACACTCGACCACAATGTCTCCTCACCGTTCTTCCCTGAAAGTTATTCATGACATGGTTGCCCCTACTAGTGTATTATGCACACATAGCTTGAAGTCCCCAACCATTGAAACGGTGATGGTCACGAAGGCTCAATCCCACTTGTCCAGTATCCTGGGGAACTAAGGCTAACCTTTGGGAGCTTGCTGGGATCACACATATACATATATACTGTGTATATATATATATATGCATATATATATATATATATATACATATGCATACATATGTGTATATATATATGTAACATATACATAGGGTTTAGGGTTTAGGGTTTAAGGGGATGATAGTACCCCAAAACTGTAAACAAAACGTTACCTACTCTACTGCATGGCAATCCTGAACCCGAACAGAAAGGATGAAGAAACGTGGCATCTCTCACATCCAGGGAAAGCTGAAAGAGTTGAAGTATTTTTTGGTGTAGCATAGAAACGAAACTAAATAACCGCCAGCCAGTTGAGTTTACAGCTTATGCAGCTTTGTTTGGGTTCAAGGTACTCAGATGCTTGTACCACATGAGGTCTGCAGGGCTAGAGATAGGATTCACGGTCTAGGGTTTGGAGTCTTGTGGTTCGTGGTAGGTATGGACGGTTCATCGAGCGTGGCTCAGCATGAAACTGTGGAACCATGTACACACTGCAGAGCGGTTCAGGGTAGAAGCTTGGGGGGTGAGGGTCTATAGGGTCTGCTGCAGGCCTAGCCTTAGCCGCAGTAAGGCGTTGAATGCTAGTACCTTGCCCCTCATCATCGGAGGCGTTAATAGTTTTAGTAACTTTAGTAGCCTTAGTAGTTAGGAGGAGTAAGAACTTTAGTCTTTAGTAACTTTAGTAGCTATAGGAGAGGGTATACATACATCAGAAGTCTGGCCTCTCCACATGAAGAAGCCAACATGTGCAGCTTCCTAGGGATCTCCCAGCTACAGTCGCCCCGTTTCCCCAACAAAAAAAAACCTGTTTGGAAGTTTTCGAGTTCAGGGTTTAGGGATTAAGGTTCAGGGTTTAGGGGTTTAGGGGTTTAGGGTCTAGGGTTTAGGGTTTAGGGGTTTAGGGTTTTAGGGGTTTAGGGTCTAGGGTTTAGGGTTTAGGGGTTTAGGGTCTAGGGTTTAGGGTTTGAGGGTGTCCTCTCCGCAACTGCAGCCACATAACTGCGACCATCTAATTCGACAGGATTCGAACTTTGCAATCCGTGAATTGCGAATTGTCCCCGGCCTCCTATGCCACAAGAAATGACACAGAAGACTTTCGGGAACATGATGCAACATACATGGTAGCAAAAAAAGGTCATAAGCTACAGGACCAAATTCATCATAAACGCTTCGCGAATAAGGCCCGTTGTGTGGCCAGTGCATCTGGAGTCGAGATTCCTAGAACTTACATCGTCAACTGGTCCTGAACCCAAGCCCCACCCTAAAGCCCATAGCCCCCCACACCCTAAACCTAAACCCTAAACCTTATAAACCCTAGGCTCAACCCAACTCTTCTCAGGTTCCTACAAAGTTCGCGCTGCATTGCGGATCCTTCATAGTCTCCAAGGCTAAGGGTTTAGGGTTATGCCGCAAGACAACCCATGAAGCGAAGAGACCATCAAAGAAACATCTCCGAAACCCATGTAGAAACTCTACGAACACTGAAACAGCAGTGAAAACCCCCGTATCAACATCTAGACTTCAAAACGACTGTTGCGGGAGCTATGGATCGAGAAATCGCTCATTTCCGCAAGCTCCATGCACTCACATGCAAACAATAGCTCAATAGTTATAACAGCCCTGTGTCCTTGAGGAACACATCCTACATCATCCATACCCTAAAGTCCTAAGTCCTAACCCCATTTGGTCCGTAAGACATAGGCCCCCCGATCTACGCCGCTCATTGTATCCGCGACGGCCCGAACCTTTGGAGTGGCGACTAAGGGGTTTGGGGTTCAGGGCAGTTTAGGGGTTTAGGATCTAGTAGGGTTTAAGGGCTTCTAGGGTGTAGGGCTTTAAGGTTTAGGGCTTAGGGGCTTTTGGGCGCGCACCTACTTGGGAGGATCAGGGGACACAGCAAGTGAGATTTTAAGTGGGATTGCATACTGACCCCGGCAAAAACTCCTTATCCCTGAACTTCGTCATCGCCCCTTGTGCTCGTCTTATCGTTGTTCCATATTCCTTAATTCAGGAATACACTTTAAGTCATATTCTGGATCGTAGTAGAAATCATGTTATGTTCCGTGAGTTAAAGGCTGTTGGAAGGTCTGGGTGAGTCACTTAAAGGGAATCATTGGTCTCTCAAGTAGAGTGTAAGGTGTAGGGAGTAAGGTTTAGGGTTTATAGGGGTTTAGGGTTTAGGGTGTAGGGATTAAGGTTTAGGGCTTATAGCGTTTAGGGTTTAGGGGCCCTTAACCTCAACACTGGAACTCCCACACAACCCAAAAATCCCAAAAGCACAGGGCCCTAGACCTCCAGGAGTATATAGCCCGAAGCGCTATGAACCCCAATCCTCTAACATCCGAAATGTACATATAGTATCCATTGTTGTTCCTTTTTTGGTTAACCAGTTTTATGGTTAGGATCCTATAATAGAGTTCTTGGTTAACCAAAAAGAGGAACTACAATGGAGGCTATAGGTAGGGATTGAGGAGAAGGCCGGTTGCCTGCAGGATCAGGGGATCTAGGCCTTCGGGTCTCGGGTTTTAGTTCAGGGTTTAGGGCTTTAGGGTTTAGGGCTTTAGGGTTTAGGGTTTAGGGTTTAGGGCTTTAGGGTTTAGGGTTTAAGGTTTAGGGTTTAGGGTTTAGGGTTTAGCGTGGTTTAGGGCCGATTAGGGCTATATATGACCATGTTGTCCTAGGACACGTCCAGGGTTTACAGGTCTTGGCTTTTACCCGTTAACCCAGAATCCTACATACCCTTGCCGTTGTCAAGAACCAGATGCTGAGGGCTCGAGGGCTTCGGGAGTGCGCTGTTCCAGACTTGTCCGCAGTCGTCCAATATACTATGAAGACTTCTTTATTCCTTGGCTACAGGGTTCGGTTTTGGGTTTGGGGACATCAGCCCTTACATTAAATAGGTGCCATGTTTTCTGAAACACAACCCCGACGTATAAAGCATGCAACCCTCAATAGAACCCTCTTCGGGCCTTTGTGAATTGACAGAGCAATATGCCAGGCTGCTTGGGATCACACATGGGGGTTTCCGAAAATTAGGGGTACCTTATTTTGGGGTCCTCATAATAAGGATCCTACTACTATTTAAGACATTATATTAGGGTCCGCTATTCTCGGAAACTCTGAACACTTAACCCTTACAGATCCCTTACAGGAACCCTTATGGTACCCTTTAAAGGAACCCTAAGGGTCCCCTATTTTCGGAAACTCTCACATGGCTGTCTGATGGGAGGCCAAAATGAGATTCTTGGGGTAGGGATTCCTTAATATGAACCCTATTATGGGAAGCCTAATCTCTAAAACACCTTTTGGCCTCCTACATTATAGAACCCCTTATAGTGCCCTTAAAGATCCCTGACAGTACCCTTATCGTAATCCTTATAGGAACCCTTTAAAGGGCTTTGGCCTCCTATGGCTGTCTAAGCCAGGAGATTCTCGCGGTGTATATGTTCGCACTCAGGAGGATGCACGCGGTGCGAACCCCTTCTGGCGGGGCCGGCTTAAAGGATCATAGGACTTAGTAACTAGGGATATAATTAAGGTAACTATACTTGTAGTTACTTATAGCCTCACTTAGGGTACTTATAACCCCACTTACTAAGTCCCATGATCCTCCAAGAGCCTGTGTGCATCCGTTATAGACAGACATTCCGCCAGCGAGACAAAATGGGCCATTTCCGTCGGCACACTCCCGGCTATAGCCATATACAGCGGGCGAAGAAGCGGTCCTAGGACATGAGTTCGGAACGGTGAGCCACGTGGTCGATTGTCACGAAGGAGTCTGGCTTTAAGATGGCACGCTTCCTCGCTCTGACCAATAATCAGGTGCCATCTGGGCACATTCCGAGCCCTGGCGTAGCACTTCGCAAATGCCTTATAAGCCAGTCCAAGCTTGTCCTGATAGCGCGCACAAAAGAATGGTCTCAAATACAAGCCAGGCAAGACTGCCCCTTCCCCCCCCCCCCCCCCACACAACAATCCTCTGACCTGAATAATTCAAACACATGGCGTTACCCTAAACCAACCCCCCTTAAGCCTGAACCCTATGGATTCCTTACAGAACCCTCTAGAACCCTCGTAGAACCCTAAAAAGCCTCTTCTGAAACACCCCAAGTTTCCGTCACTTCAGCAAAGTCACGCGCCCAGGCTCTGCTGCATCGGGTCCATACCCGGCATGTCGAAGTCAACCTGGCTGTTTAGGGTTTAGGGTCCCACAAAGGGCAACCATAAGGGTTAGGGTTTAGGGTTCCTTTAAGGGTTCTATAAAGGGCCACCAGAAGGGTTCGGGTTTAGGGTTTAGGGTTCCTTTAAGGGTTCTATAAACGGCTACCATAAGGGTCAGGGTTTAGGGTTTTAGGGTTTAGGGCTTTAGGGTTCCTTTGAGGGGTCTATAAAGGGCTACCATGAGGGGGAGGGTTTAGGCTGTGGTCTGTTGCTAGTTCAAGGATGTCCAAGGCCTACCTGGACGATAAGGAACCTACCTTTTTAGGGACCCCTAATATGATTTCTTTATATAAGTCCCTAAAAAGGTAGGTTATTTGAGGTTAAGGTAGAGCCTTTAGGACTTTAGTGTTTGGGACTTTTCGTGGTGTTTTGCCATGGAATTGGAGTCTTCATGTCTTTAGTTCAAGGTCCAAGGGTTGTACAGGGCCTTTAGGGCCGTTTTGTTTGGGCCTCTGACTTTGAGTTTCGTTGTTCTTTTCAAGTTTTGATGCTCTTCCTTCAAAATCCAAGGTTTAAGGCATTTAGGACTTGATTCTTTGGGCTTGTGATTTTGAGTTTGTGGGTTTGGGGTTAGGGCTTGGGGTTTTGGCTCAAGGTTCAAGACGTTCAACCAAAGACTCGTGGGTTGCCAAGCTTGACGTTAAGCCCTTAATTAGGATGTCCTTAAGGGGGGGTGGTCCAAGGGGGGTAGGTAACCTAGTAATCCCCATTATTCCCCAATACTCCCTAAGCTTCCCTAAGGTTCCCCAAAGCTCCCTAGTAATTACCCTCCCCCCTTGAACCACCCCCCCTTAAGGATCCTATAACTTAAGCCCCTAAACCCCTAAACCCCTAAACCGTAAACCCAGAACTCTAAACCCCAAAAACCCTAAACCCCAAACCCTAACCCTTATGGTAGCCCTTTATAGAACCCTTATTAAAGGAACCCTAAACCCGAACCCTAAAACCCTAAACCCTACACCGTGTCAGGGATTAGGGGACTCTGGCCATGCACGGAGCGACGTAAAGGACAACCCCCGCAGCCAACCCTCCCCAGTCCTTCAGAGCCGTGGACAACAGCCTCGAGCCCGAAACCCGGTAGACCCTGAACCCTAAACCCTAAATCCTAAACCCTGAACCCTAAACTGGAACCCTTCCTACACGCCGAACTGCAGTGCGCACCTGCCGCTGGCCCTGGGATGCCATTAAGCCAGCCTATGGGATGACGTTAGGGTTTAGGGTTTAGGGTTTACGGGTTTAGGGGTTCAGGGTTCAAGGTTTGGGTTTAGGGTTTAGGGTTAAGGGTTTAGGGCTTAGGGTTTTGTTCTGCAGTTGGCGACGGGATTACCTATAGTCTCCATTGTAGTTCCTTTTTTTGGTTAACCAGCTTTATGGTTAAGATCCTATAATGGAGCTTTTGGTTAACCAAAAAAGGAACTACAATGGAGGCTATAGGTATGCTATAGGAGTAGATCTGGGTAGTTCTCTAAATTCGGGTCCCTGTTGGGGTCCTCAAAATAGTGCGGCACCCTTACAAACAGGACCCTAAAAGGGACGCCAATCTTTTAGAACTACCTTTATGGTCGTAATGATAACATAACGACGACACTACACACATATTGTCTTTGGGCCCAAGTCAAGAGCCTTAAAGGTTCAATCGTTAAGAGCCCTAGGCGAATAGATGACTAACGATGATCTAAGTTACACAACATGTACAGACATGTCGTATTTAAACCGTGCTATGTTCTGGTGTGTTCTGGTGTATTAAACATCGTGAACAAGATGGTTTTCCTTGCTATGATCGCTTCCTCTCAGCGCCAGAACAAGTACCTATAGTCTCCATTGTAGTTCCTTTTTTTGGTTAACCAATTTTATGGTTAGGATCCTATAATAGAGTTTTTGGTTAACCAAAAAAGGAACTACAATGGAGACTATAGGTACCCAGTAGACCCGAGAGCTGTCATGCTTAACCAAAGCCAGCGACTCATGAACCTAAAACAATGCTTTACGCAAAGGGGAAAAGGAGGGACCCCCTACCCTATAATGGGCTATATAATGGGTATATAATGGCTATATTAAGGGAATAATCGCTTCCCCTTAACATTCAACCCCCCCTAATATAAAAACTCCCGGCCACCGGAATTTCGCGGTTTCGGGCCCCACATTCAATTTAAAAGGGACAACATTAGGGGGGGCCTAGATCTGTATGTGTCAGCAGAGCTTTAGGGTTTAAGGGTTTAGGGCTCAGGGCTGAAGCTTTAGGGCTTGGGGCTTTAGGGCTTAAAGTTTAGGGCTCGGGCTTTATAGAGCCAAAGATTGCAGCTGTACTAAAGACAGTAGAGCTTTAGGGTTTAAGGGTTTAGGGCTCAGGGCTAAAGCTTTAGGGCTTGGGGCTTTAGGGCTTAAAGTTTAGGGCTCAGGGCTTTAGGGTCTAGGGCTTTAGTAGGGCCTCAGGGCTCCAGGCTCAGGAGAGCCAGCAGCTGGGAGTCCGGGTACGTGGATGCACCGAACCGAAACCCCCCCTAATATAAAAACTAAACCTCCCAAATCCAGTTTTAACATTAGGGATGGGGGGGGAGCCGTTTAATATTAGGGGGAAGGGATTATACCTAGGGGTCCTTATTAGGGGTCCCTCCTTTTACCCTTTGATTTAGATAGAGTTTCGGGTTAACTGGCTTCCTCAGGCGACCAGGCTTGCTAAAGATTGCGCTCGCCTTTGCCGGTGTCTTTGCAGGCCGGAGTCTCCACTGCTTCTGGGACAGCCTCTTGATGCAATGGTTTTGGGACATACCGTGATGGGCAGATCGCGCGAACCGAACCGAAGAGCCGATCGTCGAACCCCGCCCTGCATGCCTTTGAGGAGGCGGCGGCTTTCGAGGGGTTTCAAGCGCAACGAAGCGGCCAAGTGGCCAAACACGTCTGCCTCCCTGATCTCCTGTGTGTTGGGGGCTACTATAAGGTGCGGTTTCAACCCCCACCTCCTTCACAAGAAGCTTTGCGCGCTTCGTGTCGGCATCCCAACTTCCCAGGTAAAGCCTTCGATGGTCCACGTGATTCGTGGGTGGAGGTGGGTCCCTTCCGAGCAATTGGAGGATTAGGGACTTAGTGAGGTAGGTTACCGGCAGGTTATATGTACCTGAATTGGGGTTATAAGTAATATGAGTATAGATACCTTTTATTTCTCCCGATAGTAACCCTTATAAATCCCTTAAAGGAACCCCTTAAAGGAAGCCTAGATACTAAGTCCCATGATCCTTGAAGCACACCCCACCAAACTCGGCTGGACCAAGTCTCGGCAGACTCCAGCAAGAGTCGGTCCGGAAGCCAAGATTTGGGTTTAGGGTTTAGGGCTATAGGGGCCTTACTAATCAGAATAGGCTTGCTTTAAAGGATTCCTTAAATGGTTACTATAAGGGATCTATAAGGCTACTATAATATAGGGTCTTAATAATTCGAATAGGGTTTTGGGGCACATCATACTGTAAATACAAAAAGGAACCTCCGAAATAGTATAGGTAACTATATTGAGGCCCCTATAGCAGGGTTTTGCCTGAATGGACTCCATGTATACTACACAACCCAAGCAGGTGTTCCAAAGCAACCCCACTTAAATCGGAGGCCTCACAAGGTGGGATGAAGGTAGGTGGGATTAAGGACCCCTTATATAAGGACTCCTATTTGGGAATATCTCACCTACCTTCATCCTACCTTTTGAGGCCCCCGAGTAAATTAAAGACCCCAAGGCTGACGGTAAAGCAAACCACAAGGACGACGACGACAACACCAACACAAATCTAATTCCTGCATTCCTCAAGCCTAACCCATACACTTCCGAAACCCTTTAAACCAAACAAGGCCGCATTCCCAACGCCAAAAACACACCAAACAGAGGCATCATGTTGAGGACGAGAGGGTTCACTAGCGTCCTATAACTGCGATAACAGCATAATCGCTTCTTACAAGTGGATCCCGAAAGAGTTACATAGAGTTCCTATAAGGGCTGTACTATTTGGGCCTCAATGATTACCTGCACTATTTTGGTGGCTCTTTATTATAGTTACCGTATAATGGGTCCACAAAGCCCTATTCTAATTATCAAGGCACCTCTGTTATGCAACCCTACTATAGATCCCCTATAGACCCCATTAACGGACCGCTCGAAAGAACCCTATTCTAATGATAAAGGCCCCTATATTACGAGGTCATTATCCCTTTTTGTTGCGCGGAAAATCACCGAGGCTTCAGCATCCTGCCTAGTAGCCCTTATAGTATCCCTTTAAAGGAACCTAAGGTAGAAGCCAGAAAGTTGGAATATGATTATCCTAACCCTTCTATGGTAAATTATAGGGTATCCTACCATGAAACCATGTTCCAACTTTCTGGAGTTCCCTGTATTCTAATTCTTAAGGCCCCTTTGTTAGTTCCCCCCGAGGCTCCAGCATCTTGCTGGGGCATGTGCATTCCGGGCCTCGGGCAGTTCGGCTCCAAGAGACTCACTCCACTACCCCTTAATTAAGGAATATACCTTAAATTACAGTAGGACCCATAATATGATTTAAGGAATAATTCCCTCATTAAGGGGTATTGGAGTCTCTGGGCTTTAATGTAGGGGCCTTAACAAATTGGAACAGGGCTCCTTCAAAGGGGTCTTTCAGGGTTACTATAAGGGATCCATAAGGGTACTATAATGCAGGGGCCTTAATCATTAGAATAGGGTTTTGGGGCCCATTAAGCTATAAATATAATCAGGAGCCACCACAATAATGTAAGTAATTTCTGAGGCCACCGAAATAAAGGCTTCTTGATATTAAGGTTTAGGGTTTCATCACAAATGAGAAGCACCTCCATTCAGGGTTTAGAGTAATGGGTTGTATTAAGCCTTCGGGTTTAGGCCAGGCCTCAGGGGTTCGGGATTAGGTTCTCAAAGTTCAGGGTCCTTAAGGCCCTAGGGAGGGTTCGGTTTAGGGTGGGTGAACGGATCGCTGTCGCTCTTTTCGGGTTCAAGGCTTTGGGAGCTTTGGAGCATCTGGATCAGGGTTGAGGGGTTTAGGGTTTAGGGGTTTGGGGTTTAGGCGATCGAATGTTAAGGCTTGAGGGCCTTAGCGGCTGCTTGAGGATTCAAGGGTTTATGATTCAGTGTGGTCTGCATGTACGGCTCAGGGTACTATGAGATGTGTAAACCCTTACGAACTCCTAGCAAATCAGACGAAGCGGGCCAACCCTGAACCCTTACAGAAACATTTGCTAACCCTGCAAAGCCGAAACCTCCCTAATTCGTTGCCAAATGTGAATGGCTCCTTTGTTGAGGGTGTAGGGTCTAGATTTAAGGGACTTCCATACCGTCTCAGGAATAAGGCGTGTTCATGTGCCAACGCTTTCCCGAACTTTATCCCTCGCACCCCAACCCTGAACCCTACAGAATCCTGACGCAGCTTTTCCCAACCCTTTGGTGACTGCTCGAGGCTGCGGCGGTATCCCAACCGCTCGGTCGCTTTCGATAAGAGCTCTGCTCCTTGCCGGTCGTGCATTCTCAAGTTCCTTTAAAAAGCACCGTAGGACTAGGGCTTAGCTGGGTTTCAGGAGGTTGGGGGTGGGGTTTCCAACTTGAGGTTCGAAAAATGAAGACATACACATGATGTAACGAAGTACCAAGCTTCCAGAGACAAGAAACAAGTGCAATGCAACTGAAAGACAATATAGTGATAAGCAAGCTGTGTATACAGGCAGGCTCCATCTATCATATTAATATATACACACACATATTTGTTTACACCACTTTTCTAAACAAAGACACTACGATGACAATCCGAACAGATGTGCACCATGTCTCATCACGCATCGCGCAAGTAAGGGAAAGATTAGTATTCCCAGGCATATTCAGAGGAAAGAAGCTGAACATGAGCAGCCAGAGATAAACTGCTTCACGGTTGGGCACTTAGTTGTGCATAGGGGCACGGCCAATCTTTAGGATCCATTCCCAAGCCAAGTTGTATATACTTTGGCCTCAAAGTGCCTGTATAGGGATTACTTTAGGGCCAAAGTATATACTAGAAACTAGTACTATTCTGGGCTTTTTCAAGTAACCAGGGAGAAAAAAGTATAGACTTGCTTTTGTTCATTCTGGTTCCCTTTAAGTGACGGGTCCCCAAGACAAGCATTAAAGTACGGTACTCCAAAGCCCAGTATTTGGTTACATGGACCCTTAGGGAATCTCAAGCGGAGTCAGAAACTTTGGAAGAAAGGTTGGGTTTTGGGGTTTAGAGTCTGTTTTTCAGTTTCATATTAGGATGTCACAGAGCCAGGTGTCATTGGCGTGGATCTTGTATAACGGCGTCCACATCAAACACTGCCCTGATAAGAAGGGGTGCCCTGACCACTCCAGGAAGCAACGGACAAGAGTTGAGCAAGGTCGTGTTCAGGGAAAGCATTCCAAAGATCATCCAAGGCTCATGCTTTCCATCTGCCTGGCATAGCATCGGGAAGTCACACAAAGAGTTCACCAGGACCCTCGAATGCATTTCCTTTCTAAGCCCACTAAACAATATTTGCATGGCCCCATTGGGTGGCATAGGAGCCATAGGAATTCCATTTGTTCGGTTACCTCTAAAATGAATAGTCTCCCAGAACCAAGCAGGGCCCTATCTAGAGTTTACGTAAGTTTTCGGACTTTCGTGTCGTAGTAGCAAGAGGTCGCGTGCCTTAGAACCGAGTTGAACATGCGCTGAATTCTGGGAAGTAGAGGTGCAAGTAATGTACGGTAACAGTTTCGATGAGGAAGGAGTTTCTGATTCGGGGTTTGACCCTAAGGTCCGCAAAGAGCATGGACTCTTGGAGATTTAGGATCTACCAGTGCCCAAGCCTCTATCATAGTTTTTGGGGTATACTTTCATCCCATATACCGTGCCTGTGCAAGGACCCAAAGTACGATAGTTTGTTAAAAGGGTTCCCTAAACCCTAAACCCTAAACCCTAATCCCTAAAGCCTAAAGCCTCTAGAATTGTGGGTGTTGGATCTGCGGTCGAGTTCGTGCAGAGCTCAGGAGGCTCAGGTTCGAGAGCTTACGGCAACCACCTGGTCACAGTCTGGCTTATCGGCTTTGGACATATCTAGTTCTTCAGTTTTCACAATTATAGAGTAAGCCCCATGAGGAGGGGGACGGTTTCATGGTTTATGGCTGCGTTAAGACTTTGATAAATGCCACGCTAATGATGAACAGCTGGAAAATATTTCTTCATATAACGTGAAGAACCGAGTCCACGTCCACTGATATTGGATAATTGGATGCCCTACCCATAGGCTCCATACTAGTTCCTTTTTGGGCTTGCCTTATAGGATTCTTGAACCCCAGAAAGGAACTACAATGGAGCCTACAGGTAGCAAGAGCCCAGAAGCAAGCGACCAGCCTGGTAATGCTTCGTTGCAGCTTCAGGTGCTTCTGCTCCAGCTCCTGTGGCCAGTACTAGCCCATGAACCCTAAACCAGAACAGGAAGAGGGTATTTAGGGTTTAGGAGTTTAGGGTTTAGGGTTCCTAAACCATAAGAGGAAGCGGGTTTAGGGTTTAGGGTGGTTCAGGTTAGAGGGTATAAGGTCTTGGAGGGTTCGGATTTTGACAGGCTCCGGGGCCAAGACATGAGTTCTTCCCGAAGCTTTCAGTGATTTCAGAAAGCGGCTTATGAATCGTACAGGTTTCAATTGGTTTTCATAAGTGTCATAGCTTTTTTATGCGAGTGTTGTCTGCTCTCTGTAAGGTCACTGGCAAACTACTGTCCGATCTGAGCAGCCTGATAAACACCCGAATTACACGAACTACCAAAACCTAAACCCCCCCTCCAAACCCTTACGAACCGCTTATGCAAGCCTTACTAGCTATCCTATAAAACCCTTCTGAAAAACTGGCAGCAATACAGCAACCTGGTAAAACCAAACCTAGAAAACCCCTCTGGCCCTAGACCCCACCCCAAATCCCAAACCCCTAAACCCCAACCCCCCTTCAACCCAAAACTCCAAGGCCCAACCCCCCCTGCACTCAACCCAAACCCCTACACCCTTACCAACCTCAATGCAAAACCCTAAACCCTGAAAGGAACCTCAACCCAAAATCCTATATACTATAAACCCGAAACCCTTAAAGGAACCTCGACCCAAAACCCTAGAAACCCTCAACCCTTAGAGAAACCTCAACCCAAAACCCTCTAAACCCTAAATTCTTAGAGGAATCTCAACCCAAAGCCGTAAACACTCGACCCTTAGAAGAACCGAAACCCAAAACCCTATAAGCCCTAAACCCTAAACCCCTGAACCCCTTAACCCTAAACCATTTTAGAGGAACCTAATTTAGAGGCCTTAATAATTAGATTAGGGTTTGGGGGCCCATTATACCATAACTGTATCAAGGAACCACCCCAAATATCATAGGTAATTTTTACAAAAACCTTTCAGGGAGCCTCCCGCAAGTCAGACTCCAGCGCTTTCATTTTCGACTCCAACCTCTCGGTGGTGCCGGAGGCCTGCGGCTGAGCATCTGGGGGGGGGGGAGGTATACCTTAGAAGCTGCCCCCACCCTGTAATAGTGGTATAATAGTGGTATAATAGGGCCCTACTTTGGTGTCGCCTATACATACAGAGTTGCAACTTAGTTACAAGTGCTGAATAAGCCACTAACTTGGATTGTAAGTACGTTAACTGATTTATAAGTTTTGCTAACTTAAGTTAGCAAAACACGTAGATATCGAGAAGTTGAGTAGTTAGCGGGCAGTTAGGGTAGAGCAGTAAAAAAGTTAGCAAGAAGTTAGCGTACTTAGCGTTTTCATTAAATTTTGCATGTTTGCTGCACGGCCATGGGTTTTTGAAGGTGTTTTCGATAAGATTCGGTTTAGGATAGATATGTTGAAATGTAGCCATTTCTCAAGGAGCAGGGTAGCACTGCGGCGGCCACTGTGGCGGCCATGTCGACAAAAAACTGGAAAGGGCAATTACAGCTGCCTAGATGTTCCTTATGGGGGTGAAGACGTTGCCTCAGTTCCCTGACATCCAAAGCAAGCAGGCTGCGAATCTAAGCAAATCTGCGGAAGCAATTCTATTAGCTCCGCGGTCAAAAGAAGCTGCAATTCGGCTAAAAGCCTGTGTCCGCCAAATGTCCGCCCGTGTCCGCCTGTGTCCGCCGGGTCCCAAGACTCCCCGGAGGAGTGTCCGCCGGATGTGTCCGCCGCACCCTTGCTTTAGCCGTGTAGGAGCATGTCCCTGTCCGCCCGTGTCCGCCGGTCTACAATCCAGGGCCTTGTCATAGGAACCGCCTGTCCGCCGGTGTCCGCCGTTCTCCCGCGGTCAGCAATGCCATGTGTCCGCCGGGCTGGGTGCCGTCATGCTTCATTTGCTGCTTTCTCGCAATCGCCGCTGTTGCTCCAGCAGCCTTTTTGTGAAAGACCGGCCTTCTGTTTTTTGGGTCCTTGTGCTCCCGCGAGCCATGGCACTGCAGTTTCCAGAACCCAGCGAAAAGCAGCAAACCGTCTGCAAGTACTGCAGCCTCCAGTACCCCACTCTTGCATTAGTGGCATTGGCGTGTGCTGAGGACAAAACGAAATCTTCTTCATTTGACTGCTTCTGTCGGTTGAGTTAGGCCAATTCCAGCTAAAAACGATTGAGTGTCTGTAACTGCAGAAAAACCATCAACAAACTTAGCAACAAATTAGCGAGTTGCAAATAAGTTATAAGTCCATCTCTAACTTCATTTTAACTTGCAAATAAATGTGTTTTAACTTGCTGCTAACTTCCTAAACCCGCGGCGTCACCAAAGTAATATAATCCCTTATAGTCACTATTACAGGGTGGGGGCAGCTTCCAAAGTATACCTGGGCCCCTAAGGAACCTACCTTTTTCGAGGCCCCCTAATATGATTTCTTTATATAAGTCCCTAAACAGGCAGGTTATTTGGGGTTAAGGTAGAGGTTGAGGGTTTTGGGGTATACCAGGACCCTCGTTGCACCCTCAAATCGGGGTAGATGGTCCCAAATAAGGGGCACTTAGGGTCTAATAGAGGGTAGATGGAGAGTCTAGGTAGAAGTTGAGGGTTTTGGGGGTTTCTTGCTAACGTTAGACCCAACCCTCCTGATGGTTACGGGTTTGGAGGTTCTAGGGGTACTAATACTCGCAATGTTGGAAGCCCAAATGATCCACCCTTTGATCATAAACCTCATTTTTCCATGAGGGAACCCTTGCCCACTGTGTGATGATAATACCACCTTAGGGAATATGGATGTTGTAATTGGTTATTCCTACACTGGTCTTGGTAGTGGTGAAGTAGTGGTGATGTTTTGGGTCATTGCAGTACGGAGCGTAGGAACAATCCTCCAGTCTAGATACTTGTATTGGTAATGCGGAAGTAGTGGTGATATGGTTCGTGAGTTGTAAGGGGAGTATAGGAATAATCTTCTAATGGGGCGAATGGTGGTAATACGACCCAAATGGGCAAGGGTTCCCTTAACTTTGGGAAGAACGGTATGCGAGTTGAAAATCAGCACAGTTCTGAACTGTTCGGCATTCCAAAAGCCATGACACACGCGTCGCTAGTGTTTTCAGCGTCACACCAGTTGAAGTTCTTGATGCTGACATGCATGCGGAAGAGCTGGAAATGCCTGCTGCGCTGCGAACTTCGCAGTACTTGAAAGCAGGGTAATCAACAGCTGCGAGTAGAGACGCTGGTCTTGCACTGCATGTACATCATATACTGCTGCAACTCCGTAGTGGATGCCACGGCATTGCAGTCGTCGGTCCTACTCTTGCTCTGGTCTGCAGCGGAAGCGCAGTGCTGCATGCGGAAGAATTGGATTTCCGGAAGCGGCACATCCCTGCCATTTACCCAGGCCGAAGAAAGTCTGCACATTCCGCCTGGCAAACGTTTTACGCGACAACCGATTTGGGCAGTGTTCTGTCCACACTCACCCCATTGGACGGTCTCCTCAAACTGCTGGTAAGATCCATCTTCTCGTAGTGCCGGGTCATGTTGGCATCTTTGGCAGGCAAGATCAAGGATAGTTGGCATGTCCCCCAGCTGTAGCTTGTGCTTCTCGTTAACGATGTGGCATGGATCCCAATTGATTCTACCGGTGGCATTTCCCATGGCGGAGAGGCGAGTACTAAATCTCTTCCTCACAGCAGTTGAAACCATGCTGCGGGATGTTTCACATCAGTAACAACCTATGAGACCTCGCAGAAACTGAAGCAATGCCAAGCATCAGCAGGTATTAAACAATAATAGGGGGCGGACCTTCATGCGGTCCACCGCCACCGCGTCGTTAAGCTTCGAGACCTGGTTTGCAGGGTCCAAGCACTCGTCATTATAGACTTTGGGCCCTACATACTCCTTATTGTAGGACTCGGGGTAGCACCCACCGTAAAGAAGGACCTCGTTTACCCTCAGGTTTAGTGTTAAGGATTGGGGCTGAGGGTGTTGATCAATAAAGTACAAGCAGAATAGGGATTGGCGCATAGTATACAAAAATATGAGAAGCGTTCTATAGGGGAACAATACGGATCCCTGTATTACGGAGGTCGGCGGGCTTGGGCATTAGCCGTTTCTGTCTCTTAGTGAGGTGTGGTTGAAGGATTATGGTTCGTGATTAGCATGAAGGATCCGACGTACTTAAAGGGGGATATGAGCCACTATCGTTCGTTCTAGCAGAGCCTAACATAGAGGCCTTACTTGTACGATGCAGGTACTTGGGATGCATTGATTAAGGCTTGGAGTGATCCCACCAAGACCCCAGCATCCATTGCTGTCGCAGAAATGCGCTCCTCGCAGTCAGTTGTGCTCCGGAAGAGCTATATGGGAGTTTCCAAACATGGGGGACGCTAATATAGTACCCTAAATAGTAGGATCCTTATAAAAAGGACCCCTAAAGTGCGGTACCCTAACTTTCGGAAATTCCCATATCCCTGAACTCGGTGTTCCCAGAAGAATACATCTATCGTCCGGTAGAACCCGGGAATAGCCAACAACACAGCCTGTGCCGAAATCCTAAAGCCTGTTCACAAAAATGCATTCGTTCAGGGTCGCCAAAACCGCACGAAGAATGCAGGTTATATACCTCGTGACGGGTCTGCGGGTTTAGCGTTGAAATGTGTCTCGGCTTGGGGATGTTCGGATGAAGAGAGCTGACAAGCTTTGCTGTTGTTTGCGATGTGGCGTTCTAGGCAAAAGGCTTTCGGGTGCTTGGGGTTCAGGGCTGTGCGGACAAGGGTTTAGGGTTGTTACGGATCCCACAAATATCTGGGCTAAGATCATGAGTAAGAGCACCAAGTGATGGTGTCTGCGACTCTGCGCTCAAGGGTGTAAGGTGATCTGAGACAATGACTACCGGTACGGGGCTCCAAAGGCTGAACGGTTTAGGGTCAAGGGTTTAGGGTTTTATGAGGGTTGAAGGTTCAGGGTTTGAGCCCGGAACCTAGTTGAACCTTAACAACGGCATGTCCTGCAGGTGGCTGGTCGTCTTCAGCATGGTGTCCTCCACCTGCCAAAGCGCACTACGAGAACCCCTAAACTAAACTCCAAGTAGTGCGGGAACTCCTGTGCCTTTACCTTACGTATGTTAACCTGGAAAAGCCCGAATCCCAAAGCACGAAACCAGAAACACAACAACGAAGACAAAACTGCATGAACCTAAACCTGTACACACCAAACTCGAAACGCCAACTCCTAAAAAATCCAAATAAAGCCTGTAAGCCCGTAACAAAACCCAAAACAGAAAAACACCGCAAACCAACAACAAGACCGTGATGGGGTGCCTTGGGCACCACTCCCAGCACGGTGTCGAGATCCTGAGCCATCAGCTCAGCCTCAGCGTCCAAGGCTTCCGCACTTTTGCTTCGGGATCCGGGTCTCGAGAATATGTGATTGAGGGCTTAGGGTTTATAGGGTTCAACAGTTTAGGGGTTTACGGTTCGGGATCTGATCATAAAGGGACTTATTATGAGGAATTGTTCGCGGTTGGCACGACTTTGCTTCTACACTGGCCCAAGAACCGCCCTCCGCAAGTGCCCCGGCTAGATGACAAAAACCCTTACTCCCTAAACCTCAGACCTTAAACCCCTGAACCGGAACGCTCGACAACAATGCAAAGGTCTCGTCGTAACACGGCGGCCGGAACCCTAGAACCTAAACCCCACAACCCCTTGTAGGGTTTACCTAATAACCCCAAATAACCTTAACCCCAAATAACCTTAACCCCAAATAACCTTAACCCCAAATAGCCTTCCTTCTTAGGGATCTATATAAAGAAATCATACTAGGGGGCCTTAGGGTCCAGGTAGGCTAAATTCCAATACAATCCCAACATGGGAGTTCCCGAAAATTGGGGGGTACCTTATATTGGGATCCTTATAGCAAGGATCCTACTATTTAGGGTACTATACTAGGGTCCCCTATTTTCGGAAACTCTAAACCCTCAAACCCTTACAGGAACCTTTATGGTCCCCTTTACAGGAACCCTAAGGGTCCCCTATTGTCGGAAACTCCCAACATGGGTCTGGGCGTGCCGACCCGCTTCTCGAGGTCGGTGAAAGCTGTTTGATGTCGCCTCGGTCCCGAGGGGGTACGTGGAGGTTCATACGTAGTTATAAGTGCGGTTATAAGTAGGGTAGCTATACTTATAACGCATATTAGGGGACGTGTAAGCCCACTTATAACTACCCATGAACCTCCAAGTAGGGAATTCGCTGTTGGGCTTTACATGGTTTTGTAGTGATTTATGGGTTTGTACGGGGTTCTATGGTATGATATGGCTTTGTGGTCACAAGGACTTCATAGGCTTGCAGGATTCATCTTTTTGGAGGATCGGTGTGGGGTTAGGGTTCATGGCAATCGGTTCAAGATGTGAGGTGCGGGGCTTCTGGAAACTTAAAGAATGTACAACGCCGGAACTGTCACGGCTGCAATCTGCTTCGCACCAAACACCGATGAGCTTGTTGGAACCCGAAAGGTCGTGCGTCGCCCCTCACCCCAAACCTCAACAGACATATGGAAATCGCAGAACCCCATGTTGTATAGTGGTTGGTCCCCAGCACGCATGAAATTATGAGTCCTTGGAGCATCGCGACAGCTGTCAAGCCCACAGGAGCTTAGGTCAGGGTTCAGAAGTTCAGCGCCAAGTTTACGGTTGCTTTGATGGTTTCCGGCTCTAAATCAATGCACCTCAGTTATATGTCCAGCCCAAGCAAAAATCGTAAACACCTGCGATGCAGAACTTCCACTGAATCCTACCTGAATCCTATAAAGCCTAACGCTCAACGGCTTTTTCCGTCCAAAAAACCACAAACCCACAACTCGCCGCGCTCAAACCGGCACCAATAGCCAGAACAACTTCTAAGCTCCTTTGTTTTGAAGTTTGCGATTTATGGCTTAGGGCTTCGGGCTTTTACTTTGGGCAAAGGCTGCGAACGTGCTAAAACCCAAAATGGCTTCAAGGCGAAAGCAAAGCACTGGAAGTCTTGTGCATTGGCCTTTGAAAGCCATAACCGTTTCGTTATCGTTACGAACCTTAACCTTCATCCTACCTAAAGTCTCCATTGTAGCTCTGTTTTTTGGTGAACCAAACACTCCATTATAGGATTCTAACCATAAAGCTGGTTCACCAAAAAAAGGAACTATTATAGGTAGATAATAAACCCTGAACACCTACCTCAACCCCACATAACCTACCTAAAAAGATAGGGTCCTTAGGGTCCAGGTATAGCCTGACAAGGTACAGGAAGTCTTGCTGGAGCTGTTGGCTCGCTTGACTTCCCTTCTCCATCTTCTCCTGCTGCTGCTGGAGTTCCTGCAGCAGCGCCCCCCAAACCCCCGCTTTAGCGTTCCGTGCATAGCTTCTTTACAATCACTCCTTTTAAACAAAGGTAGGGTTTGGGGGGCCGCCTTAGCCCCAGAAACCTCCGTATTCGCATCACTTGTTTGCAATTTCTTGTGTTTGGCTCCTTGGAACAGGGGGTTTGGGGGCTGCAGGTATACCCTAAACCTAAATCCTGTTCAAGGAAGCTTTGGTTTCTGGGGCAGCCTTGGGCATAGATTTTTGGGCTTTGTATGGTTGGGCTCCTCGTGTAGGGCTGGAAGGCCTCTGCTGGGGTTTCGGAGCTGTGTGTGGCTGTAAAGAACAGCTATACATGCGGTGTAGGCGTCACCGGCTTCATCCGCACGGAGACAATGACAAGGCAGGCCGGAGATTCGGTCACGCTGCATAAATAATAGAAGCCCTAAAGCCTTTTGTATGCAACTCATAGAAGCCCACATAAGTAGCCCGTAGAGACCGCTAACAAAAACACTCGGCCAGCTCACGATCGGAACTCTCCTGCACGCGGCTGGTCAGTGTGGCGAGCTCCTGCAACACTCCACAAGTCCACTCTCAAGCATACGATGAACGGTTCTAAAAGGATTCAAGGAAAGGATTCCACACCGGTTGTATGAGGGTTCTAGAAGTTATCTGTAAGGGTTCTGAAATTTTGGCATACGGTTCTAGAAGGTGTTCTACAGGTGTTCGACAAGGGTACTATGAGGATACACCTGTGATAAAGCATCTGTTAACGGTTCTATAAAGCTCTATAAGGGTACGTATAAGGCTACCAAATCCTAGAATCGGGGTCAGGGTCTTGGGTAGAAGCCTTGGGGTCTGGAGTCTTGGTCCGGGGGCTATTTCGGGTATTGAGCTGTACTGACACTTTGGGGTCCGAAAATTCACTTGGGCCAAGACTTCTTAAAGCCATAAGTCCAAGACAGCCACTGGGTGGTCCCTCTACCGGGTTCGCTTACATATCCCTACCGTCCAGCTCCTCCTTCATCGTCTCTTTGATCGTCTGGGAGTGCTTTGCCAGCCTTGATACCCGGTACAGCACCCAAAGCAATCATTTTGCAAGTACTCTAAGCACCACAGGGTGCAACAAGCGTAGTCAGAGTCATGACAAAAGTAAGTTCCAAGCACCACAAGTCACAAGTACAACAAGCCAAGTCAGGGTCATAGGAAGAGTAAGTTGCAAGGGCATTGCTGTGTGCACACCTCGAGCCCATCAAGAAGGACTGGAAGGAAGACTGAGGTCGGCTGCATAACTCGGAAACGGTGTGCGGTATGCCATAGTATCGTATAGTATACCAAACACTATAGTGTAGTCGCGAACAGCCCAAAAGGCATGTCCTCTTGAAGCCACTACTTGGAGGTTCATGGGTAGTTATAAGTAGGGTTGTAAGTAGGGTAACTATATACTTACAACCAATATAACCCCACTTATAACTACCCATGAACCTCCAAGTAATCATGCTACCACGGGTGCCTACGTGCAGCCAAGCAGCTCCTGCTGAACGTGCGCGGCGAACTGCTGCTGAAGCTGCTGTTGAAGCTGATGTGTCAGTTGCTGTGGCAGATGGCTTTGGATGTGCTGAGATTGCTGGGTGACTTGGTGGCTTTGTTGAAGCTGCTGCTGTATCTGGGAGGTCATTTGCTGCAGCTGCGCGGTGTGTTGCTGCAGCTGCTGCGTGTGATGCTGAAACTGCTGTGTCTGTTGATGAAGTTGATGCCCGTGCTGTTGGATCTGCTGCGTGTGCTGTTGGAGTTGCTGTGAGTTGCTCTGCAACTGTGTAGTCTGCTGCTGCATCTGCTGTGTCTGCTGCTGCATCTGCTGCGTGTGCTGCTGCTGGCGGAGCCTCGGATGAAGGGGCGCTGTGGAAGTCATGTCTAATATCGAGGCCTTGATAATTCGAGTAGGGTTTGGAGGATTTTATTTGGGGTACGGAACGGTCCGGATAAGTGTTCGACGTCTGTATTACATGTGGTCTTGTCTCTTCTCATTCCGGGAGTATCGGCGAACCCTAACACCCCAATAGCCAGGCAACATCTTGGATCTCGCCACTACCACGACAAATGAAGGCCTTTCTGGCTGTTCGCTCCCAATTCGTACTAGCTGGTCACCTGTCAAGAACTCCTTGACTAAGGCCAACTTCTGTTTAAGGTTCAGGCTCTAAGGGGCTTTAACGTGTTTCCGTGAGTGTTTAGGGTGTGTGTTTGATGGGTTTAGAGTTTAGGGGCCGAGGTTTAAGGTTTAAATGAGGGACGTACGATAAGAAAGCTCGAAGTTGATGATGCTTATGTGATGACGATGATGCTGGCGTTGTTGATGACGCTGATGCGGACAAGTAAGGCAAGGATGAAGCACTTACACCTCAAGACAGGGCAAATTGCAATTAACGGCCGTTTAACGGCCGCTACAGTACTCTTGTCATTGCCACTGCGATCCGTCTTCATTCCGGCAGGCTCAAGATAATGTAGTATCAAAGCCTGAGTGGGTGCGAAAGCTGCAGCCCCTTTCAAATTTTATTAAGGCCCCTACATTACCCTATGCCTCCAGGGACCTTCTTATGGGGTCCTTAAGGGGTCTAGGGCCCTGACTATGAGGTCCTTGGAGGTATAGGGTTAACATTGGGAAACGAAGCCGCTCGTTCTGATTCCTCCACGCAGTAGAAACCACATGGAAGCTTTCCAGAACTAAGGCGCCTGGTTCAGGTGTAAACCCTGAACCCAAGTTACCCAGACCTTCCAAAATCCCTTAATTAAGTAATATCCCTTAGATTATAGTAGGATCCTTCATATGGTTTAAGGTATATTCCTTAATTAAGGGATTTTGGAAGGTCTGGGTAGTTTAGGATTGAGGGCTCTCTACCACCAAGAGCTAATCTTTCCCTGAGAGCCCAGTTACCGAGCAAGTGTAAGTTCCTGTTTTTTAGGTACAATAAAGGTGTTTATAGCGTTAAAGCCCTAAGCTCTAAACCCTTAACGGACCGTAACCCGCTCTCTAGGTAACTGGGCTGCTAGGGTTTGAATGGCGGATTGTTGACGCCCAAACTGCAACATGTAAAGGGTTTAGGGCTTAAGGTAACATGTAAAGGACTCCTGTTCAAATTACTAAACTCAAGATCATTAAAGGCCACTCGTATGAACGACAAATAGAGTTGGTTGGTGTACTTGTACCCTGAATCCCAGACCCTACGTGACCGAAGCTAAAGCCGGAGTTTCATAGCTCTTGGCCCTAAACCTTACAACCCTAAAACCCTAAATCCTTAAGCTACAGTAGAAGCCAGAAAGCTGGAACATGGCTTGAGGAGGATTAGTGCTAGGATCCCTTATGCTTTACCTTAAGGGCATGAGGACAATGATGTTCCAACCTTCTGGCTTCTAGTATAAACATTGCTATACTGAACTTAGTACCCTAGCAACAATTATATTTTTAGCTGTTTCTTAGGGATTATAATAACCAAAAATGAAAAGCAATTTCTAAGTACCCCTAAGATTGCGATTGGGCAGGAGACTGCTGCTCATGGTTGTCGCGCACTAAAGCCTTCTCGAACCCCGTCTGCCGCTCATCCAGCCTGCATTTCGGTGTTGATTCATGGTTTGGGGCGTAGGCGTTGGGATTTAGGGTTTAGGGTTCAGGGATTTAGGGTTCAGGGGGAAAGGGTCCAGGGCTTTAGGGTTTGGGATTTGGGGTTTTTGGCCCTTGGGGTTCAACAAGTTCATGGGCTTTCGAAGCTCAGGCACCGGCGTGGGGTTGTTGGTGTTTAGCTCACGGCTTCTTCATAAGCTACATGATCATAATTTAGGGCAACCTATGCTACAGAGAACCCTAAGCCCCAAACCCCAAACCCTAGCCCCAAAGCCCCTAAACCTATTCGTTCAGGCAACAGTAAGGAATTCCCAAACATCTAACCAAACTCTTTAAACTCAAACAACAATAATTAAGCTCCTGACCATAAACGCCAAAAGACCTACACACAAGGCCTAACTGAAGCAGAAATCGCAAAAAACCTAGACCTCGTTTCTGTGGTTTCGGATTTAGGGAGATGTCAGGGTTCATGAGTCAGATATGTGCTGCTGCTTCTTGAAAAAACATCACAAAGCCCAAAAGGACAGGGCTTCTCAACAAGGACCCCAAGGTCTCTCTTCTCCAATAACCAGGCCCCAAAAAAGTTCAGACTTTGTAAGATAGACCAACTACATAAAGCCAAAAAGATTAAAGTTCTCCAATTGGCTAAGTAAGAGGTACATGCCCTTTCGTCGCACAGCCCTATTGTCCGAAGCAGCGATTGGAGTTCAAAGTCTCCGGGTCGAGAAGGGGTGCCACTTGCAGATCTTGTCGCTGTTGTCATTGTCGATTGTTGGGGCCGAGACTTGGGCCCTTTGTATCTTATCTTACGGCTCCACATTTAGCGACGTACATCCATTTTGTCAGGTGTCTCTTGTGCTTCTAGGAAATGCAGGGGGTTCCAACGAACCGACCCAAGTACGATGTCCTTGCAATCACCTCTGATATAAGAGGCATTTAACATAGTTACGTACAAGAGTGTTTTCCAGCTATTTATCCAGCTAGTCAGATTCAACTAAACATTGAAACCTTTGCTTTCTACAGCCCGGTAGATTGCAGGGGCGAGGCTGTGGGAACAGCAAGCGACTGCTCTTAGAGTCTAATTAGGGTTCAGGGTTGCGCTCAGGCAGGCGAGCAGGCAGGCGGACGAATACACAAACAGGCCTATGCATGAAGTGTATGACACGATCGATAGTAGCAACCGTTGAAGACTTACATGGCGCATTGCGTAATTAACCCCTCAAGTAATCCCTAGAGTAACCCGTGAAGACACCCTGACAGCAACCCTTGAACACTACAAACAACATCTCGAGGAACTCCTTCAGAACAGCACACTAGGAACTTGGAATCTGGAGTCGCCCGAGCCTCCACAGCTCACCACGGACGGTGCCACTCAGAAAGTCGAGCTCTTCCAGAATGGTGTCCGTCAGGGTGTTGAAAGCCTGCAGGCTCTGCTTTTGTCAGGCTAAGCCTACAGAAATCTATATTCTACATGGGTGGTTGTCAAAATTAGGGTCCCTTTTGGGGTCCCCTAAATAGCAGGTGCCGTACTATAATAAGGACCCAAAAAGGGGCCCAATTTTGAGAACTACCCACATACGGGTTACTTGGCAGAGAAAGGCTTGAGGGTTTAGGGCTGTGCGCTGAACACGAGGCGGTTGGTAGAAGGGCCCAAGGGCCGAGATGAACACGAGATGGTATCAGAGAACTCATAGATCTTATAAGGTTATAAGAGTTATAGGGTTTTTTAGGGTGTAGGGTTAAGGGTGTGTCGAACTCATACCTATAGTCTCCATTGTAGTTCCTTTTTTGGTTAACAATTTTTAAGTTTATGCTTAGGATCGTATAATATAGTTTTAGGTTAACCAAAAACAAGAACTACAATGGAGACTTTTGGTAGATCGCAAACCATTGGAGCCAGTGAGGTTACAGGTTCGCGTTTTGCGAATCAGCAAACAGATCGGCAGAGATGGAGCATATGTTGAAGTCCTCTGTCTTGGGATGAGGAGAGCAATCCTTCGAGGAGAACCCATACACAACCGGTCACAACCGTGATGCAACCGTTGAAGGAACTCGAAAGCGCCCAAGCCTCTTTGAGAGTGCGAAGTTGAGATTGGAGGAACTCAAAGGACCGCCTCCTGGCCGTTGGGCGAGAGTACACCTCTCGGGGTCTTTTAAGCTTGGGTCTTGGGTCTAGGGCTGCTTTTGTTCTCAAGAGCCTTCGGCCCTTTCTCCGCTTAGGCAGTTGAAGCTTCAGAGCTTGAGAGTTCAAGGCACTCTCAGGGCTGAGGATTTAGGGCAACAGGGTTTAGAGGACAACGGTGGGTTTAGGGTTTAGGGTTTAGGATTTAGGGTTTAGGGTTTAGGATTTAGGGTTTAGGGTTTAGGGGTTAGGGTTTAGGGTTTAGGGTTACATAAAGCGCACATATCAACTTATGCTTCCTCGGTGTCGCCAGAGAACCGATCAAACAAAACAGTCGACCATCCTGAAAGGCTTGACGTCGCCAAGAAGGGTCATGAACGATGCCCACAGCCTGTCACCCAACCTCCTGAACCCTAGGATCCTAAACCCCATGGCCACGTCAACAAGTGTACACAGCGAAAGCCACTAACCTGTACTTCCTGAACCACATGCGGGTAAACCTCAACCGTGAGCCCCCCTGTCCACGACAGCGCGTTCTAAAAGGCATGAGCCTCGCTCGCGGACAGGACGCTAAACCCTAAACCCTAAGCGGATTTTGGGGCCCGTTATGCTATACTGCAATAAGGAATCCCCAACATAGTTAGTATTGGTAATTATTACTGCCCCTATATTCAACTTATTATTAAACCCAAAAAAGCTTTCAAACCATGCCAGAGTGTCGAGGATTGCTCGAACTCGATGTTGGTCACCTGGGCCATCGCTTGAAGCGAAAACTCTGGCTGGTTTACATAGCAACAACAACACGGCCATAATGGTTTAGGGCTTAGGATTTAGGGTTTGGGGCAGCTATAACAACCTCTCCTCCTTCTCCTGCCACTACTACCACGACGACTACGACAACGGATACGACTACTGCTGCTGCTACCCCTCTACTTCTGGAGAAACGGCTAGCCGTCGCTGCTATCGCCACTGCCGCTACCGCTGCCGCTACCACTGCCGCGACGACGACTACTATACTATCTCCGACGTACTACTACCACCATGTACCACCACGACTACCTCTGCTACCAGATAACAGGTTTCTTGTAAGCAGCCTGGGGGCACTCTCCAGTGCAAGCTCGTCATGCAGCTGGTTCACGCGCGAAGTCATCCTGTGTTGCCGGCTAAGCCCACCCAAAAGAGGAAGTGTTTACGGTTTGAAAGGGTTTACGTTTACGGCTTACGGTGTATGGCCTGCGAGACTGTTGCATCCCGTCTTCATTTGGTTCTGCCGGTCTGCGTGACTGTAAGGCCTCCTACAAACACTTGCATACATGCACACAAGCATGGACCGAGGTGAGAAATTGGGCAGGGCATATACACACAAGGACTCCGACACATGTGCATAAGGAATGGCACAGGGAGCAATTACCGGCTTAACGCGAGGAATGTGTGGCAAGGCAAGCATGACAAAAAGCGTTGCAAAACATCAAGGTTGGGCCAAAATGCTCGATTTGGCCCCAGAGCTGATTTACTCCGATGATCCTCTCGGGCAATTTACAACTCAACAGTGAAGATGCTCACGACCTCCCACATCGCTACGGACTATGGACACGAGAAAATGCAGCTCGCTGCTCAAGGGCCCCTAGCATGCCTCACCGAGGGGCCTTTCCAATAAGCACAGGGTTTTGAGGGATGTACTATCGGGGCCTTAGTATTTGTAATTATTTAATTTAGGCAACAGCCCTACAAACGCCTACCAAGCCCGGAGCCCGATCACAATTTTAGAAAAGCTAAGGCTTTCAAGCAGAACAACTTCATCCCAGGCCCCACTCTGGGTGATGGTTCGAAGGTTCACGTCTTACACTTGCCGCAGCAGAACCTGCCTGCGCATTATGCTGGTGTACGCTGCAGGCTTCTTGTCTTTGGTCAAGCTCAGTGACCTAGCAGAAAGGATTCCGAAAGGAGTCTGCAAACGGGACAGTATTCAAGAAACTACAAATGTGGCACAGCCCGACAGCACGTTTAAGGTCAGACCACAAGGGGCCAAACAGACCGTCCGCACTGTAGCCTGCTTGTTGCAAAGACGGCGAACCATCGACCCCTCATTTGTTTACGAACTGTGGGTGGTCACTGAGGGCTGATGAATTTGCTTCTAAGGTTTCAGAGGTTTAAGTTTGGTTCCGACCGTACACACGTCTTCTATTTATCTATCTATCCATCCATCTGCCTGTCGATCGATCTACCTATCTATCTACCTATCTGTCTGTCATATGTCTGTCTATCTGTTTATCGACCTTGCTATCGATCTACCTGTTTACTCATCTACCTATCTACGTATCCACCTACCTTTCGACCTCCTTATCTGATAGATCTGCCTTTGCTGACGAATACATTGTGTATCATTGTATATAGCAGATAACAGATAATATCTCAGCTTCTTAAGCGCATAGCCTACTTGCCACACCAGAAAACTTCACCGTCACTCGATGCATTATCAAGCAGTTAAAAGTTTAAAACTTCATGTTTATAGTTTAGGGTCTGGGGCTTTGGGTTTGGAGTTTTTGGGTCTGGGGGCCGGATGCTATTAAGCCCCCCCCATCCCCCCCAGTCGTGCTAGACAGCAGCAGAAACCTTGCGAATGTCCTGTAGAAGGAGTAAAAACGCATGATTGTCACGTGGCGCCCTATGCGCCCGCTACCGATTTGTTAGGCCCCCAAATTAGATGTTTTGGGGGTGTATAGGCTTTTGGGTGTGTCAGGTACAAGCAATGCCTGTCACTCTGAGCAGGAAGCTCTATGCAAACGCGGGTGATTTGTTGGGGAGAGGTTCGGACTTTGGTGAAGCGAGTTGTAGAGCGGCTTTTCATATTGTCCATGTAGGCCAAGCCTCAAAACCACGTTCCGTCCTTGTAACTGTGAGCGACATTGATATATTGGCAGATCACAATACATCTGCATGCTTTGGTAGGCTCCGGCGAACCTTCAGCGGCAAGCATGGACTATCTGGACCCACGAGCACCGTAAGCCCTTCAAGCTCTTATGACGTCTTCTTAGTTCACAACCCTGCAAAACCCTCTTAAAACCATGTGGCAAACCTGCCAGAGCCTATGGACAGAATACTCATCAACCTTAAACTACCATAACCTACTCTTTTGTAGGTTCTTATTTTAAACCCTAATAAGGGATTTATAGGGACCCTACCAAAAAGTAGGTTTTGGTCGGTTAAGGAATATACCCAAAACCCCCAAAACAAAAAGAGCCCGATGTCGACAGCCGAGGCCACGGCGCTGCCATGCTTTTGCCCACCTGCCCGTTTCCGGCTGCGGACTCTGGGCTCTGGATTTCGGTCTGAAGCTTTGTATAGGGGTTCGGACAGAAGGGTTTAAGGCTTCAAGTAGGATTTGGGGTTGGGGTTGAAAGAAAATAATGATGTCCAGAGCTTGAGGGATCCTTTTAGGACCCTAGGAGACAAGGGGATCCTTCGGCGCGAGGGCTTAATATAGGGACCCTAATTATCAGAGTAGGGGTTTGTGGGCCCAGTATACTATAGTTATAACAAGGAAGCCCCCAAAATAGCATAGGTAATATTCAGGCCCCTGTATTAACAGTGCCCAGGGCTCGAGGGGGCGTTTTATCGAGGTTTTAGGACCTTCGATTTTTAGATGGGGGTTAAGGAAATTGGGGTTTGGGGCCGTAGGCTTGGGGCACCTTTGGGGTGCGGGATTTGCGATTCCAAAGCTCCACGGGTTCAACGACGCCGCAACAAATGCTTCGGCTGTGCAGCTTTGAGCAGGCTCTGGATGTTGGACCTGCATTCCCCAGACCTTCCAAAATCCCTTAATTAAGGAATGTACCTTAAAATATAATTGGATCCCAAATATGAATTAAGGTAGATTCCTTAATTACGGGATTTTTGAAGGTCTGGGTCACTCCTAGAGAGACCTACCTTGTAAGGGCTCCGTATTATGATTTACATATTATACTATGGTACCCTTTCCTTAACAAAGGTAAGGCTGTTTGGGGGTTTAAGGTAAAAGGCCGATGGCATTTGGATGTCGAGCCCTGCAGTGCTACACGATCGGAGTGTCAGATTTCGTGTTCAAGGTTTCAAGCTGTACCTCAAACTACCAAAAACCTACTCATTGTTTGCAGGACCCCTGCAAGTTCTACAGTGGGGTAAATGATGTGAACCTGCAGAAAAACTAGGTATTCTCCAGTTCAAGGTGGGGTGCCGGGGTTTTGGGCGGAAGCTTGTGTGTCAACTGTGGGGCTTAAGCATCGCCAGGGCTTGGGCAAGGTTCAGGGGTTTCAGGATCTACGGCTTCCTGGTTTAGGGGTTTAGGGTTGAGGTTTAGGGTAACCCTAAACCCTAAACCCTATCGGTTTAGGGTTTAGGGGTTTATAAGGCAAGGGCGGGTGCTTCTGTATGACTTCGGGGCCGAGGTTGCAAGCTGACGGAAGTGCTGAAACGTGCGTAAAGCTTGACCTGGACCCTATATGGGAGTTTCCGAAAATTGGGGGTACCTTGTTTGGGGGTCCTTATAATAGGATTCGTTTTATTTAGGGTGCTATATGAGGGTCCCCTATTTTCGGAAACTCCCATATAACTTACCATTCAAGGGCTCTTTAATTTTCATTTCCTTAGATGAGTCCGTCAAGGGGTAAGGTATTTGGGATTGAAGTAAGGCTTGCCGGTGATGACGTGGGGCGGAAGACGCGTTGAACAGCAACCCTAAATCGGGAGTACTGCCCCAACCCTTAAGCCTTCAAAATCCCAAAAACCCTATACCCTAAAACCCGAACCCCGTAAATCATTAAGCTTTATAGCCTTGAAGCTCACCCCAAAGCCCGAGAAACCCCTAACCGCAACCCCTCCTCACGGGCACACCCACAAGCGCAGCCCAGTTGATGGGTCAGCGGGTGGAGCCTGGGTACTGGTGAGGTTATACGGGCACCTTTACGGGATCAACAGGGTTTAGAGTTTAAGACTTAGGGTTTAGGCGGTCGGGTCTATAGGGTTCATAGAAACATAAGGGTTTGGAATTTAGGGGGTTCAAGGGTTTATGGTGTTTCGGGTTTATTGCGAAACGGGCGGAGTGCTAACTTTTCCTGCTGCTTAGCTTGTACCAACAGGGCTTCGGTAGTGTACTAGCTATACAACTGTACAAGTACACACTACACACGAGAACTACAGGTAAGGCTCGAGAATTTCTCGCACCCTCCTTGTAGTGGGTATCTTGTCGTACCCGGTCGCGCATTGGGCTCAAAATGCGTTACTTGTTCTTGCTTTTAAAGCAATACTTGCAAAAGTCAAATCCCTTGATGTCGTCCGCTCTGTACAAACCTTGACACCCAGGGTCTGAGTGGACTTTGCGTCCTTTCCGGCTCATAAAGAGCTTTCCATGTGGGCACGTTGTACCCATGTACACAATCACCTCTCGGTTTCCAAAATGGATACACTTACAGAGGCAAAAGATCACTGCCAACGCTATTGTGATGGCATTCAACGTGAAACTGATCATGATGAGATAGGGCATCCACGAAGCAACGGTATCACCCGCTCCATAAGGGATAAGATCCATCAGGTATCTCCCTTAGAGGCCGATGTCTACCAACAGCACTAACGAACTGCTTTGTGCTGAGCCTTGTGCACTGCTGCGGCTGCCACTTCTTGTAGCTTGTCAGTGCTCCAACCGATTGCATCGTGTTCTTTGAAACGTGCTTGTCCAGCCCTTGCTTGTCCAAGGTTACTAGACCCAACATGCCCCTTCCTTCCTCAGTTTCGGCTCCCGTGGCCAAATGCTTTGTCAAGGCGTTTGAAGGATTCTCTGTCCCTTTGATCTTCTGGACAATCACTCTCTCCTCTTTCACAAGTTCTTGTATGTACAAGTGTCCTAGATCCACATGTCTCATCAAACCAACACCAAGTCGCCTAGCAACCTGGATTGCTGCACTGCTGTCGCAGAACAGTCTCGGAACATCGATTGACATCCCGAAGTCTTCAACTCCTAAGTTCCTCACAAACACCAGGTCCTGAGCGCACTGAGTTAAGGCTCTGACCTCCGCTTCCCCTGAGCTTGTAGCTGGGGTGCCTTGCTGAGTCCTCGCTGAGGTCTCCACGACAGTCCCTCCTAGGACTATCACCTGTCCACTGGTGCTTTTCCTATCCTCTTTATCCCCGGCCCAGTCACTGTCACAGAATCCCTGAAGAGGAATCCCTGCCGCTGGGTCCACTTGCTCATCCAACTTGGTCACGTGTCCTACGTGCATTGTCCCACGCAGATACCTTCCAAGCACCTTGAGGTTTTGCATGTCACACTCACGCGGTTCCCTGATCCGCTTTGCCAGCTCCTTGCAGGCAAACTTTATGTCTGGTCTGTCTTGTGACAGATAAGTTGTGCTACCTACACAGCTTGCGTAGGTTTCCTTCGCCTTGCCTTCAAGCGGTTTGTTGTCCTGCAGGTTAAGCTTCTTCCCTGGCACTGGGCTTGGCTTAGCTTCCTCAAGTCCTAGCATCCTAAGAATGTCATTGATGTGCTTCTCGTTTGGAAGCGGCACCACAGCACCCTCAACTAGGATCTTCTTCCTACCAAGAAACTCACTTGTGCTACTGCTTGCTTCCCCAGGCCACTCAAGCTCCCCCACTTTCAGCTTGCACCCGCACTTTGGCAACTGCACCTTGAGTAAGTCGTTCAACAACGCAGCCGGTCCGCACACATCGAAATCATCTATGTGATGAATCAGAACTATACCTGTGCGCCTGCATCGAAACACACATGCATCAAGCTTTCCGCGGCGAAAATCATAAACTCCCTTCGGGAGTTCCTTGGTCAAAATGACCTCCAAGCGATCTCTGTACTGTGCTGCCGCCGACTGTCTGCCGTACAAATTTCCATCTACCTGCCACAACACGCTCTCCTTGGGCGTGTCTTTCAGCTGTCGCTGCACTTCTGGATCTGCTTTGGCATACCACTCATCGTAATCCTCCAGCCATTCCTTTGGTGGCCTCATCATCACCGGTTGCCCCTTCGCGTCTCCTCCATCCTTAGCGATCAGAAAAGCTGAGCTCAAATCAGCTTTCACTCTCGGCATCCTCGTAGCCAAAGAGTAAACTTCCAAAAGCTTTCTCGAGGTCGCGTGCGGCGTAGGGCAGAAGTTTGAGGGAAACTCTGAGCTGTGCCTTTCGTTGGCATCTTGCTTCTTCTTGAAATGCTGGCATGTAAGCCTGGACTTCGCTATCCCCTCTGTCACCTTGTCGACCCACTTGTGGCCAAACACCGTCAGGTCTCTCGGAAGCTGCCGCCCATCTCTAGGCGTGAAGGCCCCATAGACCTCGTTGAGCTTTCTCAGCTCTTCCTTCCGCGCTCTCTTGAGTTCTCTTTCATCCATCTGCATCGTGTCCAGGTAGTCCATAATGTTGCTGACCATGCTCGAATCAAAGCATCCCTCATTCTGCTTTACCCATTTCTTGTAGTGCTCGTAGTCCTCCTTTCCAAGACACGTGCTTGCCTCACTCCACTCACCATGGTTGCTGATGCAGGATATCATATCCTGAGCCATGTCTCCCGGAAGGGACGGCGAGTAGAGGCTAAGGTCTTGACTGCCTGTCCCCATGCTAGCATCAGGCGTTGCGATGCTGAACTGCACCGGTCCACCTGAAGCTTGAGCGGTGTCACCCGCGGGCTGCTTGGCCTCACCAGGTTCCACCCTTGCTCTCTTGCTCTCTGGTTCTTCGCTCACTTCTTTTACGTGCTTCTCACCTTGCGGCGGTGCTGGCATTGGAACAACCAGCACTTCCTTTGGATCACCAGACCCAAAGTCGTCGGTCTCTGCAGCCTCCAGCTCTGGGACTGAGACTGCTTTCTGCTCGGACTTCTCTTGCGCAACTCTGGTGGTTGCTATCCCCAAGTACCGGTTCCACGGCACTCCTCTTGCCTTCTCTAGAACCTCCACACTGTACTGGGAACTCTCAGGCAACCTCCGCGCAGTCCTGCAGGTTTGCACGCCTGCTTCCGTGAGCAACAGGTGTTCATCACCAAGTGCGTTCTTCCCCACATACACTCCCCGAATCCATCTCGGGGCTGCCTTGTCCTTCTGCTTGGGGTACTTAGCCATGGCCACCTGACCGAAAGTCATCATCTCTCCGAGGTAATCATACCCATTCACAATCCTGAAGGCTGTTGTCTTAGAGTGGTTGATATGGAATCGGGCCAGCGTCCATGCGCTGTGTCTCACGATCCACGGAAACAACACACTGTCACAACCGATCTTCATCTTGTACTTCTCAGACACTTCTGCAAGCCACGTGCGCACCTTTCCCGCGATGAGACCATTGATCATCTCTCCATCCGCCAAGGACTGAGAGCTGTATCGCGGTGATCTCCGCAAGGTTATGGTGTCACCCACGCTTGCTTTCACCTTCTCGTAGATCTTGTTCAAAGCGCTTTCCTGGTCGAACTGAATGACCACCTTGTCCCACTTGAGGTCCTTGATCCAGCTCGTGAGCGCCTTGCTCGCGTAGTCCACGCTGGCTTTGGATGGCAACACCAATGCAAAAGGATACTGGCTGTCCTTGCAAATGGCTGTCAACACGGTCACCAACCCAGCCTTCTTCTTCTCGCTTTCTTCTTTGCTCACTTCTGTTCCCTCCTTGGAGAAAAACATGTAGTCTGAGTAGATGATGTGCTCTTTTGGATCTTCCTTGATTCTCCGATGCTGCTTGCTCTTTCCTTGCCCCATCACACAAACAGGGCACCAACTCTCAAAGTTGGCGTGGTGAAGATTGTGCTCCTCCACCTCTGCAGCTGTCGGTTCCTTCGGTGCCTTAATCGCCTTGGCTTTCTTGTCGTCGTCTCCTTCGTCTACCGCCAGGCGCTCATCAGCATCCTCCTCGTCCTCGACGATCTGCTCGTGAGCTTCCTCTCCTCCAAGCACTTCTTCCTCGTAGGCCTCGTCGAGACCTCGCATCCACTCATCCTCGTGACTCGGCTGCTCTTCTTCAGCAGCTGGCTCATCAAACCTCTCAGGCTTTAGCCTGAACCAGGTCTCTCCAAGCCATGAGTGCTTCATCTCTCTCATAGCATACCGCTTGTCTTCCCACATGCTGCGGTCCTCTTTCTGTGAGCCGTCTTCTTCGAAGATCATCTTCGCGAGCCTTCCGCTCTCAATCCTCTCCAACGGCACTGGAAGGTCCTTGACCTTTGGAGCGAAAAGTCGCTTCCTCGGATTGTTGTGCTCTCTAATGAGGTACTCAACCCCATCTTTCACCTCTCTCTTCCACCTGTCGGGCTCCTTAGGCCCAAGGTCCACTTCATCGCCAATTGGGGCTATGCGCCCACGAACTGGTCCTGGACCTTCGGTCTTGTCCATCACCTTGAGATACCACCTCTTGCCATGAAGCTCAAGTGGTACGGTGTCACCCGTCTTCGTCTCTAGGTAACACCCTCCTGGACTGAAAACTACCTTGTGTCCCTTAGCTACCAAGCTGTGAACTGAAACGAGGCTTTCAGCGGCATCTGTCACAGTCATCTCGACCGAACCACTGGTCCGACCAAACATGACCTGCGGATACTGCTTGCCGTACACTTTCAAAGGAGTTCCTTGCACACTAACAACGGCTTAGCTTTGGAGCTGTCGATGTCCGCATTGAAATCACCAAACTTGGCAACACTCTCACACGCTCCGGAGTCTACAAGAAGATGCCTGCACCCTAGCTGCTCCGGCCCAATCGCCGAAACTGTGCTGTCACCGACAGTGAAAATCACATCTTCATCACTCCACTTAGCAATGCGTTGTGCACCCTCAAACACAGACCCCACTGCCGTGCTGCTGCCGCTCGCTCCGTCCTTGGCTCCACTCGAACCACCGGTTCCACCAGTGTCAGTAGCAGCCTCGGTGTCGACTGCTCCGACCTTCCACCAGCAATCAGCGGCAATGTGTCCATGCCTGTGGCATATGTGGCACTGCTTGCCTGCATGCGGATTGTTGTTCTTTCCTTTTCCGTTGTTGGGTTTTCCTTTTCCTCCTTTGTTGTTTGCTCCTTTCCCTTTTCCGTCCTTTCCTTTCTTTCCTTCCTTTCCTTTGTCTCCTGACTTGTTGTCCCAGTTACCTTTTCCGTTCCACTTGTCTTTGTTGCTCCAGTTGTCTTTGCCTTTGTTGTTGTTCCAGCTGTCCTTTCCTTTTCCTTCCTTCCTGTCACCTTTTCCTTTTCCTTTGTCTCCTTTGACACCTCCAATGTCCATTGGTCGCAAACCTCCATCATCAGGTTGATCTCTGTTCTTGTTTGCTGCCTTGGTCAAACCAAACTGTGAACCTTGAGGCCTATTCCAAAGGTTTCTGTTGATCAGATACTGCTCGATGCACTCACGAATCTTGCCATAACTGTCCAGCGCATCACTGTGCATGAAAATGCTTTGCTGCAGCTCCTTCGGCGCAACATGTGCCAAGATCGACACCTTCTCATCTTCGGAGAAAGTGGCCTTGTAGGTACGCTCGAACTCCCGGAGCTCAGCTTCCCACTGATGGAGCGCCGTGCTCCACTGGGAGATGTCACTGGGAAAACTGGGGTTCGACAAGTGCCTTCGCCAGACCCACGCCTTGGTTCGATGAGCTGGTTCGCTCAGGAGAACCAGTCTTCTCCAAACCTCGAACCCATTTGCATCATGCAACCCCTGGCCTATAACGTTCATAGTAGGTTCCGGGCAGTACTGTATGAGGAAAGTGTACATAGCCTTAGCCAACCGACTCTCCTCAGAGGTGAACTTAGACTCATCCACTGGCTCCTTCAGCTTTCCATACCGTTCCAAAAGTGGTCTGCCACGCGGTCTGAGGCCACGCGGCTGCCTGCGACCAGCCCTGCTCTTGCTGGCCTTGTCCAGACCAGTCCTCCCACTGGCCAGGCGGGTGGCTTTGCCCACCAGTGCTGCTGCTCGCAGCCTCGCCGCCTCCTCGCCACAAAGCCCACCGAGGAAGCTCGGCTCTCGTAGGCTAAGGAGCCAGACTCAAGGCTTCCAGCCCGAGCCTTGGCCCTTGGTGGCTCTGCTGGCTCCGGTGGCGCCCTCTGGTGCCTCTTCGCCTCTGCTCTGCGCTCGTCCTTTCGGAGAAGTGCGGCCACCCCGTTTGGGTCCTCCGAGTCTGTGCTCGCAGCCTCTGACTCCTCACTAAGCCAGTCGGAGGTGTTCCCTTCTTCCTTGACCTCCTCAGGCTCTTCTTTGGCCTTCTTCTCCTCCTGTTCTTCCTCGTCGCTGGAGGTGAAGACGGTAGTCGGCGGATGCGTCGCGGTGCGACCTGCCACAGACTCAGCTGGCTCAGTCCAGCTCCACTCTGTTGGCGGTATCACCCGCGAAGCTTGTCTCGCCTCGAAGGTTTCACCCTCACTTCCTCCAGCTTAAGAACTTTTCCGGGTAACTGGTGTTCCCAGCATAACTGGTGTTCCTGGGTTTTGGTTGGCTACGCCTGCTACTATACAGCTGCTTGTTTTGGGCTGATTGCTATGATAGATGGTTGTTTGGGGCTCCGCTACCAATTGCTATTTGGGCTCCGCTACCAACACACCCCTCACACCGCTTAGACTCACTGTGCGCCGGTAGATGAGACGATCGTCAAACTGTTGTCGCAAGTGACTGTAGTGTAAAATTGGGCCACATTGCGAGAGTAAAAATGGGCTCCAGCTTGAACCGTCTTGGTGCGCCTCACAATCTGTTCAGTCGACCCTAGCACTGAAAGTACACACTGCCGCCACACGATCGTCAAGATGAGTGTTGGCACAACTGACTATCAAGAGTCGTTTGAAAAATAATACGAATATAACAAGAAAAAGAATAAGACTAAGACTGAGAAATGATAATGAGAACGGGAATGAGAATGGTAATAAGAAGAAGCAAAATGAAAATGAAAGAAAAACGATAACAAGAATAAGAATTGAGATGAAGAATACGAATAGGAATGCGGATAAAAGTAAGACAAGAATACAGTACATCAAAGTAAGAGTAAGAAACAAGCAGAATTAGAATGATACTGCGAATAAAGATAAGGGTAATAATAAGATATATAGAATGAGAAGAATAATCAACATGAAGATTGTAATACGACGCATACTATGAGCAAGAAGAAGAAGAATCATAATAAACAGAATATATAATCACATTCGGGTTGTGATTTGGCAGTGGGCAGTTTGATGCGCCATAATTTTGCTTTCCTTCAGCATAGATTCACATGTCATATTCATTGGATTTTAGCAGTTTGCGTCGAGTCTGAGTCTGTCTGTCTGTTTGTCTGTCACTGTGTGTCTGATGTGAAAGAGCCGTTTGCGTCGAATCCGTCCGAAATCAGACAGAGCGGTTTGTGTTGAATCCCTCCGATGCGAGAGGCGTTTGCGTTGAATCCGTCCGACGCGAGAGGCGTTTGCGTTGAATCCGTGCGACGCGAGAGGCATTTGCGTTGAATCCGTCCGACGCGCGAGGCGTTTGCGTTGAATCCGTCCGACGCGACAGGCGTTTGCGTCGAATCCTTCTAACGTCGGTTGGCCAAAGCCCAATCTGCGTTGAATCACAGGTAGGATTCGACTCAAATTAGGGGCTTCGGCGAGAGAGCCGATTTGTGATGAATCCCAGGTGGGATTCAACTCAAACTGGGCCTCTGGGCCAGGTTTCACTATTCGTGTAAAATTTCAGGGGTAGTGCAACCTGGCCCAGAGGCCCAGTTTGAGTTGAATCCCACCTGGGATTCATCACAAATCGGCTCTCTCGCCGAAGCCCCTAATTTGAGTCGAATCCTACCTGTGATTCAACGCAAATTGGGCTTTAGCCAACCGACGTTAGACGGATTCCACGCAAACGCCTCTCGCGTCGGACGGATTCAACGCAAACGCCTCTCGCATCGGACGGATTCAATGCAAATTTTTTCGCGTCGGACAGACAGATTCAACGCAAACGCCTCTCGCGTCGGACGGATTCAACGCAAACGCCTGTCGCGTCGGACGGATTCAACGCAAACGCCTGTCGCGTCGGACGGATTCAACGCAAATGCCTCTCGCGTCGGACGGATTCAACGCAAACGCCTCTCGCATCGGAGGGATTCAACACAAACCGCTCTGTCTGACTTCGGACGGATTCGACGCAAACGGCTCTTTCACATCAGACACACAATGACAGACAAACAGACAGACAGACTCAGACTCGACGCAAACTGCTAAAATCCAATGAATATGACATGTGAATCTATGCTGAAGGAAAGCAAAATTATGGCGCATCAAACTGCCCACTGCCAAATCACAACCCGAATGTGATTATATATTCTGTTTATTATGATTCTTCTTCTTCTTGCTCATAGTATGCGTCGTATTACAATCTTCATGTTGATTATTCTTCTCATTCTATATATCTTATTATTACCCTTATCTTTATTCGCAGTATTATTCTAATTCTGCTTGTTTCTTGCTCTTACTTTGATGTACTGCATTCTTGTCTTACTTTTATCCGCATTCCTATTCGTATTCTTCATTTCAATTCTTATTCTTGTTATCGTTTTTCTTTTATGTTCATTTTGCTTCTTCTCATTACCATTCTCATTCCCGTTCTCATTATCATTTCTCAGTCTTAGTCTTATTCTTTTTCTTGTTATATTCGTATTATTTTTCAAACGACTCTTGATAGCCAGTTGTGCCAACACTCATCTTGACGATCGTGTGGCGGCAGTGAGTACTTTCAGTGCTAGGGTCGACTGAACAGATTGTGAGGCGCACCAAGACGGTTCAAGCTGGAGCCCATTTTTACTCTCGCAGTGTGGCCCAAGTTTACACTACAGTCACTTGCGACAACAGTTTGACGATCGTCTCATCTACCGGCACACAGTGAGTCTAAGCGGTGTGAGGGGTGTGTTGGTAGCGGAGCCCAAATAGCAATTGGTAGCGGAGCCCCAAACAACCATCTATCATAGCAATCAGCCCAAAACAAGCAGCTGTATAGTAGCAGGCGTAGCCAACCAAAACCCAGGAACACCAGTTATGCTGGGAACACCAGTTACCGGGAAAAGTCTGCACCAGAAGAACTCCCGGAAGCGGCCCTTCTTCTCGTCCGCGCCAGGCGCCCAAGCCCTTCCGAAATCCTCTTGCCAGCTACCTTTCTGAGGTAGCTCTGCCTAGCCGACCTTCCTGGGTTCTCGGCTGAGATGGCCGATAAACCTGGGTACTCCCTCCTGAGTCGGCTCCAGGTCGCGTCCTTTTCCACCGACGGTAGTTCGTCTGGAACCCACGCGTCTTCTTCCAACCACTCGCTGTACCCGAGGCCTTGTCCCTCCTGAGGGCGACTCTGCAAGCGCAAGGCGTCCTCTACGGTCACGTCCTCGACCTCTGGCGCCTGCTGCGCAGTCCTTTCGGACTCCTCGTCGCCTCTCTGGAGAGCTCGCTCAGCTCGCCGAGCAAACCCCCTGAGGATTCGCTTCTCCTTGGCCTGCTCGCTCCTCACTCTTCGACCCGGGGGTCCCTCTGAAGCCGGCCCTCGGCTTCCGGACGACTCTGCGCCCTTGGCCTGACCTTTTCTGTTTTCCTTTCTTGCCTTTGCCGCCTTTTCCCGTCTTTACGGGTCGCTGTGGTCGCTCCAAGCGCGACTCACCACTTGCCCCACTTATTCATTGAGGGTTACGGTGGGGTTCCCTCACACCCGGCAGAGCAACCGTACGGGCTGCTTGCGGTGTCACCCGCCGCCGCTACAAGCGCGACTGACGGTGTCAATCACCCGTCCGGAGCTTTCCCTAGTAGGGAACCAGCTCCGCTACCATGCGAAACGGGCGGAGTGCTAACTTTTCCTGCTGCTTAGCTTGTACCAACAGGGCTTCGGTAGTGTACTAGCTATACAACTGTTCAAGTACACACTACACACGAGAACTACAGGTAAGGCTCGAGAATTTCTCGCATTTATAGGGTTTTGGGTTCAGGGTTGGAGGACTTCAAGGCTTAAGGCTTTAGGCCGTACAGTGTTGGGGTTCAGGCTGCAGGGATTAGTGTTTTCAGGCCACTCAAAAGAGCCCCTAATGACACACAAAAACACTGCAATGCTCCAACTCCTTACAGCCTCACTATCGAGCGTCGACTAGTGTTATCCTGCTGAGAGAATCAACTTGTGGCATTTAACGACCCTTTAGGTAGTGAGGCTTCAGGCCGTCCTTGGGGCGAAAACCAAGTTAGTAGTGATAACAACAGTCATACTGACAATGTATGTGTATACATGTCTATCATGTGTGTATATATATATATATACATATGTATGTATGTATACAGGTGTTTATATAGCTGTGTATATATGTATACATATTGATATCTGTGTCGTCCGTCTGTCCTTACTGCCTTTAGTGAACTTCGGCGAACTCTACGGCTGCTGTGATTCCTTTCGCTGCAAGCATGAGAAGACTATATGCTACTGAATTTGTAAACCACCATCTTTGCTACGAGTAAGAATATCTTCCATTAGACTATATTCTACAGAATTTGTGAACCACCAAATACATGCACCCCGTAGATTCGCAGCATCTGGCTCTAAGTTTTGCGTTTTGCTTTCTCGTCTTCTTACTACTATTGTTGTTGGTTTTATCTTTGCTACGATTAAGAATATCATCCATTACGATAGCCACAAGTATTTGTAATATAATGATAATACCATGTTTACATCTTTGTGATTGGCGTGGGGCGAGGGGGTATCGGGTGTTCAGTGTGACACGGCACAGGCGTTCTGCGGATTTGGGAGCACAGGGTGCTTTCGGGGAGACCTTCGGCAAAGAAGGCGTGCACAGTCACTGTACCTCACTGGTCTGATAAGCTGGAGTATGCAGAATGATGGCCTTTTCATAGATGTTGGGCAAGTATTTCACTACCTACTTTTGGGGGTGTAAGCAGTTACTGGTAGCATCTCCTTCTAGTTCATGCGTAACTCTAGAAACTGTAAAATACAACCTACCCCAAGGCCTTATTCGAATTGCTAAGGCCCATACCATGGTGGCTTTGGAGTATAAAGGCGAAAAGGACCCCTGCCATAGGGTTTGTAGTAGCCCCCCTTATCTTCTGAAAGCACACCAAATAGAATCTCTGAACCCAGAGCCACAGCGGCCTAATAGCATGTTGGGGATTCCTTAATATGGGTATAGTATAATGGGCCCCAAAACCCTTTCTAATTATTAAGGCCGCTATATTAAGCCCTCTCCCTGAAGGATAGGGATGCCGCTGTTGGCTCCGATGGCTCTACGGCTCGCGAGGCAGCTGGCCGGCTTGAGCAGATAAGCATGCGGCCGGCGAGTGCTGCGGTTGCGGAGATGTACCTGCGGGTGTGCTGCCATGACATTTTTCATGCGGCTGACCACAAATTACGACGTCCTTGCCTGGCTGCACAAACGCCTAAAGATGAGGTGCAGATGCTGCCAAACCTTCCCCAAGGTGGATTGACCGGACTGCGACTCATGATTTCCGCAGCCTTGGGTCGGAAGTGTTGTCAGCAGCTTTTTGCTGCGCCGACCATGATGCAGGCCGACAGGGCTGAGTCCGCCTCTGGCGGACTGAAACTTGCCTGGAAGTTCGGGGGCATGAAGTTAGCTTGCAAGAAACTTGAAACTCCTGTAGAAACCCCAGAGCCACCAGGGAAAGCGGATTCTAGGAAACACTGAGCAAGCCATGCAAATCAATCGAGTTCCTCGCAGGTGTCGTCTGATCTCGACAGGCCGGGACCCTGGCAAGTTTTCGTGTCGTCTATTCCCGGCTCAAGGCCCGACAGCAGCAAGTCCATCTTGCGACTCAACTTCTCCACTGTTCTTTGCAGTTTGGCGAGATCAAAGTTGCGCGCAGGTCCTTTCAACTGCGACATCCCTGCCTCGAACTCGTCAATGGAAATCTCGAGGTCCCCATCATCGAGCATTTCGAACAGGGCAACGACATCTAGAGTCTGCACATCAAGCTGGAAAAGGCATTCCTGGAGTTCTTGGCTCTCAAGAATGCCTGTCAGCTCTACTAGACTTATCCGGCCATTGCCGGAAACGTCAAGCTTGTGAAACAGCTCTATCAATGACCGGCGGCAGTCTTCTTGGACATCAAGCTTCTTCCTGGGCTTTTGATGCCATGCGGACGCCCTGACCCGTAAACACTTCATCACTTCACCCCATAAAATAGCCTCCGCCCTCCCTCATAATAGATGACTGTCACACCCACAACATCAGAAATGCCTGCTAGGCAACTAGTCGGGTGGTGGGCTGTTGAAGAAAGAGACTACAGGCAAGGTTGTACCAGGCATTGCAAATCAAGTTGGAGTTAGGTATTTCCTCGCGGCGGCGTATGCTACTAGGGAGAAGCCGTTACAGACCACAAGACGTAAGAAATGATGCAGAACATCTTTACGTCATCGCCTAGTTGCTTGGTTTCAGCTGCAGCTTCCTCGCGAACGTTCGCCATAACAATGTTCACGAACACTGCCGAAACTACTTGAAGCAAGGCGAAGCCAGCCACGAACCAGTATGTGATCAGCGGAATGCTATACCAGTAGCTGTGTTTCTCTCCAAGCACCAAGGTCATTTCAGTCCAGTCGATCAAGCATGAGAACATCTGGATCGTACTTCGCGCAAACGTCCCAAAAAAAGCGGCAACCAACTGTCTGTCCTCTAAATAAACCTGATCGTCCAGCCAGAAATCAAAGAGAGAGGAGGATATAAGTGCCCCTGAGCAGGTTGTGAGGACTACCAGAAGCAAGCCAGCCCAGCAAAGAAGTCTGAAACCAGAAGCTGTGCCCTTGATTAGCATCTGCAAAGATGCCAACGATTGTACTTTCTCGCTCCTCAGCAGATGCCTGATCGGCCGCGCCAGTTTTGCAAATCGCACCATGCGTAAAACAACGTGGCTGACGAAGAGCGTGCCTGCCGGCTGCAGTTCAAGCCACGCGCTGCAAATCACGAAGATATCCACCCACACAAGCCATGATTTTAGAGCCGCGCATTTGGCACGACTGACTACCACACGCAAAAGGCCCTCCAAAGTCAGCGACACTGCAAAAAAACATCTGCAAGCAAGGAAGACAGGGTCGTGCCAATCTCGCCGCGGATCCTCGTCATAGCCCGGAAAATGAATTCGATAAAGGATGTAGGCCAAGTCGGTGTCCATCTGCATGAACAAGAAGATGAGGTTCAACCCCAGGATCACGACGCTGCCTGTCTCAAACCGCCAGGAGGCATCCTCGATCCAGTTCGTCGGCATCTTGCTAACTTTGTCGGTCTGAGGGTGCTGCTTCCGAGCATCTGGTTCGCTGCAGGCACTGCGGCCACTTCCCCGCACGCCAGACTTCGTGCTGTGCTTGTGCTCGTGTTGCCTCGCAAGGAAGGTGTCCGTAGCAGTCGACAGAACGGGACCGGGACCCTGGCAAGTTTTCGTGTCGTCTATTCGCGGCTCAAGGCCCGACAGCAGCAAGTCCATCTTGCGACTCAACTTCTCCACTGTTCTTTGCAGTTTGGCGAGATCAAAGTTGCGCGCAGGTCCTTTCAACTGCGACATCCCTGCCTCGAACTCGTCAATGGAAATCTCGAGGTCCCCATCATCGAGCATTTCGAACAGGGCAACGACATCTAGAGTCTGCACATCAAGCTGGAAAAGGCATTCCTGGAGTTCTTGGCTCTCAAGAATGCCTGTCAGCTCTACTAGACTTATCCGGCCATTGCCGGAAACGTCAAGCTTGTGAAACAGCTCTATCAATGACCGGCGGCAGTCTTCTTGGACATCAAGCTTCTTCCTGGGCTTTTGATGCCATGCGGACGCCCTGACCCGTAAACACTTCATCACTTCACCCCATAAAATAGCCTCCGCCCTCCCTCATAGTAGATGACTGTCACACCCAAAAAATCAGAAATGCCTGCTAGGCAACTAGTCGGGTGGTGGGCTGTTGAAGAAAGAGACTACAGGCAAGGTTGTACCAGGCATTGCAAATCAAGTTGGAGTTAGGTATTTCCTCGGGGCGGCGTATGCTACTAGGGAGAAGCCGTTACAGACCACAAGACGTAAGAAATGATGCAGAACATCTTTACGTCATCGCCCAGTTGCTTGGTTTCAGCTGCAGCTTCCTCGCGAACGTTCGCCATAACAATGTTCACGAACACTGCCGAAACTACTTGAAGCAAGGCGAAGCCAGCCACGAACCAGTATGTGATCAGCGGAAGGCTATACCAGTAGCTGTGTTTGGCTCCAAGCACCAAGGTCATTTCAGTCCAGTCAAGCAAGCATGAGAGCATACTGATCGCACTTTGTGCAGTCGTCCCAAAGCTCTCGGCAACCTTATATCTGTCCTCTAAATAAACCTGATCGTCCAGCCAGAAATCAAAGAGAGAGTAGGATATGAGCGCCCCTGAGCAGGTTGCTAGGACTAGCAGAAGCAAGCCAGCCCAGCAAAGAAGTCTGAAACCAGAAGCTGTGCCCTTGATTAGCATCTGCAAAGATGCCAACGATTGTACTTTCTCGCTCCTCAGCAGATGCCTGATCGGCCGCGCCAGTTTTGCAAATCGCACCATGCGTAAAACAACGTGGCTGACGAAGAGTGTGCCTGCCGGCTGCAGTTCAAGCCATGCGCTGCAAATCACGAAGATATCCACCCACACAAGCCATGATTTTAGAGCCGCGCATTTGGCACGACTGACTACCACACGCAAAAGGCCCTCCAAAGTCAGCGACACTGCAAAGAACCATCTGCAAGCAAGGAAGACAGGGTCGTGCCAATCTCGCCGCGGATCCTCGTCATAGCCCGGAAAATGAATTCGATAAAGGATGTAGGCCAAGTCGGTGTCCATCTGCATGAACAAGAAGATGAGGTTCAACCCCAGGATCACGACGCTGCCTGTCTCAAACCGCCAGGAGGCATCCTCGATCCAGTTCGTCGGCATCTTGCTAACTTTGTCGGTCTGAGGGTGCTGCTTCCGAGCATCTGGTTCGCTGCAGGCACTGCGGCCACTTCCCCGCACGCCAGACTTCGCGCTGTGCTTGGGCTCATGTTGCTTTGCAAGGAGCCCTCCTTCAGGCTGCGAGAAGGCGCTCTCCTTCTGAAACTTGGGTACTTGGGTGCGGGGAGTTGAGATTTCCTCTTCGTGCCGAACCGCACCTGGTAAGCTCATCGCCTTGCTTCTCGCGCGGGGGCTGAAATCAGCTTGCAAGAATGTTAGGGGGTTAGGGCTTTCGGATTCAATCGGGCTAGGGACCAGTACTTAGTGACCGTGATTGGGCTACTGTAATTAGCTCGGCATGTCGTATTTATAAACTCGGCTTCCCTACTATAGCAACTTGCTTTGCTTTACAATCCCCTAACAAGAACCCAGTCACGGATCACCACCGGGCACTCCAAGCCGATGCATGAGGCGGAGAAGAGCCGGGAGCTCCATGGAAAAGGCTCGAGCCGCCACTGCGTATGTCGCCTCTGGGAGAAGCTTCAACTTTCGATTCAAGAGTGTTTCTACAGAGGGACGACAATAAGGGGATGATAGCGGCTCCTATACTGGATTATGTAGTCATAATATTGAGAAATACCAAATTCGGATGTTCTGCGTTGAAGCCTGCAGGGGGTATTGCGCCGGGGCCGGTACAAAAGGCTTGTAGCTTCCGTTTAATTGAAGACTGAACTAATATGGGGTCCTATTCAATTTTAATGGTTTGGGGGGGAATATAATGAAGTTGTGGCTATATCACGAATTCCAGTGGTGCATACTCCAGCTTTTACAGCAGGGCTGAGCTTCAATAGCTTCACCTCCGAAACTTCCAGTGATCTTGCTAGGCAGCATGAACTGAGCACATGTGCATGACGATACTGCAGGACTCCTCTAGAAAGTAGGAAATCTAGTGGTGAGCTCTGGAAGACCTGTCGAGCACTGGATGTTCGTTGACGAAAGCTCGGTATTTTGGTGTCACTTAGCTTGTTGGTCAGCGCGACGCAGTTCCGCGTGAGCAACAAGAGACCCTTAAACTCCGTAGTCAACATGACGGTCATCGCTCTCTTGCCAGGCCGTATGAGAATCTACACGACAGATCGAGGATGTTACTGCGACTGCTGCAATAATCTCCAAACGTGTTGGCCACAGTTGCAGTGCAAAATTCCCCTAAAACTTATGAAGGGAGGCTTCCCGATAACCTTAATTTTGACCCCTAGATGCTCAGCAGTACCCGAACATCCCCACACACTGCAGTCTCCCGTTTGTCTGGGGAGCGCAATCCCTAGATCCCTCCCTATGCAATCCTTTGCACTTAATGTTCTCACAGAGACGCTCACTTGATATGTTGCAGTTGCTAGGGTGGTTTGAAGCTGCGTGGAATCTGCGGGGAATTTCCTGACTCAGTCTGCCCCAGAATCGAGGAAACCCGGAGCCCGTGTTGCTCAATAATACGCACCAATCAATCAATCAATCAATCAATCAGTCAGTCAGTCAGTCAGTGAGTCAGTCAGTCAGTCAGTCAGTCAGTCAGTCACTCAGTCACTCAGTCAATCAACCAATCAATCAATCAATCAGTCAGTCATTCAGTCAGTCAGTCAGTCAGTCAATCAATCAACCAATCAAACAATCAATCAATCAATCAATCAACCAACCAACCAACCAAGCAAGCAAGCAATCAACCAATCAATCAATCAATCAATCAATCAATCTATATATATATATATATATATAGGCACTAGCACTGTACTACTGTGAGGAAGTGTCCTTAAGATCCTTAAGCCTTAAAGCCAGATTCTTGCCAAGCCCTAAACTGCTGCGCTGAAACCCAAAGACCCATACTAGCTTAACCAAACTACCCTGTCAAAGACACGTCCAGCAGATTTTCTCCAGGCTTTCAGAGCGTCGGAATCTGAGCTCAGTCCTCGACAGGTTCGTGGGGTTCAGGGCTTGAAATTCGGGTTCAGGATTTAGGAGTTTGGGGTGGTTTGGAGCTCAGCTTTGAAAGGTTTTGTGTCCAGTGACGTTTGGTTGTGGTTTAGGCTTAGTTTTCAAGGGTTTGCCGATTAGGTTTGCTTATAGGCCTCCAGCAGCAGAACTTTGCTATTGGCTGTGAGAAACTCCTTTACTAGCTGCGGTGGCATCGGAATAATTAGTAGGAGGCGCAGGAAGCTTGGATCTTGGGTTTGCTTATGCACAAAAGCACAATGTCAGGGATCCAGTTGCGGCTTCAGAACTTAACTGTAACCCTGGCCAAACCCTGAATGAAAAAGAGTCCACTGTAAGTTCTCTTGCAGAGACTTTGGGAGCTCGTCCCATCTCAGCCGGGGATGCCAGGAAGTCATGGAGCCATGTACCCGTACTGTATATCTAATTTCCTTAAAGCCTTAATTTGTCCCAATGGAAGCAAAATGAACACTTTTGGGTAACGTGACCCTTAGGGTAGTATGAAATGGAGCGAAAGGCCTCAGCTAGCCAGGGACGACAGGCCCATGCCCGGATAGACCTGCAAATCGCCAAAGCTACGCCTCAGAACCACAAACCCCTGCGCGCTCCCAATGTAGCTGCCTATTCAATTGGATTAAGGTTTGTTGTTGTTAAACATTCTGTCTGCATTGGTTTAAACTCCTAAACACCAACCCCTTAAACCCTAAAGCTCTAAACTCATTTATTCGACCACACCAGATTCAACCGACAGAAGTTACCAGGACTGGGATCTGCACCGATGAGCTGGAACCTCAGGGCCTGGGAGGCAGGTGTACTTCGAGGGTTCGGGCTTTTAGGGCTTTAGGGTTATGGGGTCAGGGTTTGAGGCTTAGGGCGTAGAGTTTTGAGCTCAAGTTAGTCATGACGAGCCGGAGCAAGGATTGCGTAACCCTACATCAGTACCGATGATCTGAGGACTGCCGGATTTGCAGATGGAGCGCCGTGTAAGAACCAGTCTGTTAGGCATCTATGCCTCTTACGTCCCTAGAACAAGTCTCCTCAAGACCCTCTTTATAAGCTCCATACATACGATTCCTAGCTAGGTGCCAGCTACCCTTGACGAGCACAGGAAACCCAGCAGCGGAGCCTGGAGTCCTTCCTCTCTACAGTACGACTCATATGCCCCGGCCCTCACCCCCTAACTCTAAGCCCGAAACCCTAAACCCTGAACCTTAAACTGCACCCTGAATCCTAAACCCGAATTTTCTTGCTGTTTAAAGGCCTGCAGCAGCTCCTGCTGCGCTTGAAAGGGCGAGAAGGCGAATTTGCCTCCTCAGACTGTAGCTGGATGTAAGGTGTATACCCGCAAGGCTGTCGAGGGTCTAGGGATTGCGGGTTGGCGGGCCTTAGTGCTTTTAGCAACAATTGAGATCCTTTTTTGAGGGTCGCTATGATAGGGATCATGTTTAGGCACGCCATCAGGGCCACATAGGAGATCCTTTTTTTGGAACTCCCACTCGGCATACCGGGATTGAAGTTGGTTTGTAGAGTACTTGGAGGTTCAGGGTAGTTACAAGTAGGGTTACTACACTTATAACCCACTTAGGGGACTTATAACCCTGTTAATAACTAACCCTGAACCTCCATAAGTTCTATAGGCATATGATGAAATTAATACGCAGGTGTAGACTAGAGTTGCCTCCCCAAGCTTTGCAGTGTCTTCGAGTCGCATGCTTCCCAACTCGGGTCTCAGGTTCAGGTCTGGGTACACTGCAAGAGTGGAACGCGGCTGCTATCGGGTATAGATGGAGGGAACATACCATGATACAATGATACGTGGAGGTTTTTCAATCAAGTGGCCATGTTGGGTTTCGAGGGAACCCATTCTTCTGCGAAGTGTTCACATGCGGGCTTTCGGGGTGTGTGCCGGCCGTCAACGTTGCTTGCAGCTAGGTGGGTCTGCACTTGAAGTTCATACCATTCCCCAATGCTCTCTTCATTCCTCATGTTACCGAGTTTCGCAACATGTTGTCTAGGAGACAGACGCTCGCAGGCCACAAACTCCGACTTGTAAGAACATGGGAGCGTCACAAAGTCTGCATAGTGCCATCCTACTGAGGGAGTCACCCCGCGGCATTGAAAGAACACGACGACCCTCTAGGTAGTGAGGCTTCAAGCATTCTTTGCGCAAAAACCATACAAACGTAATGACAACCATGCTGATATTATGATACGAACACATGAACCAAGAAATGAATGAACGAATGATGCATGCAACGAAAGCTATATAACATATACATACAGCCACACACACTCACAAACACATACACACACACACACACACACACACACACACACATCGGTGACCTCTCCCCCATTCGAACATGTAAATATGTCTGTCCCTACTGCCTCTACTGCCCTACTGCCCGAGACAACGAAGACTCGCCCTTTCTACTGTCGTAGTCTGAGAACCTGGACCCCAAAAGCATGCATAATACAAGCCGTTTGTAAATGTTGGGCCATTATGTTACCTACATTTTGGGGGCTTAGGTATTTACTGATAGCATCTCCGTGTGGTTTACGACTCTAGAGTATCATCTACGTACCCGACAACGCTATTCCAATTGTTAACGCCCTTCCAATGGTGGCTTCGGAGCGCAGGGGCGCCTTTTCAAGAATCCATGCTACTGGCGCCAATCGTAGCCCCCTTGTTTTCTCAAATCGTTGCAAGTCCAATCCCTAAACCCGAAGCCTGACCATGCAACCTAAACGCTTAATTAACCCAAACCCCTTAGGGTTTAGGGTTTAGTGTAAATCCGAAAACCCAAAACTTTAGCCCGAAAGGGTAGGGATGCTGCCGTTGGCTGGCTCGCGAGGCAGCGGGCCGGCTTGGGCAGATAAACATCCAGCCGGTGGGTGCTGCAATACAAAAAGGGATTTGGGGTTTTGGGTTTGGGGTTTCGGGGTGCTTAACAATTAGAAAAGGAGGGTTTTTTGTGAAAGAGTTGCTACGAGGGCTTGTGCAATGTAGACGTGTCCATTGAGGGCCTGTTTAAAGGGTTCCACAGTGTAGGGTTGAGCCTACACCGTGTTGATTGGCTTGGGTATTTAGGGGTTTTGGGTTCAGTTGGTGTTTAATCTTGTTTCTGGGTATACCTGGACCCTAAGGAACCTACCTTTAGGGCCCTCTAATATGGTTTCTTTATAAGTCCCTAAAAGCGTACATTTCTATAATTGGGGTTAAGGTACGGCTTAGGGGGGGTCTTGGGTATGGGGCCTCAGGGCGCTTGGGTCCCAGAACTTCTGGGCTTCAAGCTGCTTAAGATGACAAGCTTGAAAGCCTCGTGGGAGTTTCCATTTTCTTCAGGGGACCCCAAGATAGTAGCCGAAGTAATAGGATCCTGATGATTCATGATTATTACGATTATAAGGACCCCAAAATCAGGTACCCTTAATTTTCGGAAACTCCCTTGTGGGGATTAACTAAGTTAAGGCAAGAAATCAGGGGTAGGGATCGAGGAGTTAGGAACCATGAACTGAGGACGGAGAGCCCCGCATAGCATAGGGCGGGGTATGAATAACAGCATTCCTGAGAGTCCGCATATCACATCCGTTCAAGCATGGCTAATAACTGCCCCTATTCCAACTCTGATTGCTGAGCTATCGCCCCGCTACGATATGGATCTTGACAGATGCGCGTAAAGCAGACTAAGCTGCGGGTGCCAGTGGGGTCCCTGCCCTGGACCGTTGGTGTTTGGGGCTTACGCTTTGGGGCTGTGTGCCCAACTACAGCTTGGTCGCCCTTACATGTCTTCGCAATGCCTTCTGAGATAGACGGACTCTCAATTCGAGATCCGTTTCAGCGGGGGTTGGCGAGGGGGGGGGGGGCGGGCGGGGAAATGTCCACATAATGTGTATCTACTTACATGTACGTAGACAGGTACTTGCTGCGTATGAAGCCTAAAACTCGTGCACGGTTGGACATGGTCGACCAATGCTTGCGGCGTACTGTTCGACGATGGTGATCGAGGTTTCTCGAGATTCGGGGCTGCAAGTTGAATGGTTTAGATTCATGGCATGTCGTGTGTGTATATAGATAGATAGATAGATAGATAGATAGATAGATAGATAGCACTTTTGCTAATCAGGCAGGTTGCGCGGCTCATGGAAATCGAATTCGATAGCCTGTGGGACGTTGTTCCAAACCAAGATTTCGTTCATCGTGCGAATCAAAACAGGAGTTCTTCCCCGCATTTGGGCCCTTGTTTGGAACAACAGTTTGGCATTCGGCCACGTCTATGGTACGAGCAACCGTGCATCAGCCATCAGCAGGTACGAGAAAGGATACTTCGGCTTTTGTGTGCCTACAAAGTATCTCACATCTCTCGCTGAGCACAGGCTGCCCACATGCAAAGCCAGATCCTCCTAGCAGCTAACCCTTGATAATGAGCGCCTCAGATTCTCCTGACAGCACCTCACACACCTCGAAAGGCGAGCATATCCATGGAAATCGGCGGCCTTCCAACGAAGCATCCATATGCCCCGGAGCCTTAGATTGCAGCACTTGGAGGGTTGGGAGACAGGGTACTTATAAGTCTACTTACTACCTACTTACTAAGTCCCCCGACCCTCCAAGCAGCCTAGGGTCTTCTTGACCTGCCAATTGAACTGCTTGGGGTTTAGGGTTTGGGGTTTAGGCTGAGGGCTTAACGATTTCTTGAACCCTTTGGTCACGGGGGGGTTGTTTAATGTAATGTAGTGGCCCTAATCATCATCATGCTATGCTTGTAATAAGTAAACCCTCCATACTAGTGTTGGTAACTGTTTAGGCCCCTATACTAAATCCTTATAATCGCCTTATAGTAGCCCTTCTAGACCCCTTTTAAAGGCACACTTTGTAGGCCCCCGTAGAAAAAGGGCCCAGCTGAGCAACGAACAACGACCCTCAACTAATAGCCGAGGCGCTTCCCGGCTGTGCTTCCGCCAAAGGCCCTTGCCAAACGATTCCCTTGCGGAGCCTGTGGCAATGTTAGGTTAGGGGTTTAGGGGTTTAGGGTTTAGGATGTTAGAAGATAGAGACTTACACCCTATAAACCCTAAACCCCGAACTAGAGCGCTGATAATTAAAGGAAACCTCGAAGAAGACAGGTACACATGCAGAAGAGGCGGACCTAGAAAAACTGACTGTGGTGGTGCTGTCAGTTGTGCTTCGGGTACAGGTTACGGACTTGCTAGGCGACCTCTAGTTCAAAACCTAAACCGTTGCCCCTACAGCCTGTAAGTCATACGTCCTAGACTCTGTATGTAAGCCCTGTTTTCCTGTAATCCGTACACGTTACATTTACAGGGGCAGCTCCAAACCGAACATCTCCAACATTGACTCAGAAGCCTTTGGCGCCGCAGACCCAATGAGTCCAATCGAGACTTCTGGACCACGCCGGAGGAAAACTCTCTGGGTCCGCAAACCCTAAGGGTCCATGTACTCATATAGTATATACATTGGCCCTAAAGTACTTCCTACATAGGTACATTGGGCCCAAAGTATGCTATATGGGTACATGGACCCTTAGGGAAAGCTGGAAGCCCCGATAACACGCGACAACAGACACCACGTCCCAAGAGTAGGGTAGTTCTCTAGAGTAGGGTAACCTTTCAGGATCCTTTTGTAAGGGTGCCGTACTGTTCGGAGGACCTGAATAGGCACCCCACTTTTGAGAACTACCCAATAGCATAGACTCTGGGACGTCAAGCTACACTTCGAACTCTAGAGCTGCTAAGACGTTAACCTACCACAGCCGCCTGTTTTGTAGAGTCACATCCCGACGGCCCGTATCAGGGTTTATATTGAGGATGAGAACCTGCAAAAAAGTAGGTTGTTGTTGTTCTCGGCTAGACCTTCACCGGGGTCTCCCAAACCGAAACTGCGGCCTGCCAGCAGCTGTAAACGCGCTGGCTGGTAGACTGGCGTTCGGGACGCCGGCTGCCCCCTGGTGGTTGGGAGCCGAGACCCCGAATCATGAACCCTTTTATCGCTAGACCCTCAAACCTCAGAGCATCCCTTCAAACCCGCTCAAAGGACATTATGAACAATGTTAGCAACCCTGTTGAAGCCTCTTAAAGGAACCCTAGCACCTGCATGTAATATCCCGAAAACTAGAAACCAAGCCCTGCCCACAAAATCAGATCTGGGGCGCAGCAGCGTCCGGCTCTCCAGCAAATCCGAAGTGCTGGTTCGATCCGGCAGCATGCATCTTAGCTGCTCAGCAGGGGGGTTCGGGGGGGTGGTCCTTATGGGTGTGTAGGCTGAGGATTTGAGGCTCAGGGCGCTTCGGCAGTTTACGGTCCCGAGCCGCTAAATTTCCAAGCTTGCAGTGATTCTTTGGCGCGGGCACTGTAACCAGCTTTTGAGGACTTGTGTAAGTGTTTTGGGGCCATGGCTACTGCATTGGAGTCACACGGCTTTGGGAACGGCCTTGCGCAGAACCTACAAATGAGCTACAATGGAGACTTTAGGCAAACCCAAAATTCCAACCTCTGGACTCTGAGCCCTAAGCATACCTTCGACCCAAATTGTCAACACCACGCCTCCAACCCCAAACCCGACAGCACAGCAAGCTCTTACCCCACGGTTGTAGATCCACCCAGATTGATGAGTTTGTCTGCCACAAAAAGGAACCCAAAAGCTCAAACCACCTAAGCAGTCAGTCTTGAGCCAGAATACCGGACTTGGGAAGCTTGCAGGTGCAGTCATGGCGGGCGGCATCGGCTGCAAGTTGCGCTGTGCCTTGCATGAAAATCAAGGGCTTGGACCTACAGCCGCCGGACAACTTGAGGACATAAGCTTTTTAATTACAAACTACCTATATACTATAGTCTCCATTGTAGTTCCTTTTTTGGTTACCCAAAAACTCTATTATCGGATCCTAACCGTAAATTGGGTTAACCAGAAAAGGAACTACAATGGAGACTATAGGTAGCAGGGCAGTACCAGAAACAAGCCTACCTAAACCCTAGACGTGGAACCTTGAGCCCAGACTGGACAATCCCCGAAGGGAAAAAGCCGAAAGCATGCTGCACATGCCGAACTCTCAACCCTAAACCCTAAACCCTAAACCGTTCTATCGAAACACCTGAAAGGGTTTAGGGACTCATGGGGTTAGGGCCCCAATTCACAAAGGAAGCCGAGGTTCCGCTGGCGACGTGAGCCTAAGCTGTCCAGCATAAACCCCAAGAGGGGCTCGTGTAGGGTTCTCGGATTTCGGGTTGCGTCTTCTTCTAAAACCCATTTTTTAGGGGTTTAGGATTTGGGATTTGGGTTTAGGGTTCCCATTTATAATAACAAGAAAGACATAAGCCATGAGGCCGTGTAATCCATATTCAAGACTGAACCTACAAACCCCGAACCATCCGCCGGAGCTATTGGCTAAACCCGAACATTATAAGAACCTCTATTTATTGAGGGCCAAGTCTTATAGACAAAAGCCATGAACACCGACCTGCAAATCTCCAAAGCGCTATAAAACCTCAACCCTCTACCCTATAAGAACAAATCCTGAACTACACCCCTAAGCCCTAAAACGCTAAGTGGCGTCTCTACTTGCCCAGTGGACTTGGCAAGTGCCAAGGCAAATGTCGCTTCGTGTCCAGACTGAGGGGCAGCCTCTGAGGGGTTGGTAGGGCATATAGGGGTTTAGGGCTAAGGTCTATAGGGTTGAGCAAGGGGTCTATAAGGGTACTATAACCTTTAAAGGGGTGCTTTACGTAAAGGGAGTCTATAAGGGATCTATAAGGGTACTATAACAAAGGGGCCTTACATGATTAGAATAGGGTCTTGGGGCCTATTATAGTATATTTATCAAAAGGAAGGAACCCCCAAGTATTGGTCATGATTGGGGCCCCTGGAGTAGGGCTTCTAGGTGTTTAGGGTGTAAGGTCTATAGGGTTTAGGGTTCCAAGGCTTGCAGCAAAAAAACAGTTTAGGGATTTAAGAGGACGTGCTGCAGGGCCATGTGCAGGTATATATCGATAGAGTTTTACATGGGCTTCGATATTTTGGGGGTAGCCATATGGTTGGATACAACACTTTGAAAACGGGCTGTGATGATAGACAACTTGATGTGAGTTTTGCAAAGTGTTATCGTCCTTTCATGGAGTTGATAGGGTTTCTTGGGGGTTCATGGGCTTTAGGGTTTGGATCAAGGGGTGATAGTTTTGTGCTTTTGTGCTGGGGTAAGCAACCAGACTTCACCTGAGCACTTGAGGGGTGTGCTTGGGGGGGGCTTCGGATGAGTTTCTGGAGATGGGAAGACTTCAGGGTGGTTTGAGGTTCAGACTTAGCTCTTTCTTTTCAGGCAAAGGGACTGCAAGCATAACACTGTTCACCCTTGACTCTTCCAAAGCTCAATGCAGCCCCTGCTCTTTCATCCTTCACCCCAAACCCTTAACCCTCAACCATCGCCACCGAAGTCTGGGCTATCGCCCGCCTTGCGCTTGGGAGCCCGACGGGGAGTGGCGCTGGCTGAGTTCCCTTGTCCGGAAGTCGCCCTGGTGGCATATCCCTTCGAAGTAGGCAGAGTGGAATCAGAAGATGGACGCGGAGCCAATCGAGAGTCCCCTAAAGATTGTCGCTCATCCAATCCGACCACGTCCTCATTGATCAAGAGGACCGCCAAGCCACTTGCAGATTGCAACTGTATAGACAAGCCCTCTGGAGGCTGACATGATGGGAAGCGCAGGTGTTTCAGCAACTGGCCCTCCGGTGCTGAATAGACAACCAAATGACTCCATGCCCCCAAAGAGCCACTCCGCTGTCCCATCAACCCAGTCGCGCTACTTGCAAGCTGAATGTGTATGGTTCCGCTGCTGCCATCTGGAGTTAGTCGCATTCCTGGGTTATTGTTTCGGAAGTTAGTTCAAGTTACCACAATAGGGATCTATGCTTAATAACAGGGATTCCTTATTATGGTAACTTACATTATATAACTTCCATAGCAAGAGCCCAGATTCCGATGCGAGGAATTCCAAGCAGCTTTGCTTGCAGATCGGGTCCGGACACTCGCGACTGACCTTCGTTGCGATCGGAGCAACACGGGCTTAAATAGACTAAAATTATGGGAGTTTAGGAGGGTTTGGCACCTTCGGATTCTACCAGAAGGAGCAGTGCCGGGAGTTACCAACAGCTTCTATTGCAGCCGTCCGCCCTTCTTTCTCGGACTTCTGGGGACCTTCCCCACCCCAGCAGTGAAGCCCTCGTCTTGGAGCCACACTAAGCCCTACTTGGAGGTTCATGGGTAGATAGAAGTGGGGTGTATATTATAATATGTAGGATATCTATAAATAAATAGAAACGACAATACTCCGAAACTCATCACCCTACTTATCTCTACCGATTAACCTCCAGTAAGCACTCATCCCGCAAAAACAACCTCCCTTGTCAGCACATCATGCACATGTGGTGACATCGCGAAGCCGCTGGTGCCACGGATCTGAACTCCAATACTGATGGACCTACAACATGAACAGTAATAGAACTAGCACGAGGAATCGTGGTAGTAATCGTAATGGTAACCCTAATCCCCATGCTCGATCAATCCAGATTCGAGTCCTCACATCCTAGCGTCCATAGTTTTGCAAAGCCCTGACATCATCAAGAAACCCTAAACCCTAAACCCTAAACCCAAATCCTTGAACCCGAATTCCTGCACGTCAGAAACAAAGTCTCAACAGCATCCCTAAACCCTAAGCCCTCAACCCAAAACCCAGCTCTAAGCCCTCAAGCTTAAACCCAAGGCCCTGAACCCGAACCCGGCCCCACCAAAAATGAGCAGAGTTGCAAGCTTGGGCAATTAGCCGTGGATCGGCTGAAGCAAAGCCTTGGAACGATGCGAAGCCTCCAGGGAATGCTAGCGGTTTAACCCTAAACCCTAAACCCTAAACCCTAAACCCTAAAACCCTAAACCCTAAACCCTAAACCCTAAAATTAGGTTTAATATAGGGGCCTTAAGAGTTGAATGCGGTGTTGGGATTTACTAGACTGTACTGGGCTTTTGAGTAACAGGGGAGAAAAAGTACACACGTTTGCTTCACAATGGCTCCTTTAAGAGAAAAGTGTTAATGCAACGTACTCCAAATTCCAAAGCTCAGTATAGTTAACATAAGGAAGCTCAAGATAGTATTGGTAATTGCTTCAGCCCCCCCCCCCCCTATATTACATTTGGTAACACTGAGGATTGATATGTGGTGGGGTGGAAGTACTCTCGCCTCTCTATACATAGAAGCCCTAAACCTGGAGCATCCCATGTTGTCGGCTCCAGGTGTTGGAATTTAGGGCTACAGGGTGCAGAAGTAGGATACTGAGGACTGTAACTGTCAATGTGTCAGGAGGTCGGTTGCCTTCGTTCTATAAGCAGCAACCGAAACGTCTGGCTCTCTCTCTCTCTCTCTGTCTCTCTCTCTCTCTCTGCCCCTCTCTCTCGCACGTTGTGGGGTGTCAAGCGACGAGATCCCCAAATCCGACATCCTTAAACCCCAACGCCCGCAACATCCAAACTCCGTAACCTCCGTAGAGCCCCGACAGAATCGTGAAAATTGTGTATATAACCCTGAACGAACGCCTACCGACTCAAAGTTTCAAAGGAACGGTGGATGATATAAATCCTGCATTACCCATAGTTTAGGAACCTTAAGGTAATGCAGGATTTATACCATCAACCGATTTACTGAAATCTCCAGGCCTTGCTGGTGTAGCACGACGGCAAGCTTGTCCCCGATGCCCTTCAGCTGCCGCACAGGCATAGTCGTGTCCTCTCTGTCTCTCAGCTGCTGCGTGGCCGATCACTCTGAGGGCTACGCTTTGAAGATTGTAGGTTTGGGCTGTATGACGCTTTTCTAACCCACAAATCCGGAAAGCCTTGCCGTATACCCTTACACCCTGACCTTGAGGCTGAGTCAGTCCGAACCTTTTTTTAGCAAGCATGCGAGGCGCCGGGACCGGACCGCAACCCAAATCCGAAAACACAGCAGAGTTCAATCTTGAGGGCTTCGGGTTGCATAATTTTGAAACCGGTTTAGGGCCGCCAAGACGTAGGCCCTAGAATTTACAGGTCCTAAACCCTATACCCCAAAACCCAAACCCCAAACCCTAAAACCTAAAACCTAAACCCCAAACCCCCAACCCTAAAACCTAAACCCCAAACCCTAAAACCTAAACCCCAAACCCCAAACCCTAAAACCCCAAAACCTAAACCCCAAACCCCAAACCCTAAAACCCCAAAACCTAAACCCCAAACCCCAAACCCTAAAACCCCAAAACCTAAACCCCAAACCCCAAACCCTAAAACCCCAAAACCTAAACCCCAAACCCCAAACCCCAAAACCTAAAACCAAACCTAAACCCCAAACCCTAACCTAAAACCTACCCCAAACAAAACCCTAAACCCCAAACCAAAAACCTACCCCAACCCTAAAACCTAAACCCAAACCCTAAAACCTAAAACTAAACCCAACCCCAAACCTAAACCTAAAACCCAAACCCTAAAAACCTAAACCCAAAACCAAACCCCAACCTAAAACCTAAACCTAAACCCCAAACCCAACCCTAAAACCTAAACCCAAACCCCAAACCCCCAACCCCACCCCAACCCCTAAAACCTAAACCCCCAACCCCAACCCTAAACCCCTAACCCCAAACCCTAAAACCTAACCCCCCCAAACCCTAAACCTAAACCCCAAACCCAAAAAAACCCCAAAACCCAAACCCTAAACCCCAAACCCCAAACCCTAAAACCCCAAAACCTAAACCCCAAACCCCAAACCCTAAAACCCCAAAACCTAAACCCCAAACCCCAAACCCTAAAACCCCAAAACCTAAACCCCAAACCCCAAACCCTAAAACCTAAACCCTAAAACCTAAACCCCAAACCCTAAAACCTAAACCTCAAACCCCAAACCCTAAAACCTAAACCCCGAACCCAGGGCTTCGGGGTTAGGCCGTCCCGGGTCCTCCCAAATCTGCTTCTGAAGGCCTCGGGGCGTCGAGGCACTCGATGGGGGCTATATATATATATATATATATATATATATATATATATTTGAACTATAGTAGGATCCCTAAAATGGTTTAAGGTGAATTCCCTAATTCGTAGTAAAAATGATTAGGGTTCGTTTGGGTTCAGGGTTTCGTGTTTGGGGTTAAGGTTAAGGGTTAAGGGTTTGGGGTTAAGGAGGTTTTAGGGTAGCAAAAATCCAGAGGGGTTAGGGGATTTGGGTTTAGGGTTGGGCACTTGGGGACTGTTCGCTGAGTGCTTGAAGTTCGTAGGAGATCGAAGCTGAACATGTGAACCGTTAAAGGCGTTTTGGGGCTACTTTGACCGTGCAAAGCCTTTGAACGAATCTCACAAGTAAGATCCTCGTAGGCCCGAGACATACCTGGACCCTAAGGAACCTGTCTTTTTAGGGTTCCCTAAGATGATTTCTTTATAGAAGTCCTTCAAACGGTAGGTAACCTGAGGTTAAGGTATAAAATGTCCCAAGAGCCTGGCCAGCAGGGCTCCACCCCTAAACCGAACCCCAGATTTTTGGGAGGATCCAGAAAAATAGGTCCCCTAATTTGGGGCCCTACACTACTAGGGGTACTTTATAGGAGCGGGGTCTACTTTGTGGATCCTCCCGCAGGTCTGAGACCGTGACGCTCAAGGCCAGAATTGTTCATCTTGAGGATTGGGGCCCGTTTTGTGGGTGCCAGGCCGCTATAGAGAAGGACACACTCACACCTAAACATCCCAAAACTCTAAACCCTCAAACCCTAATCCCCTAAACCCTGTAAGAACTAGTACCCTAAACCCTACTTCTTTGTAGGTTCTTACTATAAACCCTAATATGGAATCTCTAGGGACCCTACAAAGAAGTAGGGTTTTGGTAGGTGAAAGTAGTACCCTAAAGCCTAAGCCCTCAAACCGGGAGCCTGCTTGGACCCTTTTAGGCTTCAGGCTGGGTTTAGGGTTTAGGGGTTTAGGGGTTTAGGGTTTAGGGTTTAGGGGTTTAAGGGTTTAGGGTTTAGGGGTTCAAGGGTTTAGGGTTTGTGTTTCAGGTTGCGGGATTAGGCTTTGCAGCTTGCCTTTACCCTGAGGGTGCATGTGCCTTACATACTTTGTACTGATGTTTCAAAAAGCCCCGATAGTTTACTCCCAAAATCCTGCATAAGAGGGAGGGCCACCTTGGTTTAGGTTTAGGGCTTAGGATCGTATACACGAAGCTATGCTACTGATAGGGTCTATCCAAAATTAAAACTATAGTCTCCATTGTAGTTCCTTTTTTGGTTAACCAAAAACTCTATTATAGGATCCTAACCATAAAATTGGTTAACCAGAAAGAGGAACTACAATGGAGACTATAGGTACAAGCTCTTATTCAATTCCATGATCCCTGGCTTCAAGACAGACACCGAGGGGAGGACACTTCCGCAACAGCAGGCAGGCTGCCACCGCAGGCCCTGGCAGCAGCAGAAAAACATATATATATATATATATATACCTTAAGCTGCCCAACCCTCCTTTTTTGTAGGTTCTTATTATAAACCCTGAATTTATAGGGGATCTACAAACAAGTAGGTTTTGGTAGGTTAAGGTATATATATATATACATACACATACATTTTGTCACCTTAAGGGCAAGTCTGCGCAACAAGACCAGACAAAGCAGACCTAACGGCTGTTAGTGATGTTTTGGGTGCCAATCCGGTTTTGAACAGTTTTTGCAAAACAACTGCATCGTTCGCTTTGGCTCCAAGCCTTTACATAAACCCGAAACCCTTAGCCCCAAATCCTAGGCCCTAAACCTGAAACGCTTGGCCCCCAACCCTTTCAATTCCCAAACCTACCCTTCTGCGCCTTGCTTTTGAGCTTCGAAGAATTCGGAAGCCACCTGAAGCAATGGCTCGCAGCGCCGGAACGCCTCGCCGGGTTTTAGGGCTTCAGGGTTTGGAGTTTTGGGGTGTAGGGTTTTGGCGAGAACTTGAACCCCAAAACCCAGAAAATCCTGGCCCCAACACAATAAACGACGTTGTCTAGCTGGTGAGGAGCTTCGGTTTAGGAGTTGAGGGGCAGGGCAGGCCTTCTCAAGAAACTGGATCATGCTATGCGGGGAACCCCCAACCGTGAACACGATGTCAAAACTACGAGCTTCGCAGGGCTGTAAGGCTACGAACCCCTAAACCCCGACAGGCGTAGACCCGCAAACCCTGAACCCCTCAACCCTAAATCCCGTTATGGGACGGGCATTCAGCGCTGGCACGAGCCACGACCTTCCCACCAACTTCCATCACTGCACACCCCAGCAGTCTTAAACCAACATAGAAGTTGTTGTTATACTATGACTATGACTATAACATACCCCCCCCCCCCCAACAAGTTCTCGTCGAATTATTCAGGCCCCCAGATTACCAGCTGTACCCTTCCAAAACCCTTAACGGTCTAAAGGACCGAAACCGAAACCCTAACCTAAACCCTAAAACCTAAACCCTAAAAGCTGAACCCTAAACCCTAACAACTAAACCCTAAACCCTTAAAACTAGACCCTAAACCCTAAAAACTAAACCCTAGACCCTAAACCCTAAAAACTAAACCCTTAACCCTAAACCGCCGAATTCCAACGCCAACCCCTCTCTACATCGGAGGGAAAACGCGCGTCCCATATGGCAGCCCAAAACCTATAAACCCTGCAAGCTCTAATCCTACCCTCTAAATACCCTCTAACCCTGAATCCTAACCCGAGACTAAAACCCTAAACCCTGTATGCCGGATAAACCCTAGACCCTACCCTCTACCCTCTAACCCTGAACCCTAACCCCCTAAACCCTAAACCCTACTGGGAGGATCATGGGACTTAGTAAGTAGGGTTGTAAGTAGGTTATAATCAGGATAACCCCACTTAAGGGACTTATAACCCCAGTTATACCCTACTTACTAAGTCCCATGATCCTCTCTAAGTATAGCCTCTAAATCGCGTGGCCTGGCCCTGCTGCGCTTTCAGCTCCCAGGAAAGCTCCTGTCGCGGAGAGTCCGCGAGGCCCAGCATGAGGAGCACCAGGACCTGGTGGTTTAGAGTTTACCTTAATTAACCCTGATAAACCTACCTTTTTAGGGTTCCTTATTATGATTTCTGTGTATAGTTAAGTCCTTAAAAATGTAGGTTCTTCGGGGTTAAGGTAGGGTTCATGGTTTAGGGTACGGTTTAATGTTCAGGGCTCAGGGCTTAGGGCACGGTTGAATGGTCAGGGTTTAGGGTACGGTTGAATGTCAGGGTTCAGGGTGTAGGGTGCTATATAGGGATCTATGATAGGTCCCACTTTACAGTTGAATCGGGTGCCCTTGTAGGGGTACTACAGGCTCGAAAACACGGTCCGCCTTAAGTGTTGAGGGTTAAGTTAAGTTGTCTTTATACTGTGGCGGGGCTGCAATAGACAATTTTAGTCGCAATTCCACATTGACAATCGCAGCTGCCTTATGTGAAGCCAAAACAAACTCCAACATCTTAAGCCTTAGCCTTATAAGCCCCAAACCCCAAACTTCGTAACACCCTAGAGCCGTCATCCCCTCCTACAAAGCCCTTGACACTTAACATTCTAAGCCCTAACTGGACCCTAACTACTTTTTTAGGGACCCCTAATATGATTTCTTTAATATTAGTCCCTAAAAAGATAGGTTATTTGTGGTTAAGGTAACCCATAACCCATGTAGGGCACCTTTTTGGCCGCCGTGTCGATGGGCCCAGTGAAAGGCCAACCTGGCACAGCAAAGCTGTTGGGTTCTTTGGGTTCACGAGGTTTTATGGTTAAATGCTTATGTAAGATTTAAAGTTTAATAGGGTTTGGGTATTGAGGTTTAGGTTCAAATGGCTCGAGGTATACTGTAGGAGTCCAGAAGAGATTGAAAGTCACAGTGGTAGGACCGCATGAACCTTATAATGAAGACGCCACTTCCAACTTATTGCTTCTAAAGGTTCTTGCTTAAACCATTCGCGTCACACCCTAAACCCGGACCCCAAACGGCCTTTTTTTTCAACAACTCTCACCAGATAAGTCTTCTGAACTACTACCCAAGTCCTAAACCCTGAACCATCCCACACCCTAAGGTGGATAAAGGCGGGTAGGAGTAAGGATCCCTTCTATCAGGACTAGGATTCGTCATTACCATACAAGCCTTCATCCTACCTTGTGAAGTCCGAAACCCAATTCCCAAACCCAAAACCCTAAACCACGAAACCCTGAACTCCAAACCCTAAACCCTAAACCCCAAGCGCCAAAACCCCTAACCTAAACATCCTAAACCCGAATCCCGAAACCCCCAACTCTACCCTAAACCCTAAACCCTAAATACTAAAGGCCCTATAAACCCTAAAACCCTAAACCCCTAAAACCCTAAACCCTAAAGGCCCTAAACCCTAAACCCTAAAAGCCCCGAAAGCGTCTGAGCGCCGGGCGCACCAGGCGGCCCTTGGCGAAGCTCCGCAGCTGCGTCCTCTCGCCCTGGCGAGGACGAAACCTCAGTGTGGAGCTTGGACGGCTACATAAAGGATCATGGGACTTAGTAAGGTTCCTTAAAAGGGCTCCTTAAAGGGATTTATAGGGGTTCCTTAAAAACGATCTAGGGGAGGATCATGGAACTTAGTTAGTAAGGTTATAAGTACCTTAATTGGGGTTATAAGTACAGTTACCCTAATTATAACCCTAGTTACTAAGTCCCATGATCCTTTAAGTAGGGTTTATAGAGGGGCCAATCGGGGATTTTTGCTAACATGTCCCCTTCTGCCTATGGATTTTAAGGATTAGGGCTTTAGGGTGGTTTGGGTATACTACTTACTACTTAGGGGCGGCTATGAGGGTAAACTATGTTTATTAAGCATTCTAGCCCTTAGGCATTCAGCCTAAGGGACCCTGGCCACCCGACAAGACAACAGAAACACTGGACTCGAGGTTTAGGCTTTAGGGGTTTGGGGGCTTAGGGTTTAGGATTTAGGATTTAGGGTTTAGGGGCTCAGGGTTTTAGGGGCTTTAAGGGTTTAGGGGCTTAGGGTTTTGGGAGTAAGATCGCAGACCACAGCGCAACAGACTCGGTTACACAAGTACACATCACAGACCATACGAGACCATCAGGAAACAACTCAATTGCCAAACCGATTGAAACCCAAAAGCCTTCTGAGTGATAAACACCTTTTTCTTTGGAGGGCCTTGATACTGGGATCCCCAGTGCATCCTTTCTCCCATACAGTGCTAAGCCCTTGGACCTTGCATGCTGAATCCACTAACCCTGAAGCCTAGTCCAAACTGTAAGTCCGCACAGCTCGAAATCAAGGCGGCCCCCAAGCCAAAACTCTTACCTACCCCCCCCCCCCCAAGTAGGTAAAGTAATGAATGCCCAACACCTATAACAAACATATTTCTACATAAACGTCGGGGTCCAGGAAGGATTTAGGGCTTTTCGCCATTTGGGGTTACCGGGTTTAGATGGGCTTAGATGGGTTTCGGGCTTTAGGGTTTACTACTGTTGATGATATAAATCCTGCCTTACCTTACGGACCCTAAACTATGGGAATCATGGTATATTCTTTACTATGGGCAATGCAGGATTTATATCATCCTAAACCCTAAACCCCCTATAGATCCCTCAAAGGAATCCCTTAAAGGTACCCTTATAGATCCCTTTAAAGAAACCCTAGGATTTCTATCATCAACCCTACAGTCAAAAATCCTGAGTGCCGGGCTCCTCGAAGTCGGAGGTCGACGCCAGGAGCCACAGAAGCTCCTCGCGCCCAGTTAGTAGGGTTTAGGGTTTAGGGTTTGTTGGGTTTTTTTTTAAATGAGGGTTTAGGGTTGAGGGTTTAGGGTTTAGGGGCTTAGGGTTTAGGGCTTAGGGTTCAAAGGGTCCATTTCTACAGCCATTATGGTATCGACCCTAAGTCCGGAACCCTTCCGCCCTCAACCAAAAACAACATCCTAAAACGCTGTAGAGGCCCCTATAGTAGCCTACCTTGTTATATAACCCTTAGAGTACCCTTACTATAGCATCCCTCAAAGGACCCCTTTACAGGAACTCTTCTCTTTATTAGGGCCCCTAGATTACAGTAGAAGCTCCCCAAAGTAGGTAAAATAATGGCCCAATACCTATAAAAGGCTATTATTCTACATACTTTTGGGGTCCAGGCAGTATACCCAGAGGGTCCAGAGCAAACTGCCATTATGGTATGTTAATGGGCCCCCAAACGACCATCCTACTAATGGTTTGGGGGGCCTAAAATCCATAATAGTAGTATGTATGTCTGTATGTATGCATCTATGTATATATATATATATAGATAGATAGATGGACAGATAGAACCTCTGGGGGGCTTCGAGTTCGGCACTTTGCCTCGGACTTCAGCGCCTTATTTAGGGCTTTAGGGTTTGGAAGGGGTTTGGGCATTGCCTGGAGTCCGCTACAATACAGGCCCTATGGTCGTATTCAAGTTCGGGCATTTAGGGGTTTTAACCTTAGGGATCTAAGGACTCATACATGAAGGCTTTTGGTCCCGAAAACCATACCATGTAAGGCTCTTGGGCTATTTTGATCCCTATAGGGTTTTACTATTTTAACCAAACCCTAAACCCCTAAACCCTAAACCCTTTTTGGGCTACTTTGATCCCTAGGGGAACGCATAGGGCTCTTGGGCTGTTTTGATCCCTACATTAAGCCGATTCAGAGTTTCAGATTCGTGTTAGCTTCTGGCTCAAAGCTCTGATGCTCAAGTCTTCCTTGACCCTGAATAACCTACCTTTTTAGGGCTCCTTATTAAAATTTCCTTATATATAAGTCCTTAAAAAAGTAAGCTATTCCGGGTTAAGGCTAGCTTAAACTACCATATCCTGCAGTTTTTGTAAGGTTCCCCCTCAAGAAGTAGGCTCTTTCGGAGTTTGATACCAGCTTCCTGCGGTGTGCGGCCTTCTGGGAGGTTTGAAGTTTGAGGTGTACTAGGCTTCGAGGATTGAAGCTCATGGGAACTTCATTTCTATACTGAACTTAGAACCCTAGCAACAATTATAATTTATAGCTGTTTCTTAAGGATTATAATAACCAAAAATACAACATTATTTCTAAGTACCCCTAAGTGAAGTTTAAGGTGTATTGGGCTTCGAGGATTGAAGCTCATGGGAATTTTATTTCATGAGTCAGAGGGGAAAGGAGGGACCCTTAATGGGGACCCCTACCCTAAAATGGGCTATATAATGGGTATATCATGGCTAAATTATGGGTATATACCTTGGTCCCTCCTTTTACCCTTTGAATGAGGGAATGGTGGGGAGGCGGTGGCGGTGTCCATCTGGGCAGCAATGGCATGACTCAGATCTATCACTTCCACTGAATAGCCAACAGCCAGTTACCTTTTCACCTAGACCCGAAACCCTATAGGCCCTGTACCCTGTACCTATTGCATCCATTTAGGGATTTTCCTGTAGGCCTGTAGGCCTTAACGATCAGGGTTGCTCCTTCATGTCCTGAGGTGCTCCCGCTGCTTGTAGCTGGTGGAGAGTGCTCACACGCACACCGCAGCGGCACAGGGTCCCACCAAGTGGCGTTGCTTGAAAGCCGGGATGCTGTGCACTTTTGGAGATAAGGCCGGCAGACCCCATCTTCGCTTCCTCTGCCTGGCTCAAGAGCTGCAGAAAGCCTGGGTGCTTCTTAGGGAATTATCGACGATCTCCCAAGGACCCTTTAACAGAGCCCTTATGGCCCCTTAATAGTGGTTATTTGGGTTGGGGTATACTAGGGGGTAGTTGAGGGGTCTGAAACTAAGGATACTAATTATACTGTTCAAAAAAGATCGAAAGTTTCCTCAACAGGAGCTCAGAAGCTGGTTACATCAGGGCCCTGAGGATATGCGAGCGGATGCCCATGCGGAGCTTGGCAGTGAAGCAACGGACAAGCGGCGGCGTAGCGGCGCGGATCCCTGCGGGCCCTCACGGCCAGGAAGGTGCCAGCAAGCCATGTGCAGAGCGCTTCCTGATTTTGTATCGAGCCTGCCACGACTTCACAGAGCAAAGCCTCTGTAAGCCGTTCGGGGAGATTGCTCTCAAGAGGCTGACCTTCCAGCATCTGCTGCCAGCGCGCTGAGAGTCCCTCTTCGGCGAGGATCACTGCGACTCCTTGGTCGTCAAACTGGGGTCTTCCAGCTCGGCCCATAATTTGCAACATCTCCAGCTCGTCGTACTCCTCCCAGCCGCCTTCCTTGTACCTCGGTCCAAGAATCTCATGCATCTTGGCCTCTATACTCCATAGACCCCCACGAAGCTCTCGTGAAACCCTTGTAGAAAACCTGAAGAGGGAACCGAAAAGCGACCTGCCAAGAAACCACATGGATAAAACCCAAAGAAACATGCCACATCGCATTGGCTTCCTCGAATCCGCCAAGCCGGAACATCGCTCAGTTTCAACAGAAACAAGGAGATATTGTTACTACCAAGAAGAACATCACCAAGACTAAGCCTAAGTGTCAAGGAGACTGAGATCAAGATCAGGATTGGTATGCTGTCGAGCTGTCGTTACTCTACAGGCATAATCTTACGAACAGCCTTCCTGACGGCACTGCTGAGATGCGCTGTGGTCCCCTTCACGACGACCAGCCGGGCAGGAAGGTTCACGCCAAGTGCCAGTGTCTGCGTGCAGAATAGCACCTGAGCAGGTGGCAGATCTTCCCAGACCTTCCACAATCCCTTAATTAAGGAATATACCTTAATTCATATTTGGGATCCTATTATAATTTTCTTAAGGTATATTCCTTAATTAAGGGATTTTGGAAGGTCTGGCTACCTTAACCTCAAATAACGTGCCCTTTTAGGGACTTATATAAAGAAATCATATTAGGGGGCCCTAAAAAGGTAGGTTCCTGAGTGTCCAGGTAGATGCTGTGCTCAGGTCCGGGGTTCATACCTATAGTCTCCATTGTAGTTCCTTGTTTGGGTTAACCAAAAACTCTATTATGGGATGCTAACCATAAAATTGGCTAACCAAAAAAAGGAACAACAATGGAGACTATAGGTAGGATTGGTTCATAAATCCTCCCTAAACCCTAAACCGCTTAGGATTTACAGGAACACATCCCCCCGCCTGAACTGCGGTCTCCAGGAAGAGCGTTTCTACCAGGCGGCGGTCGGATGCCTTTGGGTGTCATTTAGGGTTTGGGGTTGAGGGTTCCGGGGTTTAGGGTTTAGGGTTTATAGGGGTTTAGGGTTATAGGGGTTTAGGGTTTTGGGTTTTAGGTTTTGGGGGTTTTGGGGGGTCTGGGGTTTAGGGGTCAGAGGGTTTAGGGGTTGTTTAGTTTAGGAAGGCTCCTTACGGCTTCTTCAAATGTTCCTCTATATAACTAGAAATGCCCTTGAATACTAAAGCCTCTTAAACATGTCGTAAAGGTCTGACTCCTTAACCTACCAAACCCTACTTTTCTGCAGGTTCTCATTATGAACCCTAGTATGGGGTTTGTAGGGACCCTACAAAAAAGCGGGTTTTGATAGGTTAAGGTAGTTGCGAAGGTTTAGCCCAAGACCGAATGGTCGAGGGTCTTGAGAGCAGCTGAAAGGGATTGAATTTGAGATTGCAAGGTCTGGAGTTCTGAAGAGCCCGGGAGTTCTACAAGATGTACGGTTGATGATATAAATCCTGCATGACCCATAATAAGGAATCTACCATAATTCCCATAGTTTAGGGTCCTTAATTCAGGATTTATATCATCAACCGTATGTTGCTTCTTGTGGCGGTTTAGACGAGTTGACGGGTTCATCGGGTTGCTTACTAGGTTCCTGAGTAGCCCCTTTATTTTGAAGGCACCCTTTTTCCTGCTATCGGTATTCGGTTTCAATAAGAGGACCCTAAAACAAAAAGGGCAAAAGGGTACTACCCAGGAACCTAGTTTAGAGTCGCCGAGCGTTGTGGAAAAAGCTTGAGGAGTTTGGGAGTTTCCGAAAATAGGGGGCCCCAATATAGTATCCTAAATGGTAGGGTCCTCAATATAAGGACCCCCAAACAACGTACCCCTAATTTTAGGAAACCCCCATTTGGGGCCTTAAGGCGTGGAGTTCGTTTTACTTCGGCTTTGGGGCTTCCAACCCGCTCCTCATGATTCCTGGCCGCTCAGAGCCCGAAGATGCTCAAGGATCCCATTTAGGGTTTAGGGCTTTAGGGCTTAAGGGGATTAGGGTTTAAGGGGTTTAGGGTTTAGGGGTTTAGGGTTTAGGCTTTACGGTTGCGGGCTTAGAATCTTCAGGAGTATACCTTCCATCGATCTAGCAGCCCCTCCACAAGTGAATGCCTGGCCCCAGACTACCTAAAACTATAACCTTTAAAGCCAAAACCTCCCTGAACCTGAAGCCCTGACGGCGTACCCGAAACCCTAAACCCTACTCCCTACATGTCTGCGTTTCCTAACGCGGACCAGCGACGCTAAGTCCGGAGTGATGAAAGGCAAGGCCGTGGGGCAGAAGACCTCGAAGTGTGGCATCCGAAACCTCGGCAGCCTCTGGTGTGATGGGACTTCTTTAGGGTTCAGCGGTTTAGGGTTTAGGGTTGAGGGGTTTAGGGCTCAGGGTTTAGAGTTCAGGGTTTGGGGCTCAGGGTTTAGGGTTCAGGGTTTAGGTTTCAGAGATTAGGGTTCAGGGTTTAGGTTTCAGAGATTCAGGGTTTAGATTTACAGGGTTTAAGAGTCTAAGGCTCAGAGCTATGCTGAGGGCTCTATCATCGTAGAGTTTGGCGATGTCTGGCTCCGGGTTGCTTTAGCGTTAGTTTGCGTTTGAGTGTCTCAAGGTCTGGGGCTTTAAATGGAATTAGTCTTCGGGCATATGAACTTCGTCCGGCTCGATGTTTAACGACACCTTGTGGTCATGCCTCTCAGTCATGAAGATGTCGGGGGCAGGGTGCTGGGGTACACTGTTGCATGCATGCAGCAGGCGTTTCGGGGTGCCAGTACCGATACCTAGAACCCTAAACCCTAAAGCCTTAACCCTAACCCTAAACCCTTATCCCTAAACCCTTACACCTAACCCTCTAACTCTCTTACGCCCCAAGTGCACAAGATTACCGCCTAATCCCACAACGGATGTTGCCGCTGCCTTCTCCACCAACCAGGCACGCACGGAGGGTACCTTAGTTGCTGAGTTCATAAGCCCCCCCCAAAAGTGCACACTTTTAGTTTTATAGTGGGCGATATTATCCCCAAAGTGTACACTTTTGGTTTTATAGTGGGTGATATTATCCCAAAAGTGTGAAGTCTATCCCTAAACCCTAAACCCTATCCACTCAGCTACTAAGGCACTGGTTGCCACGATCTGGAATCTCGCAAACTGCTCGCGGCAGTTTCGCAGGCCCTAGCATCGGACTTTTGCGGGCCGAAAGCTATGTCTAAACCGTTTTACAAAAGCCAACCCATGGGTAGTTCTCCCTAAAATGGGCCCAAGTCTAGAGAACTAGCTACATGGCAATACTACAAAGCTTTGTACAAGCAGGCTTGGGAGGCAAATTGAACTGCGGGCACAGGCTGCGGCGCCTTATTTCGGTCAGTTTGGGGGTATGGATTCGGGCGTCGTGGCGGAAGCCGGGTGCGTCACAACCAAGCTGGTCCATGTACACCACCATTGTGGACTTAGGTGCCCAAAACCACAATAAGGATGGTTTTTTGGGACCTGATTTCAAAATCGTCGTTTATGTGGACCCTTTGAGGAAGGGTGAAATGTTGATGCCAGGCCTCTTCGTGACGCAGAACACCAGCGTTGCCTTCCCCTCGGAGTATCGCTGAATGACGGGCCCCAGCTCGCGATTCAAGGACTCTTGAAACATGAACCTTGCTTGCAAAGCTCCGGGGCTCAGTAGTCGATAAGGGGGTCTATAAAGGTTACTATAAGGGATACTATAAAGGTACTATAAGGGATACTACAAAGGATACTATAAGGGTACTATAAGGGATACTATATGGGTACTATCAATAACTAGAATGGGCTTTTGGGGGTTGACAAATCTGGGTTCAGGGAGATAGAGCTTAGGGCTTTAGGGGTTATGGCAGGGCCACTGGCCACTAAAAGGCCGAACAGGGACAGAAGGGTGCGTTGTAGATCTTGCTTCAGACACCGTAGCAGACGTTGCCACTTGCCCAAATTCATGAGTGCCTCGATTCCTCACGCCTGCATTCGAAGGGAGTCCAAATTTCTACATAAGGGGACCGAAAACAAACGGTCTGCCTGCGATGCATGGGGATGTGTTGACGAAGCCCGTGCACGACATCATAGGGAGAAGCTCCTGACACGTGCGGCATACGACACGGCGTTCACGCACAACCTTGAAACCCGACGTCTGAAACCGCCCGCGCCCAAACCCCAAAGAAACCTAAAGTGTCAACCATAATGCAAGGTGCTTCTGAAGAACTAACTACACCGAACTGCAGTTTAGGGAAGGTTCAAACTTGGCCACCTGTAAACCGGTTTGGATTTAGGGTTGTTGCGCCAGACCCGAAACCCGTAAACCCTAAAATGCTGGCTTGCACGATGAGGTTTGGGCCACGGAAAGAACCTGCGACCTATACAACTCACTAAACCGAAACCATTGAGCCTACCTGGAGCAACAAATGTACCTTCAGAAAAGGGATACAACGCTAAATCATCGGACATGTACATGTTTTTCGCGGTACCTTGGTTGCTCTAGGTAAACCTGGAACCCTATATATATATATATATATATATATATATATATATATATATATATATATATATATATATATATATTTCCAAAACCCGAACTAACAATAGTCATGAAAATAGCCTATAAGCCCCAGAGGTCATCGAAGGAGCTCGTTCTTGCCGCCTCTGAAGGTCTGCACGTGCACGCGAAGAGGCACTGGGCGATGTTCCATGCCAAATGCCTTCCATCCGGCATGGAAGCTTAAGTGCGATTTCGGGATCGTTTTCTTCTTTTAACGCCTTCGGGATCGGGCTTTAGGGTTTAGGGTTTGCCGCGTCTTGGAGTTGGGTTGCTTCGAAGGTTCGGGTTTCCGGGGGTTAGAGCTCGGAGGGACGTAGCCAGTGCCTTGAGCATGCAGGTGATAAGCTGTAAGTTGGGGGGTGTAACGGCCTTGCGGGTTCCCTAAAGGCTATATATAACTCTACATAAAGGGTTTGTATAGGTTTTTCTTTAGGATTCGGCCCCTTCTACGAATC